GGAAGAGAATCCGTTCACGACCATGGTCCCTTCTTAGATTTAACGTAGTTCACAAATTCACCGTTCTCATAACGTAGAGGGCAGCAGAAAATCCCTGACTTTTTATACTATCGGTATTTCAGAACATGAAACACGAAGTCCCATAAGATGATAGGTCTATCCTATACCTAGTCGGTGGTACTAGTCGTAAACTGTAGATGAGTAACTCTTCTAATTATAGTGTATCATATTACAGCGCCAACTGTGGTGTCTCGTAACTAAAAGCGAAAGAGGGAAATGTAAATTTTATTTATTATTCCCTTAGATTAGATATCCGATATAATATTAATAAAATAGAAAATAAATAGATATAAACCAATATATGAAAACAGATATTAAATGGAAGCTTATGTATTACCTTAGTAGAATGGTTTTATTAGATAAAGTTGAAAATGAAATTTCTGTTAAACTTTTGGAACATTAATATTTTACTGTCATTTATATAGTGATGAAGTTTACTCAAATTTGTTCAGCACCTAGGTAGACGTACATAGAATCATTTAGTTTCTAGTCGGAATGGGAGTATGTATTTGTACAATTTTTAATTACATTATAATGATTATATTTCGATAACTTATTTACATAGGGTAAACAATTTAAAATACACAAATAGCAGGAAACTTTATAATAATTATTAAATTTATGAAAACTGTGAACATTATTTTAATCATATCAAATATGAAATTTTATATGAGAGAAACGTTAAAATGTTTAAACAATTAGAAATCACCCACGAAAAGTGTAGGAAGCATAAGGTTTACTCGAATAATTTTTTGGTGGCTTTCATTATATCTCTTTATTAAAATTAATAAAAAAACAGTACCTTAATTTAAAAAATATTCACTCAAACAAATGTTTAAATGCGGAAGTGTAATAAACTAGAAATGAATTATGTCGTTATAAATTTTGTGACTAATTTTATTTTACCGTTAATGAAAAAATATAAACACCTCAGATTGAAGTTACATAAAATAAATCGAAATTAACTGTTTATTTTTACTGAAAAATATTTTCTAAAACATGAATTATACAAATTTATATTAATAAAAGTATATGTGATCAAAACCAGTTATCTCTTTTTTACTTTTGCAAAATAACGTTTACAAAAGTAAATGATAAACATACGTATTACCATGTATATTCTGAAATAGACAATATTTATAATATTTTTAACTTATATAGCAAGGAAAGATATAATTGTTTTACTTCCGCCATTTTGTATTTTTTATATCATTACAATTAATTTGTCTTCGGACGTGTATTATTATAATGCCAATTTCGCCACTTGGTTTTTATACATTTGAATTGCATCATAATTATATTTCCAATTAATGCAGCTTAGGAAATAATGCAATTGGATTTTTCTTGTACATTTCCATCAGCTTTTTCAATTTCGACCAATAATGTATGAAAAATATCAGCGACAGACTGAAATAAAAAGATAGATAATATCGAATTGGAAGGAATAATAATAATTAAGTAAACTTACTTCATTCTGTTTTGCACTGGTTTCTAAGAAAGCTGCGTGCCAGGAGTCTGCTAATCGCTTTCCTTGTTCTGTCGTTATCATTCGGTCTACGTATAAATCCGTTTTATTTCCTACTAATACAATTGGAACACTAAAATGCATAAAGCGCAACAGCATTACATATGTTAATTTATAATGAAATACCAAAACATAGTAAGTAGGAGACATCATACTGGACTTTTCCTGTAATATCCAGTAGCTTGTCATAAATAATTTGTACAACTTCGAAACTCTTTGCACTGGTTATACTATACACAAGGACATATCCATGAATGTCCATCGAATACTGTGTAGGAAATATACTATATTCATCTTGACCCGCTGTATCTACCAACTTAACTTCATAATCTTGACTATTTACTCTAGTACTTTTTGTAAATGCTGAAAAATATAAACATTAACTCGATCAGAAAGTAAATAATATTGAAACCAGTAGAACCCACATCTTTTATTCAAATATTACATTTTACTTGTTACTTTAAAATTCAAATATAAAATTTTATTTCCCATTTAATCAAAAGCAGATTTGTAAGCAATAAGATGTAGGGTACTACCGCAGCAACTATATTCAACTATGACAGATATAAATCACAAAAGAAGTATTTGAGTTTTATATATGACATTTAATTGAAATCACTCATGCTGAACATTAACAATGCATACATGCTATAATGAAGTTTGTGTAACTCGTTAATAATAGCTTTATGCACATCTACAGGCCTTGAATAATTCAAATTAATTCAAACAATGTAAACAATTAACGACTAATAATTTCAGTTTCTGTTAATGACAAATATCCACTTACTATAATGAATATGAAATATATTTCGAAGTTTTAAGAAGAATGCTATAATTTAATAAAGCATTGTATTGATAGCTTTATAAAAGTGAACTTTGTAATGTTGGTTACATAACGAATGATAATGGTAAGAAACATTCAGTTTACTTACACGCATAAATAATAGAATTATAATAAAATTGTATGGTAGATAATATCTATAACAGTGGTTCTTAGCCGGTGTTCCGCGAAATTATGAAAGCGGCGTACTAGTTAAGAAACTACGTTTTGAATCTTAATCAATGTACGTGTATTTAATCAAGGTACAATAGATGTGTTCATGCATATTTTTATTGTTAGTTTTATAACCTTAGTGATTTTGCTGTTCCACGAATTTTTCTTACACACAATCAAAATGTTTCGTGACTTTGAAAAGGTTAAGAACCACTGATGTATACATATAAAGATGAAAATCGTTCAATAAAAATATACACAGCAGAACGAGTATGCAAAGATTCCTTATAAAGATCAAAACATTCAAATGTATTCAACAATAAGCTCGTTTTATGTGTTATATTACTAATATTAACTAAAATTAAGAAAAAGTATAGAAAACAGCAAATTTTATATTCGCTTTTTACTCAATGTTTTGTTACTTACTTTCTGCATTTCAACAATTGACTTTGATTACTAGAAAATATGTGATGTGTTATATCCATTTCAAGCAAGGTTCCTTTTAAACCAAAAATAATGTTAACATTACTTTACATGAGCGTGCTATAAATAGATATACTGTGTTTATATTTAAAGTTATCTAGGTTACTATAGACATGATAACATACATCCTATATCAATATTAACTTAAACTGTTGATAAGCAATAAAATTGTAAGAAAAACATTAACTTGTATTTTTGGTTTAGGAGTTACTTATTCATTGGGTACAGCACATCTTATAAAATACCTGCCCATTAGATAATAAATGTTTATAAATCTATTGCTTGTTTACAGCATGAATTGTGAACAGAATGTGCAGAAAATACTACTAACAGTGTCATTAGAAATCTTTGAAGTAGCATGTAAGACGATACAGGTACTTCTTACTATTTTCTATAGTAGGGTCATATGAATCCACAAACTGTCCCTCGACGAACTGTATGCTCAATGACGACTTGCCTGTCAAAATTGATTAAGAAAAAAAAAAGAATTAGTATCAAATATATTATATGTAAAGTAATATAAATGTTACATTAATTATACATAAGCAAGAATTAGTTTGTATTAACAATTATTATAGTAAAATTTCTAAAACAAAATAAAAATTAAATTATTTTTTAACTAAATATTGAAACAAAGTAATGAAAAAAGAATACAAAAAAATAATGTTTCTGTAATTTTCTTGTTATTAAATATTATAATTCAAGATCCTGCTGTCTGTACAATTTTTCTAAAAGTTTAAAAGTTGATATAATATAGAATATATTAAATCATGCTCAAATATATTTATTGTTCATATCAGAATCAATATTATTATAAAACAACATAATGGTTTTAACTTTTTTTTCACAAGATATTATCATCAATTGGGAGGTAAATATGTCACATAGTATAAACATAACAAGACATACAATAATCTCATAAGAAATTAAAAATCATGATTGTAATGTTGATGATTCATTACCTACGGATCTATAACCCATAATAGCTATTTTCCTCTGTTTTGGCGGCATCTTTTAGCATTTATGAACAAAAAGGCTGCAACAATGTTCCATAAAGGTTGGTGCATGCTCCAGTTAAAACCTACAACATAAAATGAAAGTATTACGAAATACAATATTATTCTTAGTAAAGCAATAATTACTAGTTACATTAATATATTCCACTTTTCAGTGATTAACATAACAGTCTATGTTTGATTTCAATATATTGTATTCTTAATTACAGAAAGAGGAATACATCAAAGCAACTAAATAAATAGCACCCGAGTGTTCATTTCCATCATTTCTTTGATCACGTAGAAGTATGATTACATCACTACTGTTTCGCACAAATAAATAACTATGACTTTTTTAAATATATAAGGTTATCATTTGTATATTTGTAGCTGTGCATCCTATACAAGTTGATACAGCTTTGCGAATTTCGATGATAGAAAACAAAACAGTGAAAACATTATGATTTCAAGATACAAAAACAGTTCACAATATTTTCAAAACGAGAAGTTCTCTACAAAATCTTGAAACGTAAATTACAAAAACGGAACGTTCATGAGTGTGTCTATGTAAATACGTATCTATATATATACACATAAATGCACGCACATACGTAGGAGTCAAGTTCCTTACATGTCGGTGTACAATCCATATCCGTGAATTACAAAGTGAATTATTATTTAGTTGGGTTCAATATTTGTACGATACATGGTACATGCATACTCTTTATATTTTTTAACGGAAATATCGTACTCGTCGTAACCGACCAGAATGTCCAACTACTACGCATTGTTTATTGCACATGCATACATACACTACTCACCGAAAGGAACGAGGTGCATTAGGTGCGTTTCATATCAGACATATCGACTTGTGTTGTGCGTCCGTTAATTTAGCGGATTTAGCCAATTGAAAGTTGATATTTAACCGATTAATTGCTATCGCTTCCAACGGAAACTATTACGATCTTGCTTTGAACTGACGAGAGGAAGCACACGATGAATTACGCACTTGAAATGTCACATACAGGATGAGATTCACTGACTCATTAACGTTAATTAGTGTTACGTGTCACGAGACGCCGTGTTAATCTTACATGTATCTCACGAAAAACTATCGTCACAACGTTCGCCCGTTTATCGAGTTTTACTTACTGAAAAATGTGCAACAACGTGCAACAATGCGAGATTTTCACTACTACTTGCCAGCGGATATACCGATCGGATGCGCCATCTGCTCGAATAATTTGAAATGACGAAATTTGAATGCAACTACTGTATTTAATTTCTTTTATTATTCTCTTATGCTCATCTCTCTCTTCTCCTTATTTTTTTTAAATATCAATAACTCCAGTGTAGAATAATTAATGTGAAACAGACGTCACCTTAAAAGTAATTCTTCTTCAGCGTAACCATTACGTTTACGTTCACTAACTGGACCCGAGTGTCATTAGAGTGACGTACTTTAAAGTGATTTGAATAATCATATTTAAATCTATTTGATTGGAAAACAAGTGCGATGTTTATACACTGGTTTTATATGCAGCTTTTAACAAAGTGAACTCTATTTTAATTTTTCGTTCATTAATTGTAGCCAATAATATTTCATTTGAATAACAATTATTACACGCAAAGAGATTTATTAAGTTTTAGTAAGAATAATTTATCGTTGATAGTATAAATAGAACGAAGTGTTTGTGTTTCTATATATTTTCTTACTCTAAATAATTTATGTTTAGATTTAATTCTATATTAATTGTATTATTTATAAAAAATACTGCTGCAACTACTTATAAGTAACATTTATCAATTGGTATATAATATATAACACTAATGATAAAATTACAAATTGATACAAATCAAGCTAATGTATCAATAGAGTTTTTAAATAAATCGTTAAAATAATCTGAATCAATTTTTACAAATTTTAAGTAGAAAGAAGTTCTATTTAAGTATCATCAAATAAACGAGTATAAAAACATTAATTCTATAATAAAAAAATGTTGTTATTTAGGGAAGCTTGATGTATATACTTTCATAATTGCCAAATTTGTAACATTATGCGTTCCTGAAATACATATATTAAATAATTAACAAATTCGAAGTATATAATACATTTATTCAATTGTTGGCAAACTTTAACACATGTTTTTTACAATGTATATTAATATTTACATAAATAATATATTTTTTGTTTAAAGTGTGTTTTTAAGCAGGCTATTAATACTTAATGTACCGTTGAATGTTGTGCAACTAACATCGACACACCGCACTTTCCATTTTCTTAATGATGAGAAAAGGAGGAATAATAAATAAACACTCGTGACGATTTGAATCTCCTCGTTTTGTTTATCGTTTAGCATAGCAGACGTTTATTTCCTACGATTAAGGAGAAAGGAGTGCGATCCGTTGCATTCTTTAGGGGCAGCCAGATCTACATTTCATTTTTTACCCACTTTTTATGTTTTTCTGGATTAGTCCAATGATCTTTCTCTTTCTTTATTTTTGGACTTTCGTTACTGTGCGACTAATTTATCATATTCATTCTCTGATTCTATGAATACGAATTAGAAAAACAAAACGAATTATTTTCGTTTTTCTGTTATAAATTCATACCGACTCAAAATCAAATATGGTTGATTCAAAAGTCTTGTTCCTATATCCATGCTCTTAAACGAAATTACGTATTTCTTCCACTAGATAGAACGAGATGTCGTGTTTTAAATTAATTATTTCACAAACCTAATTACTCAAGGTATGAAGAAATTTGATCGAGCCACGTCTACTGTTCGCGTCAATTTGACCCCAAACACAAACCTTACTTTTTAACCATATTGTTTGTTTTAGAAAGTTATCTTTTTATATTTGTTTTATCTATTAGGTGTGCCAATAAATAATTTACTATGGTTGCAATAAAGTTGCGATAAAATTTACACTCAAAACGTATTTTCGATCTATTGTTTCGTCATAAAAGTCTAGGAAGCCAGAAAAAGGGCAGCAAATATCGTCAGGATACCATAAATATATAAATTTTTTCCACGCAAATATAATATTTTTACGAAACATTCAATGATCTATTTGGTATACCTAGTGTAAATATTTTTCTGTTTAATTTAACGTCGATGTCGATGTGACAATCGCCTGAACAGTAAGGACGCGAGAATTCACTTGAAGTTAATCGATTATTCGAACTTCATCCGCATAGTACCCAGATAGCACATAACGTCTAATGACGCCTTGAAGACGGCTTAAAGGCGTCTTAGACCTAACATGTGCAGAATGAGATACTTTTGTACATGCTTTTCGGGTACATTTTATATAAGTGATACATAAGGAAGTTAGCAGTCTAGTATATATAATATAGAAGTCGGTGGTACAAACCTGTATTTCGTTTCTCTAGTAACGAAAAAAAGTGGTGCACTTGCGAGCAATGCGTTCGAAATGCGCAACAAGTGAAACACACTGCGCACGCGAAAGATCAAAAGCGGGAACCGGTTTTTAATAACAACGTGGAAATATCCGAGGACAGCTCCCTTCGATCGTGAATTACTTTCTCTGGAAGAACAGTGAGAAAGTGTCTAGGAAAAGTTCGACGGTTAGAAAACGGAGACCTTAATTTCGAAAAGATTTCCTTGGAAGGTGTTTCTTTTTCAATCAGTTCGCCGCGTCGTCGTCGTCGAGCCGCTTATACGAGAGATCATCTTTACGACTTTGTTTTCTATGCGAGCACAGGTGCGAATACACTTATTTTTAATACGGTCTGATTGAGATTCATAGCTCTGACATTTTTACGATCAATGTTTACCGTCGTGAATATGTTTTCGTTAGGAGTGAATCACGCTGGTAAAGCGAGGAACAATGGAGGCAACAGAATCGATTTATAGAAATTTATACACGCGAATTTGTAAGAAAATTAAATGAAGCTTCCTGGGTCTTAATTATGTGGATCCAGTGATTACAACATATTATAGAATTCGATGGACGATAGGATAATCGGATTTTTTCATGCCACAGTATGAATTTATTATATTATATACAGTAGACATTTACTTCTTTTTAGCTGTTGCTATTGCGCTGTTCAATTGTTGTTTTTTTAATAGGTGTAACAATTCTAGACAAGGTACTATTTTGTATCTGACAATATAAGAAATGTTTCTGAAGTAATGAATACCTTCGGAAGACTCGAATAAATTTCTTGTCAAAAATGTGTTATTATTTTTTATTTATTGGTCATTTTGGACACAATTTTATGCCATAAAATTGGTGTAAATATATAATAGCGGACAAAATGGTAACCACCTTTTTATTTATTTTATTTTTAGTATTTTTTTAACGTCAATTTGAAACTTTGGCATATGTTTAATATATATGTGTATTCTGATAGAGAATTAAAAGCTATATCAAACCCTGTATATTAAGATTTTAATATTCATGCTAAGTTTTATTAAAATCAGAATTTTCGGGTTCAGTACCTTCCCTTGTGAGTCCGAATCGAAGAAAAGGACAGCGTGTGAAATAGAAAAAGGTAGTCAAAATGGCAGACAAAAAACCTAAAAGTAAGAAGGAACTTGAAAAAACGATGAATCATGTGGAATCACGAACTTGATAATGATTTCCTTAAAAAACTGATACACTCGATGTACAATAGATGCAAAGCAGTTATCAAGGTCCACAGAGGCTATATATAAAGTGCTGAGTTATTTCAGTATAATATAGAAAAGTTCAAAATAACCTTGTACAAGTACAAATGGACATTTAAAGAGAATAAAGAATCAGACACATGTTCCTATTCTTTAAGATTATTCTTGATTAATGTACTTCTTTCTATCACTTTCAGGGAAGTGTATTCGAGAGATAACCCCATTTGTCGACATGTTACCTTAATAGTTTTCTATGAAAAATGGTGAGAGGATTCGATGTATGCAAAAAAAAAAATGGTTTCCATTTAAAAAAATAATGTAGCTGCAAAATGCACATGCATTATTTCACTTGCAAGAAAAATATGATCATGAATATGTAGTCCATTTTTTCCAACCAAAAAAAATGGTATGGCTTGTTACAGTTGCGTAAATCACCCTGTATATGGTAACTCTGTATGTACAATTATTGAGGATGCTATATAGACGAACTTACGCGTGCAAGTTATCTTTGCACGCTGATCGATAGAGTGCAAGAAACTAGCACAATTTCCCCTTTAGCGATACGTGTGCTTGCTTTTTCATCCTATTCTTGTTTTGCCCATCAAGATCGGGCGCCATTGAAACGAAAGTGAACAGCCGGGAGGCAAGCTTATCCGTAGAATCAGTACACGGTGGTTATTTATTGTTGTCACTTATAAATGTCCAATATTTCTCCGGTAAGTTAGGTCTGTGTTTCACTTGTACCTCGAGTGAAACGATTAATGAATAATATGCTTGATTATTTAAGAAAGAAATCAATGCGAAGGATTTACAACTGACTGTTCACTTGTCCTGAAAAGATATTCAAGTTCTTTCATTTGCAAAATAACTTATTAAAAGAAAGAATCGCTTGGTACTTCTATTGAGATCCCCGACAAACCAACAAACATTTTTTTTAAATGTCGCGTTTGTGCAACTTTGGGCATTTTTTTTATTGAAAAACGTAAATAACTTATATATCATTTTGCCGAAATATAAAAAAATGCATTATACATAATATTAAACACCATACTATAAAAACCACACGAGGAGGATAAACCAAAAAATGTCTATGCTTTAAAAAAAAATTGGTTTAATATAGTGCTACGAATAGAATTTCTTCGAAAACGTCGTAGGATCTACGTGGCAGAAGAAATAGCGACGAAAAAAAAAAATCAAGCCGATCGTTGAAAGCCTCTTCACAACTGCAACCGGAAAAATAGAATTCAATAATGTAAATTCACTGAAAAAAAGAATTGCCAGTGAAACGTTACGTTAACGCAACGTTGGGTCTTAATACGGGTGAAATTAACAAAATTTCTGTGTAAGCGCATAGAATGCAAAAAGAAAAATATCATATAACCCGTTAATAGCTGCGATAGAATTTCATCGCGTTCACGTAAGAATATTTTACAGAAATAATATGTATTGCATCGATTTGAAAGCGAAGGAAACTAGTTAAGTGGCTCGCGCATACACCTGGCTTTTCTAAGTAATGTCAAGAAACCGAACCGTGAATCGAGGCGACTAAAACAAAACACTGGGGTCCTCGAAGCCCCCCAGGAAAAGAGAGTTTTAGCGGTGTAGATATAAGGGGATCCTGTTTCCTCGGAATTCTCAGTTTGTTACCGGAATCGCGCGACGAACAAACTATTTAGCGGTCGGCGAACTGTAAAATCGTCACCATGAGGACGGAATTGTTGTTTCAAGTAAATCGTTAACACACACACACACACACACACACACACACACACATATACTCCCGTTCATAAGTTTAGGTAGAGATGGCGTGAACTTTACTTGTGAATCACGAATGATTCGATCACGTTCGTTCCCAATCACGGTGATTTTTCACAGTGATAAATTTTACAGTTCTAGACAACAGTTACGCTAATATAAACTAGTTAAAGTAGCTCGAAATATGTAATATTTATGAAACATCATATTTTGTTCGCACAGGCCAGGTGTCCTAATACTTATGAATGGCAGTGCACCTTAACAAACGTGCTCCCTTATCGTGTATTCATTAGCATTCAGGTTTTGCGAAGAGTTCGTCTGTGTGTTCGACAATAACTGCCATTTGATATACACTACTGAACAGGTAAGTGATAGGACAAACATGTAAGAAGACTTTTATTATCATTTTTATGTAGAATGACGCTGTAAAACAAAAGTTTTACCTTTAATTTTTACAAGGTCAAACCAAGGACATCTCGAGTTTTTTAAGTGCAATACTTTATTTTCGCCAAGGTCATTTCAAGAACACAAGGTAAACTTACATTTTTTCTGTAGGTACTTTCAGAATAACAAAACAAAAATATAGCATTGTATTTGACGAATCACGAGATGAGCTTAGTATGACCTTGAACAATTGAAAGTAAATTTTGTTTACGGTGACATTCTACATAAAAAATTATGATGAAAGTCTTCTTAGATTTTTGATCTATCACCCACCGTTAAGTAATCATATCGAACAGCACTAATCGTGCGACACTCGGTATTTAGAAGAATGAAAAGTATATGACTGAAAAAGTGAGAGAACTTACCACGGAACATAAGACTAAAATAACGATAGTCTCATTTCGTAATTGAAAGAATTAATTAATGATTGTTTTTTTCTCTTCAAATGTGCTGAAAAAAACTCAGAGGAAAAATATTTATTAGAGACTTTCTTCTATTTATTGAGCTCATCGAGTGATTGAAAGCAATCCTTTTATAAATAGCTATGCAAATTATATGAAACTTAACGAAAAAAATAACTTCAGCGAATATTAGCAAAATTTCTTCAGATTTTTACATTGGGAATCTGTTCGAACGATGAAATCGATGAATGCAAAAAGGTCTCTTAATAAAAAGTTTGAATAAATTGGGTACTATCAGTCAAAAAATTGACAATGACGAAACTGAGGTTTTCTCTTAAGATATTACGAATTATTATTAACGGTTACAAATTCGATTGCATAATTTTATATATCATTGGATTGCATGGAATGATTTTGTCTAATTTTCAGTTCACCTTGCTATTGACGATATTATTGGTTGCTTCCTCAGAAGGATTCTTCTTCGAATAGTAAGTGACATTTTTTACTTTCATTTTATTCGAAGAGAAGGGGACTCTTCTAGAGTAACGCGGGAATTTTTTCTAATATTTATTAACACATCCCAAGAATTATTATTATTATTTATCGTCTATATATTGTAAATTACAAATTTTATACATATTATACAATAAGTTACTTTCATAACAGTGAAATTCTTAATAAAAATAATTTTATTCTTTTAATAATTTCTACTGTTGCAAATTACTTCATAAAATTATGAATCTCTATAAACATTCACAGGCTATTTATTTATACGATTCATTAAACTTGAGAATTTCTATAATCTATTTTACATATTCGCGGATTAAAATTTTTAAGATAACATAAGTTCTGTTATTTCAGTCCTAAGAAAGTTATATCGCACTTTCTCCAAGCGTTAAAAGAAAAGAAAGAAGCGAAGAAAAGGCCGTCGATAGAGCATTTACACTTGCATTATTTCCCCGTGGTGCACGCGTTCCCCGATCCACCGACGAAAGCGCCCAAGAAACATGAACTCGACGAACTTCATAAGTATGTCCAATGTTTGTAACAATAAGAAGAACGTAAAGTGTCAACTATAGTGAGATTGAAACAAAATTAAAGTATTGGTAATACCGAAATAGATTTTAATGCCAAGCGAAATGTACCTCCAGACGAAGCTTTAATTTTTTTTTTAGTAATCACAATAATTTTATTTAACCAATACAATGGTAATTTCTTTTAAACAGTAATTGCAGTTAAATTTTTTTTTAAGTTACTATGAAAAATTGGTGAATACGAATAACACATTTAATGAATTTTAAATTACCATAAAAATTCGAGTTGTAACTGAATAGTTATGGTGATCTTTTCTTTATGGTCAAATAAGTCTATTTAATTTAATCGGTTAGAGAAGGTATATATGTAATTTGTTTTCAACGAAAGTTCATGTAAATAATGTATATAACTTATTATATAAATATCAATTGATATCCTTATAGGAAATAATTACTGGATTATTTGATAATGATTCAATGACAAGGAATAATATGTTTATGTTATAAAAAATATTATGTTTAGTGAACATCTAGCTGCGTTCGGGTGGTCCGACCATGAATACAAACATGTTCCTGATCCTGAAATCACATTTCCATCGTCCATATCGGAACCGTGGTTCGAAGCTAAACCATGGAAACATGAAATTTTGGGTGAGATTAATTATTATAATGTTTATATAAATGATTATAATATTATTCATGTCGTCGTAATAAAACTGATAACATTGTGTTATCTTTAATTTCCCAGAAACTGTTTTTCGATAGTATATATGTATAGAATGAAATCAGAAGAACAGAATATATTTAAATAGTTATCTCCATTATTATAACTTTTACGATAACAATCTTAATAATTACTCTTCAATTACTACTAAGTTTGCAACGAAAGTTTGACTTGAATTAATACCTATGTGAATAAACGATCAGAGATCTTGTTACTTTTATAAATGTTTAATGTGTACGTGATGAAATTTCGAAATTTACAATGTTAATAATATATTAACCATGAATAGTTTGCGGATTTTTATACAAATTTAGATTTCTTCTAAATTATTTTATAAATGTAGAAACTATCGCTTTTTAATTTGAAGTCTATCTAACTTTTTTAATGATTTTACAGAATCAGATCTATCAGAAACGGTGGATGACAGTGAGAATGAAGATATATTTGTTCAAGTACCATATAACCAAAAGATTATCATTGAAAATGAACATACGGGTAAGCTCAAAAAACTAAAACATGGTCTATTGGCAGCACTTTATCATAAAATCACTGATTCCAAAAAACATCTGCATCTGTGAATCGAATGAGGAAGGATTAGTTGAAACACATTAATAATATCAATAGCCAGTTCTACGTTTCATAGGCCAAAATATGAGGAATAATCATCCAAGACGTGACTTCTTTCGAAGTTAAAGTACCAACTAATAAATATCGAATAGAAAATATCTCATTATTAGGTTTCATTTTGTAAATCAATTGTGTTCATGAATGAACAATCTCAGTTTTATTACATTTTCTGCGAATAGTAAAATTTATATAAAATCGAGGTTCAATGTTGACTAAATTCAAAAGTATATGGATAGTTATAATAAAGTAAGAATACTCTTTTATTTTTCCTATTAGTGTAGGATTACAATGTTCCTGTTATTGTTATATCTTCTAGATAATGTTAAAATAGTTGAAATATTTGTTTCCTTGTTAGTGTTGTTTTTTTATATTTTCATATATATTTTCATTATATATTTTTCATTTTTGTTAATTTTTATACGATTGTTTTACCGCTCGATGTGTATGAGACACATGTTCTGTTCCAATGTAGTTTTAGATGCATACAAAATGTGATAGTATAGTAGTGTTCTTACAATAAAAGTTACTGACAACAGAAATCGTGTGATGTGTTTTATTTATTCAATTTTTTATTACAAAAATTGGAACGTTTATATATGAACTTACTTATCGTTAGTAATTTGATAATGCATGATTATATTATGTGTATAATAGATCAGCTTACATATTCAATTCAATTCAATTAAAATAACATTATTCCGCACACTAATAACTGATCCTATATACTTTTTTCAAATGTAATACTTATTTATTATATAATTTCAATATTATTTGTTCCCGGTTTTTCCACGCAGTTCGCCAATTTCAAAGAAGCAAAATACCGAAGAATTTGATCAAAATTGAATGAAATGTTTTCTCCTTTCTTTATTACAGTGACACAATCAATAGAAAGGATAAAATCTTGGATTTGCTTAAACATTCACAAGTCTGATTTTATATTCCTATTTTATACCTTCTGAAGAAATTATATATTTTATATATTTTAATTTTGTACAATATTTGACTACTTCTTAAAAATTTATCAAAACTTCTTGCGTTTTGCATAGTCACGTGTGTCGTAAATACATAAACAGGGGGTATTTATTATTTTTACATAGTATACAATTTTTAGCGCAATATTGTTTATATATAAAGCTTGAGCTTACTATACTTCCTTTCTTTCATACAATCCGTAAGCACTTCATAAGATGTTTCCAACAATCGAGATATGACCGAGGGTGGCTTCAGCTTTCTTTCTTCTATGCGTATTTTCTGTTGCTCTTGGTGATATTTTTCGATACTAGAGGCGAGTAATTGCATGTATTTCCGATCTGTCAATCGCACAATGTGACTTCCCATTATATGCTCTAGTCGTGATTTCACCGGTGGATAATTTATTCTGTAAAAATAGCGCGTAGAAATAACTTGAAAATAGAACCGTTCAAATTCGTTATACTACTCTGTTTTCTCATTAAAAAAGGTGATTAATTGCTCTGGTTATATCAAGACTTTACATGAATATAGAACGATCTGTTGTTTGAAATATTCAAGATGGCAGAAAATTCGCCAAACGTTACTATCATTCGACGTTTTTATAACTTATAACTGAATGGCTTGATTTTTACCAAATGTATTTAATTCTTTATAATTATCTTTTTTCCGTTTTTTTCATAGTGTAATTAAATAAGAGCATAATTATTTTCTTTGTTTTTTTTCGCTTTCTTATTTATGGTAAATGAGAGTGCGCAACTTACAATAAAATAAAAACATTTAGAATAGTTCAATGAAATTTTTATTTTATTTTTAATCGAACAAAGATAATACATTTCTGTTTCGTCTACCTTTTTGGAAGTCTGTCTACAAGAAGAATATGTGAATTTGCATTATCGTTCGGAACTTACGCGTATTTTACATATTCCGTTTCCCACCACTTCAAAGGTGTATCCAAGGGGTCGAGGCTAGAAACGAACATTTTCCGAATATTTTCAGCTTCTATTTCTTTCTTTCTCCGCGCAGCCCTTTTGGCTGCTTCCTTCTTCGCGTCATCGTTAGATACAACCGCCTGGACAGAATCCTCATTCGACACTCTTCTTCTCGACTTGGTTTGCTTAGGCTTTACATCTGTCTGTTCTATTATCGACATTTGTACAATTCTTTTTTAAATAATTCTATACACTCATTTCTTCAACGCAATCGTCAGGCAAAACTGAAAATATTCTCGGCGGCCAACAAAGTTTGTGATATAAAGTACAGTTTAATTTTGGGAGTGTAATTGCCAAATGAACGTTGTGAGTGAATTTAGCAGATTTAAGAAACGAAAACACTCTCAATTCATTGTATGCTTTATACGTGTGTGTTATTTAGAAACAAAAATGTGTTTTCGAAAGTGTAACAAACATGAAAAAATATAAGAATAATTATTTATTTTAAATTTAAGAAGAGATACAAAGAAATCATTCTTGTGTTGTAATAACGATATTCTGATAATTATATTTAAAGCACTTCTTCATTTATTAAATAACAGTTGCAAATTATTGACTAAAGTGATAACATTTGTTTCTCGAAGTATTGCCATCTTGTACGAAAGCATTTGTTTCGTTTATGCACAATCCCAAATGGAATTGGTTCGAGTAGATTAAATTCACTCGTTAATATGTACTCTGATCAATGACTACTAAACCTTGACCCTGTAGCCGTGCAGCTGATAAGCGACTATAATGATTGCATACGTTTTTCGCACGTATTATGCTTCATCGACAGTCTCTTCAATTTTCATATTAATCACCACAGTTTAAGATTATAAGCTTGATTAAATTTACAGTCCCTTTATAAATATAAATCCCATTGAATAAAATAAAATATTGTGTGTTAAGAAAATGATTGACAAAAAGAGATTTTTTGTGAGAAGAGAAACCATTGTACGTTGTAGTTGTGTAAGATATTTTGCATAATTTATTAACCATTCAAATAAGTAATGTAATTTTATTTATAATATAGAAACTAATTTTATAAAAATAAACATACGATCATACCATAGCGTTTGAATATTCCCGCGTCTGCAATCAACACTTAAGGATAGTTCTCAAGCTCAACTAAGGTTTATTTTCAACGACACAACACAGATTATATTTAATTCAAACAGTAAAAAGTAATCACAAGATTTGTAGTAATTATTTCACTATTAGCGTAAAAAATATAGCTTACAAATATTCATTAATATAAAAATATTATTCACTATTTTCAGTAAGAATATCATGACCTTTCTATGTAGATTCTCAGAATTTTTGTTAAATGTGCGTAACATAAATATTCAAATGGGTAAATTCTGTGAAAAGTAGTAGTAAAACATTAAAAATTACCTTTACACGTAAATAATGACACAAATCTTGCGGTTTATATAGTTAAGGGTGTTTGCGTATTCCTGTGATGCTGTGGTCTGTGGTTGGAATAATTCGGAAACAAACATGGCGAAGCTATTGGGGTTAGATAAAGTTGTAAAATTCGTTCGAATAATACGAGAAAATGGGGGTATTTTTAAATCATTGCGCACTGCATACAGGTTATTATCATATTAAATATTTATTCCAATGAACTTTGCGGCAACTCTCTTCATAGAAATCATTTACGAATGATCATTATTTAAGTATTACATTAACAAACCTAATAATAGATTGTAGTTATTAATGAACAGTGCAGAGTTTTAATACAAAGATATAAAAACATTTCATTTGTGTTATATTATATCCTTTCGTATTCTGAATATTTTAGGATGGATACATTAAAAAGTGGAACCTGTGTAGGCGAGGATGAATTTGGAAACAGATACTTTGAAAATAATGAATATTTCTATGGTAAGTAAAAGAATTAAGAATTATTGGCTTGTTTAAATAATTACTTCAAATGTTGCACACTATGATAAAAGTATAATTCAATGTAATTTGCATTAATCATGCAGAGCGAAATAAGCAATAGTATATGACAACATTGTGATCTATTGTCTAACTTAATAGACTTTTTAAAAATTTAAGTATAATTTCTAGCACATCAAGGCACTATCGATTCTTTTGAAACATATATTATGTATATATTGTAATATAGGTACAAACAGATGGGTAGTATATTCGGACAGGTACGGTATGGACTATGATGGTTCTCAAGTAACACCGGAATGGTTTGGATGGTTACATTATAAAACAGACTTACTCCCTCATAAGGATCCATCACGACCAAAACATAAATGGATGACAGAACACAAACCAAATTTATCTGGTACAAATGAAGCTTATATGCCTTATAGTACTGTGCCACCAAAGATACAACCATGGAAACCACAACAATAGTATACTTTTGCTGTATTCTATTAACAAATAGAATTGTTTAGACTTATTACTACAATAATGAGTATAATATGTAATTAAATGTAAATAAAGTAATTGTCTGTATGAAAGATACACAAACGTTTGTATATTTGTAAGACAGTATAATATTTATAATTATTTTGTCTGTTATTGTATATATGTATCAAATGAATACATTTGAAATACTTAGAAATTTCACTGTATGCATACTATAGTATTGTGTTAAACATCGGAGTGTCATTCTTTAATTCTATAAACATACTCCCATGATCGAACTGTGAATCTTCATCAAAATTATTTGTTTTTTTAATTTATTTTATTTCACACATTTGCAAATGTTATAAATGCATAAAATTCAGTCTACTCAGTGCACAAGATAAATGAACATAATACATTTGTTTTCATACATTTTTTTCAGTAAATAACAATCGGGATTTATATTATTTTAATTAAAATTTCGACCTAAAATTGTTGTTTAATTAAAGAAGATTAAGTTAAAAATATCAATTTTAAAAATTACAAGTTCTTAAATCGAAAACACATAAATTCAGCTATTGCGTGACAATAGCATTAGAAACTTCGTTCTGTTTACATATACGTATTCCATTTTACGATCTATAGTTAGTCAATTTTACGATCCACAGGAAGTTGTGCTTTTCCTGCAACTCTTGCTCCTCAATTTGTTTTTAAGAAGAAAATTCAAACTAAATTAATAAAGAATTTAAATAACATACTAATTATAATTCTTACATTCTCTAATAAAAATTTTGTCTCATCTACTGAAACGTTAAATTTAAATATTTTTTCCTAGTTCAAACCTCTACAATTTCCTATGAGAATTAATGTCAATACAATTCTTTGTGAAATAGTTCTTCTATTACAATATTTTTAATATATTTACAAGTTATTAGGCAATTTTCAAATAGTAACGCCAAATCTCGTAAAATGTATAAAGTTTAAAAAACAATGATTCTTTAACTACTTATAGTAAAAAAACCTTGATTAAACCTGGAAAAATTCAAAAAAATTACAAACTGGTTTCAATTCATTTAATAAATGTTTCCAGTTTTTAAATTTCAAAATACATATTTCACCGCGTTTTTTCATATTATTTCTTACGCGTCCAGATAATCATTTCCGAAAGGAAAAAATGTTTACAGGAACAGTTAACAGGATATTCTTATTTGTTTTTAATTGGAGTAGTAAACCAAGCACTAGGAGAATTGTATATACGCGCGATTGTTTATTGGCATTTCCATTAGAGTTAGTGGAAGGAGATAGAAGTCATGATGGGACATCGTTATCTTTGTCCCCTGTTACCGCTTTCATATTGATTAGTCCTGATTACCAGGAGTAGGGAGACATGACAAAAAGTATAGGCAGAAAAGTTCCGGTCGTAAGTTAAGAATTACAGATAGGACGAGAAAGTTATGGCATCTGATGGAACGGTGATTCCCCCACGTAAATGCCCGAACGGACGAATGTAGAAATGTGTTATGTGCATAAAAACGAAATATTCAACAAACAGAAGTTGCCCCTCGACACGAAGGCTTGAATCTATATGGTGAGTGAAAAAAAAATTCAATGTCTGACATGTTATCTGAAATAAAAAGCAATATATGTGATTCAATTACTCGCTACATATCAAAATTCATCCCGTACTTCGTCGATTCTTCCATCGTATTCGATATAACTGAAATTATTTACTGACTTCAGTCGATGTTTCAGAAATGACAAAAACGTTTTATCGATTCATTTGTAATTTTAATAATAATTATTGGAAAGATAATAAACTAGCCATAGTTTCCAGTGATCAATTTGTTAAAATGACTTATCGCAGATTTTGGCAAAATAATTCTTCTACTTAATGAAGAGTACTTTCCTTTTTAATGAAAATCTACTTAATAAAGGGCATTTTTCTTTTCAATGAAAATCTAGTTAATGAAAAATGCTTGTTTTTTTTGTTATTTGGTGACGATAAAATACAGAAGAAACTGCTTGTTCGCGTTTGCTGCCATTTTTTTTCTTCAAATCATATTTGCCTATAAATAATTTAAATATTGAGTTCCACTTAATTACATAATTCGTATTATTCAAATTTCCTTAAAATCATAATAAATAATAAATCTGTATTATATAATTAATTTAGACTGGCTCACACCGTAGAAGAAGAAATTTAAACTTTTAGACCAGTGATATTGGTACACTTGAATTTTTACATAAGCAATGTACAAATTATTTAAAAACTACAAAAACACAATTGAATGTTTAACGAAATACATTGTAGGCTTTAACTCAATATGGTAAATCGTCGTCACGCGAAGTCGCAAATAAAATGTTTCGCTCTCTCGGAGAAGAAATTGTTCGTAAACGAAGCGGTGGTTCACGTGAAAAACGGGAATTACCATAAAGCAATGTGTCTGCTCAATCAAGTAAGTTCTTCAACTTTGAAGCATTTCGTCTAATTTAGACAAGCCGTCACGACATTGCCGTGTAGAATTGTAGAAAATTAGAAGACAGTTTTGTGCTTATTTCTTGATTCAACATAATTTTAACTTCTTTACTATAAATCCACAATTCAAAAAGGGACTAACAAATATTCCAGGAACTTAAAGAAGTATAAAAATTAATGTCTACCCGTATTTTTATTCCCCCAAATAATTGTATACGTTCTAGAATCTATAGTGCTTAATCTAATTTTTATTTTAAATCGGTAATATAATTTGACGATTGAAAAAATAAGTACAATTATTTTAAACTAACCCAAATCTGACCTGTAAATTTCATTTGTCGCAAAATCGAAAAAGTTACGTAAGTAAACCTTCTCAAGTAGTAAATCTTGTATAAAAAGAATGATGTTCATGTTTCTTTAAATGCATTATGCATATATTTATATGAAAAAATTAGTTTTATATTTTATCACGAAATACGCCATGACATACTTATTACTGCAAAATGGAGTCATACAATATTTGTTTCTCAATTTATGCACCAATTCACTCAATTTTAACACTCACTACTGCGCCCCTCAAGATATTGAAACGTATACATTATATGTACTTGGAACACACTGTATAATTAGACTGCTAACCTTTGTGAAATCACAGATTTCTGAAGTAATTTGAAAAAGCAGGAATTATACAAAATTTTATTTTTCTTCCGAAAAATTTTATTAAATTGAAAATCAAATATTAGCATCGTAAAAATTTTGCGTGTAATTGATCAATTTAACTTATAAAATTCGTAGTCTGTATATGCTAGGTAAAAACACAAAAGGGTTCACATGGTTTACTGGAATGTTGTAGGAACATTGTAGGATCTGCTATCATGATTGTGGTATTGCATGTGGTACCGCCGTAACTGATTTTACTAGCGAAACTAACCACTTGCCGTAGAATATTGTTCTCGAAACTTCCTGACAGCCTAATAATTTATTAAACAACCAGTGTCCATGCTCTTTGATGAATAGGAAGAAAATATTTGTTAGATCTATAAAGATGATACATAATAACAATATAATATCTCTTATTAATACGAAATCATGATTTTTAAGCATCTATATTGTCTTTTAACAAATTTTTGTCGGCTTTACTTTATGTACGAACAAGTTTAAGTCATTATGTAAATTAATTTCAGTATATGTACATACAAAACAAATATTTTGTATTTTACTGACTCGACTCGTTGAATAAGGTATACAAATACGACCCTCGTATTTTCCACATTTACTACAATTTCCTTTTCTTCAATTGTTTTCCTTTTACTTCGTTATGTTTAAGTTTCACCTATTGCTACCATCTTTACGTTGATTTCTAACTGTATCGTAAAACGATATTATTACTACATAATATTTTCTTTTAACATTCGTATATGTAACTATTTAAATAAAATATAAAAAATGTAAATTTTTTGTACTATGAAGATACAATAGCATGCGAAAACGACGCATATTACTCATGTACAAATTATTCGTGAAAATTGTCTGTTTCTGCACTTTCGTCGCGTGAGTCCTACATCGAAAACAGGAAAATCTTTACACATGTACGAACCAAGATTTTCTCACATGCCGAATTTACCCGCATTGTTGACTGTTTCTAAGGAAACAAGCCGTCTGGCAAAGGTGTCGATAACCACACGTCTGTTCCCACACGCGAGACACACCAAAGCCGTTCGCATTTCGGCACAGTCTCGTGAATGAACCACACCTACTAATAACTAACAGTTTCAAGTAACGAAAAGAATAACATATAAGTGATTCCTTAAAACGGGACTGCTCTATCCAAAAATCAAACATTATACATAATACCAATTAATCGAAAAAAATTCCAAAAAGAAAGAATTATACAAAAATTCGCAGCAATCCTGTTTCAATCAAAGAAAAATAACAAATTATAAATCCTTAAATCAGAGTAAAGAAAGCAAAATTGGTCAGTGACTAAAAGAAGAGGGGAAGAATATAAAGAATGGCCGAAGTAATGCCGATCGAGTCCGCTGACACGTCGAACGCCATTGATTCCAAAATTATGGACATCCTAAATCCGTCGTTGCACCATCACGATCTTTTGCAAAGTTACGTGCGCGCCCCTGTCGATGGAATTTCGAGCTCGAAGCATTCGGACGAACTGGAGAACTTGAACAAGAACCCATCGTCTTTAGGCACCTGCCTCGCCGTGGAGTCGTCCGTGAACCTCGACAAGGAGAGCTGCATCAGCAACGAGAGGAGGAAAAAGAGAAACGACCAGAAACAATCGAAGCACACCACCACCGAGAAATCGTCGATCGAGTCGGAGATGACCATCCAAAAGAAGAAGAAATGACGTAGACAGGACAATGGGGCGCGTCGCCAGGAAGAGGTATACACGGACAAGGATCGAGCCGCAGCGGTGAACATGGGCACCAGGGACATCAAGCAATCGTTGAAGATGAAACAGAAACAAGATCGAAATTTACAGCTTCCCGAGGACACCGAACCGACCGCGATGCTTGCTTTAGGATTGCGCGAGATGCGGATAGGTGATGTTATGGTCGCCATGAATTGTATCAATAAGGTTCATGTACTTTACTCGTCGGAGCAATTGAACTTCCCGATTTTCTTCCACCATCACGTATACAGGGTGTCTCAGCTAACTTGATCATCTCGAATAATGACTTAACGTTACATGTTTTAAAGTACGTGCTTTTTTTGTAGGTGGAAGCATTTCAGAGATTTCAAGGTCGCCTTGATTTTTTTTAACGAAACGACCTATTTTTGTACGATAGATCAATAGAGTATCAAATTCTGAGTAAAAAGTTTATAACTTATTCGTTCAATTAAATCAACAAATCGTTAATTTAGGACAGAGTTCGGCAGAATGTTATTCGAATAATACACGATGAAAAGAAGCAGTATCTAAGGGTGTCGTCTTGGGTTTTAAACAGTTAATGAAATTAAATAATTGTTCGATATTAAAAAAAAGTAAATTGACCTTTATGTCCTCTACGCATCCACCTACAGAAAAACTATTTCCAGCCAATTATGTCACCCTCGAAACCATTTAACTTTTGTTCGAAACATATTTCAGAAATATTCAAGAGGATCAACTAAAAAGGAACACCCTATATAACTGAACCTCCATCGCTATACACTTTTATTTATACAATTCTTAATTTTCCTCTTTTTTCTTGCTTCTGCTTGCTTTGTGTTGCAAAGCACTTAAGCAGGAGTTGATTGTGAGGGATACATTCAAGAATATTGTTTTTGTTCATTCATGCAATATAAATTGTAGTTCTCATTAAGAAATGTGAATAAATAAATCATTAATTAATGTCATAAACATGACGAAATACGAATTTTAACAAAAATAAATAAAGTCTAAACTTTAGTTTTAACGTAGCAAACCTTTAAAATGGCAAAACAAATTTTTCTTCTTTGTGATTTTCGTAAAATAAGTTATGAAAGCGGAAATTTTCGTGAACATTCGTAGTCTACTGATACGCTTTAGGAGTGAACAGGCCGGTGCAATATGGCGGCATACTACTGGCATACTATCTAAATACATACTGGCCACCAATTTGGAATCACTTCATAATTTATGAAAAACAGAGATTTTCTTGAAAAACAAACGAATTTAAATAACTATAAACTATTGCATTCATTAACGAGAATTATTAAGTGTACCAACCAGTGATCCATTGTGTTTTTCATTAATAAACTGACAAGATAATATATAATAAGTTTAATCTATCTTCCTATCATTATTATGGGAACTTTTATATGTATACATATGTATACTATATAATATATATAGTATTCTATAGTATTAAAACCATATGTAAATATTGATATAAATAAACATAATCAGTAATAAATAGACGCATACGCTAAATAATGATAGAGTGCTCGCGTGCTCAATATATTAGACATCAATTTACTTGGGAGTTAGAAATGAAAACTAATACAAAAAAATGTTATTCTACATTTTTTAAAACTATTTTTCCGTATACAGACTCCTCTCGATTATCGTCTGGCTTGTTCTACACGATCATTGTCCAGGTGTTACCCTACCACTGGGGGGCGGGTGTGGAACCTATCAAGCGCATACTTTGTTGCCGAGGCTCGGGCTTCGGGCAAAAACGAATTTACGGAGGTCTGAAGCATGTCTCCCTATAAGATTATTGTCCCGGCGCGGACTTGAGTTCGAGACGATAATCGAGGGGAGTCTTTAAGTCACTTCCTCCTCGGCTGTACGGCCAATTACAGGGCATCCTATGCACATATATGCATATACTTACATATGTATGTGTTGTACGCAACGCACGTTATTTTGTATAATGTACGTTGTTTTCTTTTTTTCACCAGGCACTGGACCTCGAACCAAACGACAGAAATGCATTAATAGCCCGGAGTAAATGTAATCTTCTGTTAGGAGAGTCGCAAAAAGCGTTACAAGACGCCGAAAACGCGCTACAACACAAAATGAGAAATGCCAACATGGCGGAAGCGATATATTGCAAAGCGGAAGCCTTGTATTATCTGGGTGACTACGAAATGAGCCTCGTTTATTATTATCGTGGCATGAGAATTCGTCCAGAATACGGACAATTCCGTCTTGGCGTTCAAAAAGCTAAAGACGCGATAAAGAATATGTTGCACAAAGAGTCAGACAACATGTATAGGACGTAAAAATATTTACGACCGAAAGAAAGTGATTAGTGATTCATCCTGATTCATCCGAAGAAACTTCGGCAATCATCCTTTGTATATCTTAAAAAGAAAAGGGATGTTGGATTTTATTAACTTTTGAATAAAAATAAAGAAAATTTGTTTAAATCTATAATAGGTGGTAGAAAATATTTTAGTTCGAAATATGAATTTATCTGAATTTATTTGCTTATAATAATATAAGTTGATAAAAAAAAAGTGTTTGAATTGTTACAATTGTAACAATAAATAAAATGTAATAAATGTTAATAATAAATAAAATGGTCTAACATATATTAACCGTAAGGATTTCCGGGACTTCTTGAGCAAAATGTTTTCATTATGTAATATACCATTTTTACTGGACGTTTTATATACAGTAAAATGTTAAAACACATTGTATGCGCATAATTATTTATTTAAATGACAGATCATATGACTGATATGACCCATATGGCCACTGAATTTGAAGCGGGAAAGTTATATTATTTTTGATCGTATTTATTAACGTGCGTCACTTGTGAATTTAATTTTTATGTTTTATCAACCAGTTAATATTTACCAGTGTTCGTAATAAAAAACAAAATATTCTAAGCAATTTTGAAATTCATGTAATCATTTATTGAGTTCCTTAAATTACAGGTTAAACTAACCTCATAATCGATAATTAAATGAATTATCTACGGTATTCGGGTAATCTATAAATTTTATATCAAGACAATATAAAAATTTGTTTAAACTTCTTTCAGTGGGTACATTATTCTATTAAAATTAAGTGGAATTTATAATGGCAGAAGTAATTTTAAGTGCCGGTGAAAAGACGTTTATTCTTCATGGTGTAGATGTAAGCTAGTAGTAATGTTTCGCACACAAGAATAGAACATTAAAACTATTTGGTTAACTCTTTAATTCTGTATCTGTTAGGCAGACTTTAGAAATGATGGTAGAAAACGATGTGAATATCGTTCCATGGAAATTGAAACTAAATTAATGCCACAAACTCACGGATCTGCAAGATTACGTATTGGAAACACTGATATACTTGTTGGAGTTAAAGTAGAACTTGATACTCCAAATGCTGACAAACCAGATGAAGGAAAACTAGAATTTTTTGTTGACTGGTATGTTGTATCATCTATAACATCAAATATATAATATCCATTATTGATTCATATAGAATTACTTCACATGTATCACAATACTAAAGAATGTTTTCTTAGCTCTGCCAATGCAACTCCAGCATTTGAAGGAAAAGGTGGTGACGATTTAGCAACTGCACTAAGTACTACTCTTGCAATAGCTTATCAAACACGTCATGCTTTTGATTTAAGAACATTATGCATTTTACCTAACAAAAAATGTTGGAAAGTTTACGTTGATGTATTGGTAAGTTTATACAGTTATCCCAAGATTTTATGTCTTTTGAACACTGTATTGATATTATTTTATACAGATCCTTCAGTGTGGTGGTAACTTGTTTGATGCAATAGGAGCTGCAGTTAAAGCAGCATTATACAGTACGGAAATTCCAAAAATCACAGCAGCAACACTCGATGGTGGAGAACCAGATATTCAATTGTCAGATGATGCTTATGATTGTATTCAGTTAGATACAAGTAACTATCCAGTCATTGTAACACTGTGCAAAGTATGATCAATACTATTTTATATTACTATTTAAATTTAAATTCTACTGTTTAACACGTTTGCGCCTAATTTTTTACCTGTATGGTTTGAGTCCCTGCCCGTAATGCAGTTTAGCGACAATGGACGCCAACGTGTTAAACAGTTGAAGCAGTTATTAAAATACACTACCTTTATATTTCACGAATATAAGAATTTATTATAATATACACTCTTTTTCATTACTTAGTATTTTTACAAATAATTTGTCATAGATTGGAGATAATTATGTAGTTGATCCTACTTTGGAAGAAGAAGTATGCAGTGTAAGCAGTATAGTCATCTCTGTATTACCAAATGGCAAACTTTCATCGATAGTTAAATTGGGTTATGGTAGTATTCAACCCAGTACTTTTACTAAAATGTTAAAGGTAAAACAATATTCTTTATAGAGAAAATATATATGAAATATATTTATGACAAAATTGTATTTTTAGATGGGTCAAAAGATAGGACTACAATTAAACAAAGGTCTTATGAAAGTTCTAAAGGAAGAAGATCAACTTGGTCGAAACAGAGACGTATTTGGGTTCCTTAGATGAAATATGTATGACAATTATATTTTATTACTTATAAATATATTCTTTTTCAGATAATTCACGTGTTATTCGTCATTAATAAATAGTATTTCTGGTATGGTTTAAAATACGATTTAGAAATATCTAAACATAATTGTTAATCATTTTGAATTGTGAATTTTTTGTAATAATTATTATATACATTGAAATGTCATACTGACTGCAGCATACTCCAATATGTTTGGCAATGCAAAAGAAAATTTAAAGAAAAAATTCTTTGAATGTAACGGATAGTTATTATGGGTGACTGATAATTGTTTACAAGAACGTAATACTTACTCGTAGAAACCAAAAAATATTTCTCGAATAAGAATTAAAAACATTCTGCCTTGTACAATGAATAACATTGTTATATTTAAAGACTATTTACGTACAACTCATACAGTATTTTATATTGGAGAGTTTTCAAACCCGCGGCTCGCATACTCATTTGGCTTTTTAACAGTAGGACCAGGATAGCCTTCTTCTCCTGGTAATTGGGCATGTCTTACTTTCATTACATACCAACCAGATTTACGGTACCATACCTAAAAATAATGTTAACTTTATATTATGGGAACGTTCGAAAAATTGTTTAGTCATAACAAAATTTCTACATATTTGTCAACAAAACACAAATAATACATATTATATTATATACTACCTAAAAATATTGGATGTATATTGTGAGAATGTAAAAACCTTTTCAAAAACAATATTAACTGTTGTTTTTTAGCTGATATTTTTGCAGAAGAATAGTTTTTATGAGAAATTTAACTGAAGTTTAATGTTAAATCTGACTTGAAATTATTTAATTTCAGTGCATGTTATGATTTTACATATATCTCATTAAATATACCTGACAGGACGTTTTTTAATATATATATATATATATAAAATATTTTTTTTTCCTTACCATCTCCTTTAAGGAGACAATACTACTTATTAATTTATGTACAAAATATATGCTTTTTGTGTATTCTATATATGTATATACAAAGATGTATAAATGTAATTTACATACCGCTGTATTATATTTAGCGTAGTACCATGTGCAATATATTCCTACGATACCTATTATAAGTTTCGATGTCACAGTACGTGTGACCAATGCATTCCTTTTACCCTATTACCAAATATAACAATTAGAATATTAAGTGAAGTAAATGTTCTTAGCAAGGACCAAGATCAATGAGATCATTATATGTTTAAAAATTTTGATCAATTTACCATAATAGGAGCCAGTGAGTTCTCCATTAGATTCAAGGGTATTCTGATGAGTCTCTTCAAAGGATTGTAATATTCCTTGTAATATTCAGGAGTTTCTATTGGTTCTCCAGGTGGAATTATCTGACTTTTAAGGAATTTTGCTCTCCATGCACGTTCCTCATCTGTCATACCTAACAAACGCTTTCTTTCCCTGGCCATACGGCCTTCAATATTTATTGCTTTCACGCCACCAGTTGGGGAAGATGCCATGTTTGCCATTTAATTACGTTTTTTTAACTAAAAGTATAAAATAATTAATTTAGTACAGTGGAGTCCGTTTATAACGACATTCAAGGGACAGAGAAATTACGTTGCTGTAAACGAATGTTATTACAAGCAGAATGAAAATATACATAAAGTAATGTGTATGGGAACTGAACTTAGAGAGCAAGTCGGATGCAATATGCGGTCTGCTGTTATAAGCAGTGTCACAATAACCAAACTCCATTGTACTGTTAATGTTATTAATAGTAATATATCTTTTCAAAATGCAAGTAATTTGTAACCTCCACCAACATATAAAAATAATTTGAATTTGTATTCTGCATGCCTATTCATACTTCATTTTTTATCAATAAGTAATGTATATCTAATATTTTTTACTTATTTTCATGGTAATTAATATACTGCTAATGATTCGGACATGTATTTAGGCACAATATAAGTTCGTATTAATAATATCAAGAAAAGATAAAGTTATAGGGACGATATAGTGAATAATCTATTCAAATTATACACGTTTAGTATTTAGTAGAAACAAACCTTCTGTGGTGTTAATTTTCAATATTACATCACATACAATACGTCGTACACGTCACATATGCATACCATATACGAAATACGAAGTTGTACGAAGTTGTACGAAACTTCACCAACCTCACCTTTACCGAGCATGCGTGTCAGAAATCAACTGAAATTGACTGAAATCTACTGCAGAACGCAGGCAGAACTTCTGCAGCAGAATTTGAGCAGATACAACAAGAGGCGACACTCGGAGAAAGAACTCTTCGACAGAGACGAAATAATACAACCAATTTAAATGCCCTCTCCTGACAGAGAAACCACTTTTAGAGAGAGACTGAGAGAGATGAAATGATTCCAACCAAGTTGAATACCCACTATTCCTCATTCGAATTCGAAGTTCATTCGTTCATTCGGAGAACCGAAAGTATTGAGCAACGAATTTTACGAGAAATATAACACCTTGTGTTTTTTCTTTTTTAATATTAAATGTAGAAATGATTCTTTATTTTTATTTATTTTTATTATAACGACTTGTTTTTAAGTATTTATTTTAATTTATTTTTATTATTAGAAGTGCCATTTTTAAGTGTTAGTGTAAAACATATATTAAAATGAACAACAGGAAGTCAGGTGGAGTCTCATGTTCATATAAAAAATGTAGGAGCACCTACTACAAAGATGGGGACGGACTGCATTTTTTTAGATTTTCAAAGGATGAAAATGTGTAAGTATTATAAATCTAAAAAATATCTGAAATAGTAGTACAGATTGAAAACTTATCTCTTGCAATTATAATTCTTATATGCATATATATATATAATCATTTCAGATGTAAGGCTTGGCTTCATGCATGTAGTCGAGAAGATCTTCCTGCTTCCGAGTATCAACAGTACTACAAAACCCGCAGAATTTACAGTAAGCACTTTGAAGATCACATGTACATGGGCCCTTCAACAATTAGATTATTACCACTGGCTGTTCCAAAGAAATTTGATTTGACATTCATAACTTCTAAAATAATAACGTTAAAAAAATACACCTTAGCCCGTTAATTAATCCCCGCGTGCCATTCAATTTTATGTAAACAATTATCTCGTATTTCAAATAGTTCAGGTAATAAAGGACTATACACTGTTAGTGTGGACACCCTGTATGTACATAATAAGAAAGTGTACCTACTGTAGACTCCCTTTTAATCAGCCCCTTTGAGATCGGACCTCAGACCGGATCGGATAAATTGATAAATGAATGGCCGGTTAATCCATAGACATATATAGACGGAGCATGAACTGAGCGGGGGAGTAAGATTCGCGGTAAGGGGGTGGTTAGTTATAAATCGGGTTACTTCGTTCCTTTTCGGTGCTATTCGGGTATACAATCACGTTACATACATGTATGCTATGAGAAATGGGGAAGAATATACTTATTATACGTTAAAAATTCCGTACGTCATGCAGTTTGTATAGATATATGTATTTAATAAAATTAATAAATAGTATAAAGCATTAAATAATAGTACGGCACACATCCCACCAGCCATCAATAACGAGCTAAATCGAGCCGAATGCATCCGAAGCTAACCGACGTATATCTAATAACCGCTGTCTTTTCCCCTCCAATCCTACGGTCCCCTCGCCTAATCGGTCCCTCGTTAATCTGAAGATTCATGTAAAACACTATTTATTGTCTGTAAATTAAATTAGAAAGTATACTTTTACTGATGTTTATAATCAAGCTAATAGAGACCGAATTTGATTTATTTTTTATAATCTTAGACATGCTTTTTTTAACGGTTTCAGTCTTAAATTTCTGTAAAGGGAATTGTCCAGAGATATAAAAAACACTTTTCCAGTTACTTACCTGAAAGTTTTACGTGTTGGCTGTAACTTATCTATCAATTATAACTATCTTAGTTTAAGTGATAAACATTACATTAAAGAATAAATTTACAATTATTATTAATTGTCGTAAGAATATAATGTAATTTAATAATCAATGTTTCCTAAAAAACTATTATTACATAGTCTTCATAAGTGAAATACATATTTTCTATAATGTTGTAATTCTTTTATGCTTTCTTTTATATCAGACAATGCTCTATGGTTACTCTTCTTTGTGAATGTAGGGCAATCCAAATTCCACCTCCTACAGTTAAAAATAAGTCCATATTATTATATTCAATTTGTAAATTATTGTTACATATACAATACGTACGTAATTAATTCTTTAATAGTAGAAGTATCTATAAGTCTATAATGTAAATAATCATTAACTGCTGGCATATGTTTATATAAAAATATGCGATCCATGTAGACAGAACTTCCTGCAAGTGGACACACACCTCTTTCTATGTGCATTTGTAAATGATTCAGTATGATTTTTTCAGCTTCTTGAGTAGTGGTCTTACTGAAACGTGATTCATCTGTTAATTTCGTCTGAAAGTAAAACTAACTTATTAGACTCTGTACTTTGACATTCGACTGTAATCTCAAGTTATTAAAATTACATTCAACAAAATAAAGGTATCTGTATGTAATAAAATTAAAAAATAAGTTTACCTTTCCATGGTGATTTATGCACCAGTCATTCATATTATCTAGTATCTCATTTGGCTGATGTATAACTATATTTATTTCATTACCTATAACTTTTAAATCTTTATTTGTTATTATACATGCTACTTCCAATATATGAGATGCTTGTATATCAAGTCCAGTCATCTGAAATATTATACGTTATAATACACATTTTATTATATAAAATAAGTATATGTATATTGGTAATATTAGCATACTTCCATATCTAACCAAACAATAGGCTTCTTCAAAGTACTGCTCTCCATATTTAATGTGGATAAATTGGCTATTAAAGAAATTGTTACTAAGATTTTTACATAGTCAACAATCAAATTTCTTACTATATCCAAAACACAGTGAATTAAAAAAGCTTTTTATCATGTGTTTAAAAGATTACTTATATTTAATAATCTATCACAGATGGATTTAACTGTTTTATGTAACATTAATGATACAAAAAGCTAATCAGAACATAAGTTAATTGCTTCCATATAATTAATGAAACTAGGAATATTTTTTAGAATAGTTAAGGTCATTAAAAATGATTGGATGATATTATTCTATATAATTAGATTATGGATATTTATATACATATAGGTTTGTGAGCACTAAATTATAAAATCTCAAACAAAAATAATCTGGCTAAAACTTAGGTTGTAACTAATGTATAAACTGGACTAATCGTTTTGTTTTACTGACTGTTAAACAAATAATATATGCTGGAAATGCTTAAAATTCACAGTTTAATAATAATATTTCTATAATTTTATGTATATTTAAAAGTAGCAATAAAAAAATTGATTAACATTACCTCTTCGAGAGTTAAGTGGTAAAATTAACTGAAGACATTTTGTGTACCATTTTAAACTATGTACAAAAAACATCTTTACTGAACAATATATTTTGGAAATAACCAATTTTTATCATATACGTATAATGTTCAGTAAATACTATGGGTAAACAAAAATTATTATGACTTATAAAATATATAAATAATTAAGTAAATAATTGAATACATATAAAATTACTCGTTTTCGAACAAATATCTATTAACTATATTACAGCAAACATATTTCTTTCTTTCAATAAGTATTATAAATGTTGAAAAGAAATACTGTAAAAACAAAACCACGTCCTTTTTGTAGGTGTGTACATAGATGATATTGGATGGCATGTGTACATAGTGTATATGTTACGTACACGTATTGCGTGCTTCTATAGTATAGTAACACAGAGTATACAAGAGTATACGTAAATCGTTTAATACATTTTGCACAGCTGACTCTAGTTCTAGAGTCGGCGGTGACGAAATATAAAAGTAGTTATCTAAACAGATTATCATACATAACTTTGATTCGTTAATTCTTATAAAGCCGCACGAATCATATCTTCATCTTTCTAAGAATCAACTAACCAATGTACGATAATATCTACTCATCTCTGGTCTCCAACGTCCAACTCATTCCTATACTTTTGAAGAAACGTTACAAAATGCAGCATTCCTCTCTATGCTACGATAATCTGTGGTGAGAGTAGTGTCAAAGGCACGTGTGGTGTGCTGTCAATAATAGCCTGTGTGAATTTCAAAATTTGAATCTACAAAAATTTCTTCAACCTTCAAAACTCAATATAGTTTTATCGTTCTGCTACAATTCAAAAACCAAAAATTCTTTGATGGTATCCATTAATGAACAAAAGCATGTACTAATAATATATATAAAACATAGTTTTATACAATAATAAAGTAGTAACGAAAAAAATTCAAAATCGAAATTGATTTCAGCTTTTATATTTCTATCTATACCTTTCAGTAAATGTCTACATGTATTGCTTTTATGCAATTAACGTATATATTTTTCATATTTACTAATTCTTATGCACTTTGTATGTATGTTTCATAAACCAGACATAAATTACTTAAGTACCTTTTAAACTCGAATAAGAATCAAGTAATTTACAATTTTTCGCGTTGCAATCTAAACCACAGAACATTGTGAAATAGATGGGAATGCTGTTTTTCATGGCATCTCGTGGAAGTCAGAATTGGAATGAACCAAGGTGAACTTATTTTGTGACGATATTACACACTTATCGTTGACACATACATGAAACTACATCATACATCATACATACATACTACATACATACATATTACAAGTCAACGAATCAGTCTGTCCGTAGTGTGGTGGTCTAGTGCAATGTACGTTTTTATAATATAAAATAAATAATATTGAGATATATTAGAATTTCTCAGATATATACGTCCTTGAAATGTATACTTTTTGATACTTCTCGGAGATAATGAATGATAAAAGTACTGAGGTGATTAACCACACTGATTGAAGAAACGACCACCTAGCACAAATACGACAGCGTAGACACGATTGAAAACAATAGCGGTAGAACTAAAAAACACCAACAGAAACAATAATAATAACGCGGGAAGAGTTCTTTCGGATTATAAAAAGTTTTCTAAGTGTTTCGTAAAACATACAAAATTATAGGTACTTGTAATTAAACTATAAAAATAATCAGTAAAACAGAGGGGATGTTCATTGATGTTAACAATTAGAAGTAGAATATTAGACAGTGAGCTTTTGCTCACAAGTGACTCAGATGTAACAAGACTCTTGTCATGACTGTTTAATATAATATGCAGCATTTTGGAAATGGAATACAGAATAATTACTATTATATCAAACGGGATTCAATTAGATAAAGAAAGGGATCACTGCCACTGTTTTTATAATTTTCCTAAGAAAGGTATACGGTCATGGCCGAGAACTCAGAAAGTGAAAAATATCCTTTACACAAATGTGTATTTCAAGGAGACATTAAAACTTTAAGCTCTTTAATTACGCCTTATAATATTGCTGAAAAGGATAAGCAAGGTTAATATGAGCGTTTTACTTTCTTTTTTGTTTATATATATAAATTGTTCCAAAACAAGTAACAAGAATATTTATCAGTATTAAATTCAATTTTATTCTTTAGGAAATACACCTTTGCATTTAGCTGTTATGTTAGGAAGGAAAGGTAACAAGCTACATTTTAAACATAAAATATATTTTTTGAAAAAATATATGTATTAAACTAAACACAAATTTTAGAATCAGTCCAGTTGTTACTTGCACATGGAGCACCAGTAAAAGTAAAAAACTTAGCTGGATGGAATCCACTTGCTGAATCAATTAGTTATGGGGATAGACAAACGAGTCAGTAGAAACTACTACAAGCTGTTTATATTAGAGAAATATCATCATTAATATTATATCCTTTATAGTATCGTCATTGGTGCGTAAGCTTCAGCAGCAAGCTAGAGAACAAATGGAAGAAAGAAGGCCAAATTTAGTTGCAACATTAAGACAAATGGGTGACTTCTACATGGAATTAAAGTGGGATTTTCAAAGTTGGGGTACTTTTTATTAATATTGCTTTTAGCTTTATCAATTGTTATTGAACGTTTTTAATTTATTTTTCTTTTATAATTTCATTGATGACTCATAAGGTTTCTGAATTTTCAGTTCCACTTGTTTCACGAGTACTTCCATCTGACATTTGTAAGATACATAAAAGTGGGGCATCCATTAGAATGGATACTACTTTAGTAGATTTTAATGACATGAGGTGGGAGAGAGGTGACATATCTTTCATTTTTAATGGTGATCAGAAGCCAAGCAAATCATTAACAGTACTAGACAACAAAGCTAAGCTTTTCCAAAGAGTGAGATACGAGGTCCAGTTACTTTATTATCAGATTCTTATCATTATCATTGATTCATGATTTTTAAATAAATATTTAAAACTTTGATCTACTATTAGTTAACGATTTCTTATAGGAAACGGAATTAGAAATAGAAGATGAGGTTGATATTCTTATGTCAAGTGATATTATGGCTGCCCAAATGTCAACGAAAGGCATTACATTCTCAAGAGCGCAGACAGGCTGGATATTTCGTGAAGACAAAAGGGTAAGAAACCAACATCCTTGAACTCAGTCATTTTCTTCTACTGCTTTCTCCTATTCTTTTCTTAAAGTTTTCTTGGGATTTATATCAAATATTTAATAAAGGAGATGGTAGGACCTTTCCACGCGGACTTTTATCAAATCAACGGAATGGTTTTGGAAAGTAGGAAACGACGGGAACATTTAAGCGAGGAAGACTTGCAAAAGAATAAGGCTATCATGGAATCGTTAACAAAAGGACATTCACAAGGATTTGCAAACGGAGAGGTAAAAAGAATGAAAGCTTTGGTCTATCTTCGGATGCTCATTTATCACATTTTCAGCCTCATGTGAGAAGAGCTTCTCTGAATCCACCACCAGAATCAAACATTACTTGGGAGGAGTATATTATGGCTCCACCTGGTCAATGCCCACTTCTAGGAAGAAGTTTAGTTTACAAGGAAAGTAGTAAATCATTTAAAGCAACAGTCGCCATGAGTCCAGATTTTCCACTGACAGTTGATATGTTACTCAATGTTCTGGAAGTAATCGCGCCTTTCAAGCACTTTAGCAAGTTACGACAGTTCGTCCTTATGAAGTTACCACCTGGATTTCCCGTAAAAATTGATATACCTATTTTACCTACAGTGACAGCAAAAATCACTTTTCAAGAGTTTGCCTTTCGTAATGATATAGATCCACAATTGTTTCAAATACCATCAGATTATTTTGAAGATCCAATGAGGTAAATTTAGAAAACAACTGTTTCTCTTACAATTAAATGTAGTACATTCGAATTTTATATCTTGTTTCTTCTTCTACGATTCTGTTTACTTTCTAGATTTCCAGACTTATGACGGCTTCACAATCTGAGAACAGTGCAAGTCAATTATGAAATTAAAGAGAAGGTCGTTGTTCCCTTGCAAAAGTATTCAACTTTTAAGTTTTTCTTGACATATTGCTGCCAAACTGGCCTTTCGAAAAGTTGCACAGTACTGTGTAAGGAAAGATTACTTAGAGTACCAAAAGTAGCAAGTACTCTTGCTAATGAGAGTGCACAGTAAGTTCAAAGGATCGTATACCCTATTTACGAAGTTGTACGCTAAATCCTAAAAAGAAAACAGCTCGACAAATTTGTGTACATGAAGATGAACATAATACCACTCAGTGCATAAGAAATTATTACATTGTGCACCTCGCTTTACATCATTCAGCTTCAGTTCTGTGCTTTCCTTTTTCGCATTAAGTAATTATTACTTGAAAAGTATTTTATCAGTGGGACGAGAATACTCGCAGTATTTATTTATAATCAAAGAACCATTTCCATCTCTTCAAGAGAATTTCTTCATCTAATAAAAAAAAATGTGGGAGGCGTTCATTGCAAATAAACTTGTTTACCAAATACTAACTAAGTGGTGCCTCCTATTTCAACGTATCATTGTGTATCATCATTACATGTATGATCTTTAAAATGTAGCGGAACAATTCATTATGACTATAATTATTTCAATTGTACCATTCTACATACATCTTATGTTTCGCTAGCTAATCTAGAATTGTGATACTTATATATGTATGTGTGTGTTTAGTACAAAAATTTTTAAATAAAAATTGTAGCAAATCACAAATTTGTGAATAATTAATCTCAAATGTGACTAGTTACCTCAGCTATGGTTCATGTAACTAAACAATTGATCCAGACCCTGGAACAAGTAATATCTACTACATATGCATATTTTTTTTCCTCCTGTGGCTGATTATGTGTACTGATTTATTATCTAATATAATACATTAATAAACTATATATAGTAAATGTGAGGAACTAAAAATAACGCAGATTGATTTTTTAATTAACGTGTTAAAAAAAACGTCGAAAATTACATTTTTACATAACACATTGTGACATACTATATATATGTAGCTCTAAAACAAAGAAAATTTAAAAGGAAAATTGAAAGAAAAACAAAAACTTGTATTATTAAAATTTATAAACATTTGTGACCAATGCAGCAATTATCGAATCCATTCGATTTGTTAATTCAGTTTACCGAGTTCTATGACATTGTTAATTATCGTTATGGTTAGTTCTCTGTTCTGTTTTGCTCGGTTCGGCTCGGCTCGGTTTAATTCGGCATTGCTGTGCTTAGTAATAGATAGCGAATGGATCGGTACAAGATAGGAGCAGAAAAGAGCAGGTTGGAGTTTCTTGTAAAACTTAAATCAGATTAACTGTTTTAGTTACAGTTTATATAATTGATGCAATTTCAATGACTTAAAATATGACACGTCTTGTGAAATTAACTTTGTGCTTTTATGTCGTTTTATGCGCATTGAGCACTAAAGCCGATGACAATCAAGTCCCATTAACCAAGCTTGGCACAAAAACAGGGCCGTCGTTAAAATTTTTTTATTGGTAAGTTACGAATATTAGAAAATTGAAATAATTGTTTTTACATCGTTTGTATCACGCAATTCAACTTTATCTGTATATTTATACGATTGTATTAGTTCTGTCAATTAATTGCATACTAAATTTTGTATAACCCTTTGCTTTAAGTTATTCTTGCGGATACAGAAAAGTGTTTGAAGAATATGTCGGTATTCTTCGACAAAAGTATCCAGAATTACAAATTGATGGAGAGAACTATAATCCTTCTTCAAATATTATGCTTATTGCTAAATTAATAGTAAGTAGTATATCTCAGAATATATTGTATTAATTAATAGCGCAAAAAGTAGTATGTAATGTTTATCTATTGTTTCCTTTTTAGTGTTTTGCTAAAATTTCACTAATAGTTCTAATAGTAAGTGGATTTAATTTTGGACAACCACTACCATCTCTTTGGCAATGGTGTATGGACAATCGATTTTATTCTTGTATGATGATATTTTTCATTTTTAATGCAATAGAAGGACAACTCATATCATCAGGAGCTTTTGAAATACATTTCAATGGTAAATAATATATATTTCTGTATTCATTTCTATTAAACCTTACAATAATGTTCTAAATATTTTCTATAATATTTTAGATGTTCCCGTGTGGTCTAAACTGGAAACTGGTAGAATACCGCAGCCACTCGAACTTTTCCAAATAATAGATACTCATTTGAATTGGCAATATGCAGATGTAGATATAGGATAGATTAGTTTTAATGAAAAATTGAACTGCATTTTTATTTGTACCAAATGTTAATTACTCTGGTTACAAGGCGTACCGTTTCTGTAACTCTATAAACGTTCAAAAAATACTGTAATTTCTATTTCTTGTACATGGTCAGGAAATTGAGGGAACAGAAGTGCCGTTATTAGATTCTGAGTGCTCTTTTTCAGGGTATTAACGATTGAGAAAACTAGGAACTTCATTGTTCATACTTCAGATGTTATCTGTGACTTTTCCATATTAAGTGACATTCCAATTGATGGGAATAGTGATTGGACCATATCCAAAGGTAACTCATCAAACATTGACGTTAATGAATTATCAATCACAAGTTCTCCTGTAATCTCTAAGCTTCATCATTGTCACAATATGTAGTTACAAATTTTTCTGACTATATAAAATAGCTGCCAATAGCAATTCCAGAACACTTTTGGAATCTTTGACCAGTAGCTGTGCACATCGCAGTGTTAATAAAATATCCTTTCAAATAGCAGGACATCCATAGCATTCGCTAAGTGTTAGGCACACCATAATCTTTATACAATACAAAGTCCATATTGCTTAACAAAATATCAAAGGTCTTGCCAAGGGATCTAAAATCAAGCCCAGTTAACCTTTTCTTCTCTGCAGAAACAGTTGTATAACTTTTTCATTTTACCAATTGCTATTTCATATCCATAGGCAATTGGGCAACTATATTTTTGGTACACTTGAATTGGAGGCAATGCAAACACAGCCTCCCCCAAAAGTAATTGTAGCTGGATATCCCCACACAACTCCAATTTTCTTTTCACCAATTAGACATACATGTGATTTTACATAAGTGAGACAATCTGGAGGATGAATTTATTTATCAGCTTTAAGAAATTACCAAAACTTTAAAACTTTTAACTGGATTGCCTTATAATCTCGTTTAATATTACCTATAGTATTTTATATTCATGGCCATTCCATGGAAGACTTGTTCCAAATGTCAAAATCTTGTAAGAAAATGTGATTTAAATGGAGCATCTTGACACTATTTAGAAAATGGAAGATAAGGTAAGCTTAATCAATTGCATATATGGTAAGATTTCAGAATATGGTTGAGGTTTTAAATTATGAAACTGTTTTAAATCTGCCACTATTTCTGTCTATATCACTGGAAATCACTCTTTTATTCATATCGCTATGTTGTATCTGTTTACAAAAATTCGGTACTTTTCATAAGTATTGCATGCTCTGATATTAAAAGCATGTATTTACGAAAAAAAATGCCATTTCTTGAATGTGTCATATTCAAAATCCTGCTATAGGTATAATCTCGTGATTGTTAAGACCGATATGCAAAATAGAGAGTTCGTAATATAGCTTAGATCATCAGCATTGGATGTTGGCCCCTTAATTGAATTACCCTATTTTTTATTAGCACAATTACTTTCTTTATTTTATGCGATTTATTCGTTACCAAAAATGCGTGGTACAGTTTAGGTTGCAGTCTACATAATGAGAGGAATACCAATCGGGGAAAAAACTGAAGAAAATTAAAATTAAAATTTGGCGCTTTATGAACTGTCACTAGTTATCGGTAAAGTAGGTATTCAACAAATAGAGTTCGCATAAGCTGTAAGAAAAGCCGAAGCAACCTTTTCACATTTGCTCATAGATATTTTTAATTTTTTGTCCTAATTCAGGTATGAGGAAAAGAAATAAACAATGTTGTGTAATATTTATGACAGCCATAGAGTTGAATTTAATTAAGTTTTACATTAAAACTACGGAATTTACAATTACATAAGTGTAATAAATAAACTAAACAGTTATAATATCCGACTAAAAATAAATAAAGAATCATTTTTCATATAAGTAGAGTATAAGTGCGGAATCTTCCTTTGTAAAGTGATAATTAAATTTGTTTAAGTTTTAAACAATATAGCATTACTCACATAATGATATTTTGTTACTTTACAATATAGGCATCATTATTTTGTAAATGCATACAAGAATGTTACAAATGATATTTATTTACAATAACTTTTTTATATTATATTTTAATTTGATACAGATATCGAAATATTTTTAAACTTAATGTAGCAATATAATTACATATAAAGTCAATTAAATAGGATTTGAACATATTAATCAAGTAGTTAATTAATGTATATATTTGGATAATTTTATTTTAAAAGATTCATATGTAGTCCAATTATATTTAGTAACATAGAATTAACAGCCAGCTCAAATTTTTAAATACGTTATATTTATGTTTGAAGAATAATAGTAACATAAAAAAACAATTAAATATCCTTCGATAATAAATCAAATTTTTAAGAATGCGGTAGTAGTAGATACTTGGAAACAAACTTGTATTCTACAATTTACAATTACATTCCTTCTTAATTAATTTCTCATTGAAAGAAGACAAAACGATATAGGTATATGGACATAGGTATACGCTTTTTGAAAAGAACGACCTATTCGTGGAGTTGAATACGTATTTATACATACATACACATATGCATTTCGGTTGTTATAAATAAAAAATTTATAAAGTAATGAGTATAAAGAAAGCGTTAAAGGGCCCGATGCTTTACAATGTGTTATTTATATTATTCGTATAATAACAAAACCGGAAATAAATTGCATTCCTACTAATACTTAAAACTAGACTTACAAAACATTTAAAAATGATCTATTATGGAATTGTAAGAAAATATTAAAATTTGAACATGTCATTCGAACGTTAGTTTCAAATAGTGTAATTGAAAATGCATCCATCAAAAAGCACGCTCATCTCACACCACGAATCATACAAATTCAGAATAGGGAAACGACTATATTTTTCTTTAGGAAATTATAGTACAGTTTAAAAAGAATAGATTGTTATATTTGAATTGTTTTGTTTTTAAAGCAACAATACTTCGAATGATTTTTGGTGCTCGCATATTATTGAAAATACTTAAATATTGCGCCTTTTGAAAGAAAGAGAGAGAAACAATGATTTTAGAAAAAGACCACTGAAGATACTACAATTTTCCTCTCTGCTTTCCCCTTTCCGATAATTTATACAGTAGCTAAGTTTTACGATACGTTCATGTATTCTTAGGTCCGTGGACTTAAACGAAGGCACAAGGCTACCAACAAATTCAGTGTGCTTCTTAATCAAGAAAGATATTTCCTAAGGAAGCAAGAAGATCATAGCCTGGTCCGACATACGCGTGCTTCGCGATAAGAAACTGTAGGAACTCGACAAAGAGACATTTGAAGAAATTACAATTCGTTTGTAGCTAGTGATACTGTTGGAAAATCAAACGTTACGAAATTAAAACAAGTTGCAATTTCTAACCCGGTTTATGGGTAGTTTAAGTTTAATTAAAAATCAAGAAGACCCGAATTAATTCTTTCACCTTCCTGTTTCGTTGTCATGCTATGCATACTTTAACGTAACAGCATTTATTCTTCGGTAGTCCTCTTGGCCTGTTATTTTGCTTTGCAAAGCTGAAGATTGAGTACAAAGACTTCACGCTAACAGCGTGTCAAAGCATCTAACGAAAATCGGAGCGGCAGAGTTTAAATGAAAGCTCAAATGCGGCATCTTCTCAGTTCTCGTACCAAAAGACAGGATTCCCTATTGCTGAATCTTCGGACAACAGCTGCAGAAAACATAACACTCGTTTACCTTGTGCCAAAAGTTAGCTATTGGTTTGTTTAGTGAACTACATTGTTGTGTACATTCCAATGTACCTCGATTACTTGAATAGTGTCTCCACACAGATGTACCATCAGATAGCTGGTTTGTATGATCATGGATGTTGACTGCACAATAGTCAGTTTGAAACGATCCAATAGTGCACCCATGATCAACAAAATTACCGCAACAATGTCTGTGACATCACCTTCTGCCACTGCACCAAGGTACTTATTATGTTGCATTGTCAACTCGTACTAACATGTATATAAATCACTAAGAACTGTGTGACCAATGTTATCTACATATGAAATTTATATATGTATTCAATTAATCCATATCCTGGCAATAGTTCCTTCGAAAACATTGACTTTTATTGTTTTAGGGATGTTCCATCGAATTTTAATATATTTTCAAATTCACCTCGCATACGACGCTTCAGCACTAGTGTAAGGAAATATCTTTTTTGTACATTCATAACACCTATTTGTAGTTTCTTACTGTCTTAAGGATAATGTTAGAATAATTAATCTCGACCATGAAATAGGTGAATGACTATATATAAAATGCAAAGTTAAAGATATATAAAATATCAAGAAATAGAGACTGAAACTTTCTATATATAGATTCATATTTTATATAGTGGATATTGTACATAAAATCATGGAATATTTGTTTTTGTAGAGCTCTGGAACTGTTCCTAGATTAACTCCACGTGTCAGTCAATTGAGACAAGAAGAATGTATCGATGTGGCTGGACGTGAAGCAGCACATGAAAAAGAAATACATAGTGCCATGCAGATCTCACAGTCTTGGGAAGATCTTACGATCGAAGCAGAAGGACTATCTTTCAAAGATTCAGAACCAACATCGTTACAATTTAAAATAGAGTCTCGGCCGATTGCAAAACGAGTGCTCGATCCGCTCAGTATCAACTTGTCTGTAAGCGGTCAGACCACATACTCTTCACCATCACCAACTAGATCTACCTTAGGTCAGAGACAATGTTATTCACCTGGTGTTCATGCAGTAGCTTGGAAGAATAATTTATCGCCCAGCCCTACTAGGAAAGCTTTTGCTACCAGGTATATTTATACGCTTATAAAAAAACGGTATAAGTATATTCTACAAGACAGTTTAATTTATCGTAAATATTATGCGTTATTTAGGCGGAGTTTAAGTCCTATTGCGATACGACCGAGTTGTTTAGCTTCAGTTAAGAGAAAATTTGAATTGGATGATTCTGGAATTGATCATCAGTTACAACCACCAACAAAACGTACCTCTGGTTTATTAACCTCGGCCACGTCTAGGTAACTTTGTTACTATTATTAGAATGAAAAAAAAATACCCTTTAAATCATTAATATTCATAACATTTATTTATACAGATTGGATGTGGCAATATCTAGTCTTCATCCAACTATTAACACGGCCGGAACTCCGGAATCTTGTCCCAGTCTTGATTCTCCTGGTTTTTCTTTTCGACCCGTGGATAGTCCTTCTCCTGGTCCAACTGTTACTTCGACTTTTAATGATGAGCCGTCTTCTTCCTCTTCATCCTCTTCTTCGTCTTCTTTATCATCTTCGTCACCTTCAACTCCCTCCTCCTGTTCGTCGTTTTCCTCCTCCTCTTCTTCAGTCACCTCTTCCTCGGAAGGATTAAGGATTCAGAATAAAACTTCCGTAGAATGCCGGAATGAACAAATTACACGAGAAAACCACGGATAAGGGACTAAGTGTAGATCAATTTTTAAGGAATAACGTGTATCATTGTGATGATGAATTTACTTTCTTGCGGATAGTAAAGAATGATCATTGTAGCCGATTAACCCTGCGAATTGATTCTGCTATGGGGGCATTCATCGTGTTTAATGCCCAACTATTTTCTGGTCATTCCTATTTATTAATTTTCGTGTTGTGAAAATTCTTCAAGTGTATATCAGTTGCATCATAAACAATCGCATTCACGCTGAGATGCTTATAAATATTACGTTATCAGATAATGGTGATGCGACGAAATACATGTATAAACATGTACATACATATAACGTGAACGCAGTTCGAAGACCAAAGCGAGCTATTTAGGAAATACACGTGCTTCCTACCTTTAAGACTGAATTCTGCGTTTTCTAATACATCGAATCCAAGCGTTCTTTTTTTCCCCTAAAAAGGGTGCGTACACATGACATTACTTATTTTAAGGCATACGAACGTTAAGAAAACGTCATAACAAGTACGACCCTTTTCTTGATTTATACAACGCTGCTATAATTTATCTTTTGCGCGATTCCTGTTTTTTTTTCAAAATAGGCAAAAAAGCATATATACAATACACGTCGATCAATAAATTCGCGCATTAATAGTATTATTGATTCTATGAATCTCCAATCCTGTATAGTGTGTAAATAAACTATCTGTAGTATCTACTTTTATTCTATGTATACAATACTTCTGAAAATGAAGGATATCGTAGGAAATGAAACTATACTTTTTGGACAAATAAATACGAAAGCTCGAATTACATATCTATTCTCTTCTTTTTTCGCCAAAGCTATAGGCAAACATCTTAAGAATATAATATATTGTATAACAAAAACTATGATGCATGTAAATGTAAATGATTAGAAAATAATGACAAATTAAAATTCGTACTTTTCTGTGATAGTTACCACTATTATAATTACGTATGACGAAGTCAAAATTATATAAAACGTCAAACACATTTTTAAGTAATACATATAGGGTGACCCTTTCACTGCGCAAATTCAAAGGCCGCGGTTGTATGGAGCAACACAGCCTTTAGTTCGCGCAGCGAGAGGATCACCCTGTACAATAAACTTAGCGATTCAAAAGGGAAAGGTATGCTGATCATATACTCGACATTTCTTTTTGGTAGAAACATAATACGCTTTTTTTTGCAATTGAATATGCGGCAAACATAATGTTTAGAAGATTTAAAGAAAAAACATTTCATACTTTCGACCGAATTTACTTTTCATAGAATCTGGAGTACACATAAATTTTCTTGTTGTACATTTGATTTCGTTGATCATCATAATTTCTTTTTGGAAATGCTAAAATAACTTACTTCAACGGAGAACTTAGGAACGTAATGTTCTCATTACAAGATTTCTTATTGTTATACAAAAATTACAAAAGATTATTAATAATATTCCGTAAAGATTCGTTTAAAGGTTCATTGTTCATCGAATCCTTTTCAAGAAATAATATTTTCATGATTTGACTTTTTTTTTGTAACTAGCAAATAAGTAACAACAAAGAAATATTCTTATACACGATAAAAATTAATTACAATTCTAACTTAATAGTATTAAAACTATTCAGTTTTCTAACAATTTTTTTTTATATTATTGACTATTTGCTTCAAGATCCATGTCAGACCACACAGCTTCCGTTTCACTTTCGTCAGGTGCTTCGTCATTATCCGTATCCGGCAAACCATCTCCCACATCGTAGGTTGTGCATGTTAATGCCTCTCCCACGGTCATATAATACGCTGAATCCAACTTATTTGAAGAATTATCAAGTCTATGCATACCTTCCACTGCTCTTCTATTGCTTGGATCTAGGCTACAATTTCAAGCATTAATTTAATTAAGAGTGATATTAATACTTTGTGTAATGGATAAAATAAGTTTTCGAAAAGCAGTCTGTTTTTCTATAATTATTACTCATAACTTACTTTAATGCAAGAGCATAGTGATCCAAAGCTTTCTCCTCGTTGTGTACTCTGGCCCATAGGTCTCCGAGCATCTGATGTAATTTACACGTCGATTGAATTTCCACTTGTCTTTCGAGTAATGCGATTGCAGCTTCCAAATTCATTTCCTGTTCATATATTTCCGCTAATAAATAAACCGCGGGCAGATATACTTCGTCCTGCAGCAGTGCTTTTTCTAAGAGATTTTTTGCTTTACCAACTGAGACTGGGTCCTTCATGAGTACCGATGCATATAGCTATAGAAAAAATATTTTCCAACAATTTACATTAATTTTGTAAATCTGTCTACTTATTTTACTATTCAATTTTTATTCGAATCTATTGGTGTAATTATATGAATTTTTTTCAAAATAAATGTATTTATTATATGACAACGAAGTTTTGAGAGTAATTCGTTATAAAATTTTTATGTAGAAATTTAGACAGATGTGAAGTCATCGCGTCCATTCCCTTTGAAACTGTACACACGCATTTCAGCCTCACATCCATTGATCGTAGCATATCTGGCATCTGTTTTAATACCTGCATTAGATTACTAAGTGTAACAATAAAGTTTCGAGAATAATTTTCTCCTGTCAAAATGGCAACAATAGAGGGTGTCTCAGCTAACTTGATCACCTCGAATAATGACTTAATGATACACTTTATACAAATTTTGAAGCGTGAAACTTAAATGGCATCAAGGGGCACATCTTATAAGGTACGTGCTTTTTTTGTGCGTGGAGGCATTTCAGAGATTTCAAGGTCACGTTGATTTTTTTTCAACGGAATGATCTCATTTTTGTACCATAGATCGATAGAGTATAAAATTCTGAGTAAAAACGAGTTGACCTTCATATGTCCTAAATCTAATAGTTAAGGAGATATACATGTATAAAATAATCACTGTATTGAAGTTGAGGGGGATCAGTTCGAGTACCCATAGCTTCCAGATAGTAAGTACGTATTAAAAAATTATTTTGTAAATATCTTGTTAACTATTAGGTTTAGGACGTACGAAGGTCAACGGTTTTTTACTCAGAACTTGATACTCTATGGTACAAAAAATAGGTCATTCCGTTAAATAAAAATCAACGTGACCCTGAAATCTCTTAAATGCCTCGACCCACAAAAAAAGCACGTACCTTATAAGATATGCCCTTTGATGACATTTAAGTTTTACGCCTCAAAATTTTCATAAAGTGCACCGTTAAGTCATTATTCGTGGTGATCAAGTCAGCTGAGACACACCCTGTATAAATAGTTACATACACTTTGACGGAAATAAAATTATTCTCGAAACTTTATTGTCACACTTAGCAATATAATGGCGGGTATTAAAACAGATATCAGAAATGTTATGATTAATGGATTCGACACTGAAATACGTGTGTACAGTCTCAAAGGAACTACTATGGAAGGCAATGGCTTAACATCTGGCTTCATTTTCAAAATAAAAATTTTAACTGAATCATTCTCGAAATTTTATTCTCACACCTCGTATATTATCATGTTTTTGTATATTAAATTTGATTTATGTAATTACCGTAAGAACTCTTGCAGTATGTCCAAGTTGTTTACAAGATCCACTCGCAATGTTGAGAGCTTCCCGTAATCTGTGCATTCCTACGAGACAATCTACCAAACCCTTGTGAGGTTCATAACGGTATGGTTTTAATTCTACGGCATGTCTGAAGAAAAACAATGCTTCTTGATATTTTTTCTGTTCAATAAGTATGTTCCCTCGAAGTATTGTCGCTTCTATATCATTTGGATTTAAATTCAAAGCTTGTGCAGTCAAAGTATTTACTCGACTAAATTTCCTAGCAGCATAAAGAGAGTATGCCATAGCAACATATATTTCTCCGGTGCATTCATTACTTGCCGTTATTATAGGTATCAGTCTTTCGAGTTCCTTAATATGATGATTTTTATATAATACTGCTGCATAAATATCAACTCTATTCAATGAAAAGCATTTTAAAATTATATTGCATTCAAACAAATCGGCTAAGTATTTATCAGCATAAGTTTAATTACCCTTTCATAACATCTGGTTCTATAATCCTAGCTCTTCGTAAGCATAGCAAAGCATTTTTGTCGTCTCCAGCATAATAGTAACATTCTCCCATTGTTGTTAATAAATTAAAATTGTCTCTTAGTAGGTTAACATTGTCCAAAGATCTTAATGTTGATACTGCATGAGTATATTCTCTATTATGTATATGTGCATGAGCTTTGATCCAAGTATTCAACCAATCTAAATTTGATAAAGTGGATGCATAGCCTACAATTAATGAATTTACTTCAATTCCCTTTACTCCAAGAGAAAGTAGACCTTCCGCGGCCTCCAAGGCTAACGGGCATTCTCTTAAAACTTCCTTATAAGTTGTAATAGCAGTTCGTTTCATTCCTTGTTCTTGGCACATTTTTGCTAAAGCCATATTTACCTTAAAAAAAATCAAAATGAATATGTACAAATAAAAACTGAAATTTAAATTCACGGAACTTACTTTTGGGGTTCTTTGTTTTCCAGGAATACTTTGCAATACTTGAAGTGCTTCTAGTGAATTTTTCAATTTTATTAAACACAAGTGTATTTGGAATTTTATATCAACATCTGTTGGAAGATCTTTCTGTCCTTCTAAAGGCTTTGTGCCACCTTTAGATTTCACTAAACACTTATGAAATTGCAACGCTTTCTTATAAAGGGCTTCAGCCTGTTTATATTTTCCCAAGTAAAAGTGAGCATCTGCATAATAAACATAAATATGGAACTTCCCATGTATAGGCAATAAATCTGAATTGTGCTCACTGAGTGACAACACTAAATTTGCCTGTAGCATAAAAGTAACTATATTAGATGCATTAAGTTTTGTTATTACTTAAAGATAGTTTAAATATCAAAATAAATTATAGAACGCATTAATTAAGATAATGTTTTTTAATTCTTAACTCTTGGAAGACAAGTTTTTGGTAGCTGCAACACAGCCTTATCTAGCTTTCTTTTCACTGCTGTCTATCTTTTTTTCTAAATTATTTTGGAACATATTTCTTCACAAAAATATAATTCTTTTCATGAATTCTAATATAAACAACTATGATAGACACCAATTTTGTTATCCGAGGGTTAAATAATTAAATAATTCATGGTTGATGAACAAGATAAAGCAAACTCATAAGATTTTTTAGATGAATACACAAGTATTTTCCATTTCTTAGGAGTACCCCCTTCATAGAAATATGGGATCAGATGATCCTAGAGCTCATTCAGGACTGTGGACAATATCTCAACTCAAATTTAATCTCCACTAGGTTCGTTGTAAAATGTAATGTTGTGTACAGTGCCTATACCCAGTATGAAATTCGCTCAAATAGCCAGTCCCCAGTGGACTAATTTTTAAATGTTTGCGATATATTGTTCAACAGGTATAGTATCATTTTGTTTTCATCAGAGATAAAAATATTTTATGTCACTTGCTGCTTTTACTTACTAATGATATAACATTCGAATACAAAGATTGTTCGTAAAGAAGCTTTATCTGATCATACAACGTCGACATTTTTACTAATATATTCCTCTGAAGTATTAAATCACTTGAAACACTAATTTGTATAACTTTTTCTTAACCTATAAAACATCAAGTTATGAAAAGTAGATCTGTCCATAACTCACAGGATACGTGACGGGAAATTCAACGTGTTATACGTAGTTTGAGAAAAACGTGATACAAAATGTCTTTAAAACTTTAAACAAAATTTTCACTTACAAACACTGAACATGAACAACGACACTTATTAAACACAGAACATTCAAGTGCCGCCATTTTAAAACCAAGTGGAGGTAACGAACTCTAGTGTAAGAATTTTCAAATATTTACTTCACTATCGTCCAAATCTCGAAGCTGAACAGGTAAGAAATAATTTGGACACAAAATCACAGATAAGATAAAAAAAATTCAATTATCGCTGTATATTTGTAAGACAAAAATGAATTTTTAGTACGTAGTTTCAGTAATGTTATTTAAATAATAAAAATACAGTATTATGTTAGACTCATCGTTTATTGCAGAGATTGGTTCATTAAAGAGTGTCTGCATAAAAGAGTGTTAAACTAATAAAATGAAAAATTACAAATAATTTTAAAGAATGATTTATAAAAATAGAATCAGCTAAATTCCATTTCATATTTAAGTGTCACTCTAGGGTACAGATGTTACAATTTCATGAACGTAAGCGCATTTATTATGTTGAATGCTTCACAGTCCGTTTAATATCATTACTTATTATTTACTTAAAAACTAAAATCACGATCATTTTCAAGGTACAATGAAAATTTATAAAGGTCTTAACCGGACGCAGTTAGCATAAAATTTTGTGTGTAATCATATTCAATTGTCGGAATTACAGATTGCACGAATTTGAGGAATATTATCAAGTACATGTGTACACCAAGCTCACGACCACCTTCCATTACCGTTTCAATAATTTTCTTCATCACTTCGGCATGTCTGGAATATTACTTTACTAAACAAAAGTGTTTGTAATAATGAAAAGTAATCGGATTACTCTAAATTACCTGCAAGGATGCACCGAAGCCATTGGTGGTCCAGGTATGTGAGGATGAATCTCCATTGTAACAGTCTTCTTGGCATGGTCTTGGCTTACATCTTCATACATTTCTTCCACTGTAAGAGGCTTCCGATTCTTTATGCGAAAGAAGATTACATTAAATTTTGACTCTTTTTATGTATTGCCAGCGATTTTGTAACTTGTCAAATAGAAAAAAAATAAACCTCGTCATATCCTGAAAGCCACAATCGCGGTGTTTGATAGTATTTGTCGTATGTGATGTATAAGTCATATGTACGCGTATGAATGATTTCTCCTTCAGAAAACGGCTCCCATTTTTCTTTCATAGGTTTCTTTGTACTTTCTGCTGCAAACTTTTTAGTTTAAATATAATTAGGTTACAATATTCTTTAAAATATAATATTGTAGCTTTTAATTGTACAATTCATGCAAGACTACTACCTTATCTTGTTCATCCAACATTCCACTGACTTCAAAAGCTTCCATATCCGCAGCATCTTCATCGTCATCATCATCTTCATTATTTTCCTCTGCATCAATTGACTGAGGAGGTTGTGTTTCTTCCAATGTCATTTCCGATACTCTTTCTTCAACTCCACCAAGATTAGTATCATAATGATGTGTATCTACCCAACCACCCTCTGGATCGTCTGCTTCTATAATGCATTCTTGTTCTTTACTGTATTCAATCTAAAATTTGGTCAAAGATTGATTTTTTCTTATAGAAAATTTTTCTTAAGCTATAATTCGGAGGAAAATAGAATTCTTTAAAGTAGTTTAAGCTTCACTTTGTTAAAAATATAGTTATACGATTATACAATTGCATTGTTTCTTCAGAACCAATAATACCTGTTTGCATCTGCGTGTACAAGGAACATTACGGGTCAATAAAAATTGCTTATTCTTGGGAAGATACGATTTCACTCTGTCCTCATCACCAGTAGCCCACTGCCATGTTGGACAATGATGTACTAAATGATCACCTGCTGCCACAAACTCCTCTGGTGTTAATACTCCGGTTTCTCGAAATTTACTTTCCTTTAATATCATAAAGAGTATTTGAAATATAATACAAATCTGTTACTTTTTTTTATTGGAAATATCTAACTTACTGTGTACTAAATACTTTACACAGTATGTCATCTAAAAAATAATAAATTCATGAAAAATTTGTGCAATTAATTCAAGGGTCATTTGGAACAGACATGCTGGAAATTTAAATATTGAAAAGAACAGGAAAGTACAATAACTGTACTATAAAAAGCCTTAAAATTAACAGAAATATACATACATAGAAAGAAAAAGCTATGAATTAAGTTTTCCTGAAAATATTGTCAAAACAAAGGCCTAGACATAAGGGAGAGTTATTTTAAAAAATTCATTTTATTGTGATTTACCACTTTGGCTATTACATAGAAAACTTGAAACTCATTCAATACAATATGAGGTTTAATATTATTACAAAGAAATAATACTGTGCATACAATAATTCATTTGTACATTGAAAACAATAATATTATACACACACCTACAAAACAAGTATTGTAATTACAACAGAAGGATAAATAAATTTTCTTTGTAACATTGTAACATTTATTGCTGAAAAATATACAATCTGCATAAGAATTTATAGATTTATAAATCTGCATAGTAATTTTCGTATAATTAATATTATAGAAACCACAAATTTATTACAAGCATTGTCAAGAATATATGTATATCATTGTATAAACGAATGATTAAACAATAATTGACGATATGTTTATTACAGTGAATTCTACGCTATTTTTAACATATTTTATTTACTCTTTATTTTTTTAAGATACCATGTTAGAGATATCACGTTTACATATGTAAGTATGTACTTATATACAATCATACCTTTAGTACAGGGGTTAAGTACTCGGCGACACCAAGCGCAGTGCCTTTTACGGAATTAATGACACTCTGCATTGTAAACACGTCCGATTAAGGATAGAATTTTATTAAAAATGAAAAAATCAAAGAGAATGTTTGCCGAGTGCAAACATTCGTGCGATATTAACAGTTTCCAACGTATTATCGATTTGGTTTAACATGGGAGTCATATATGCGATACCAAAATGTTCCCGATGTTCCCTTTCCATGAACTTCCCCTACTATCATTTCATGTTACCCCACTATCAAATGTACATGAAAATGAGCATGCGTAACAGAAGTTACCGACAGCGTATCGCGGTATATTAGCGCTAAAATGAACGAATGATTAGATTTTTAATAATCTTGTAACAAATTTGGATAATGATAAAAATAAACTTAATCATGTAAAGCAATTTCATATACGGTAGATAATATTTTTATGTCTAACGATTTCCAGCTTTGTAGATATAAGAAAAATTTTAATAAAACCACCACGCAGTATATATATGGAGAATCAAAAAAGTATTACGGTAGTGTACCTTAAAATTTATTTTTTCTTAAATCTATAGCACTGTGACTATGATTGTAATTCTTTAATAAAATAATTTAAGATTTTTTTATCGAATTACATACTCCATGTTAAACATTTAGTAATACACTTTTGCTTTGAATATCAAATTCAATTTATATGAAATAACATTTTATTATAATTTCTTGCACATTCAAATTGTTTCAGTACTTAGTCAGAAAGCACAAAAACGGGAAACAGGTGAATAATTAAAATATAATATTGTCTCACTTCTCGAAGAAGTTTGACATTTGACAGCTGTAATTTTCTATCTAGATTTTTATAACAAGTATTACCTATCTCTAAAAATTATAATAACTTAGGACTTAGGACTTAGGTGTAGGCGACACACTATAATTTAAGGAACAATATATTTTTGAAATGTATTTTTCGGTTCTCTACTTGTTTCTGAAGGATCATTAAAATTGATACATGACACAACATCTGATTTGTTATAATTTAAATCTTTCAGCCTTTGTAATTGGTAATTCATATTTTAAGTATGTAAATGACGTTAAAATTAAACTGTCCATATTATTTTAAGGTATACATATTAGGATATATCATATATCATTTATTTTTCTGTCTTATAATTTGTTTACCTTCATTGCTTGTTCCTATGGTAACTGCACACCCGAATAGGGAAAATACAGTATACCTTGGAGCAAATGGAGCAAATTAATTCTTTTGTTAATAAATTAACGAAAAATTCTTCAAAATAGTTCTTAAAAACAGTTTAGAAAAAGCTGCACAGTTATATATATATATATATATAAAGGTATTGAATACTTTAATTTCATATCATGCTATGTAGAAAGTTTAGTACGCTTATGAAAAATGTGGGTAGTTACTACTTGTTTATTATCGTTTTTTTGTTTATTGTATTAGATGGTTGATCTTACTAAAACTTCAGATGAACATTTGGAAGAACTGACACAAGTATTAGAAGATATGGATAGTTTGGACATGGAATTATTTAACAACTCATTTAAAAAAACAAGATCTACTACAAGTATTTTCAAAGACTCCAATGCACAATTGGATGGTGATATAAAAAAAAAGGTCATATTTAAAGGTGACTTAAAATCGAATAAACAGTAATTAGACATTTGAAACACAAACGGAAAATAAAATAAAAATTTTGAATTCAGCATATTATTATAATGAACACCTGAAATGTAATTCATTATTTTTATATACAATAACTATACATGTAATTTTGAAGATTATATTCACTTATAATATTCCATACACATATTTTAGTTACACCAAATCTATGAAATTTTATATAGCTTCTAGGAATTATTTAAGAAATACTGTTTTTCTATAGATTCTAACGAAGGTGATTCATTAACTGGTTTCTTATTTGACGAGGAGATTTTTTTAAAAGATAAGAAAAATTCACGCACAAGTGGAAGTAAGAGTAGTCTAATAGAAGACCTGTTTAAGATCAAAACACCACTTACATCCGCAACAAGTATCAGAACAAATACTGAATTGGAATCAAAGCTTAGTTTTGAGCATGAAGATGTTAATGAATTGTTTCCACAGAAAACAAGCAATTTTACAGCTAGAAGTAACAATGTTTTCTTACAAAGTGAATCTTCCACAGAAAAACATGCTCAAAAGCTAAGAAATGTATCTAAAAACGAAGAGGACATTCTAGCAAATTTGCTTGGTAATGATAAATTAGATGTAGTAGATGATAAATCAAGAAGGTCAACGTTAAAAGAGACTTTGTTTGAGAACAAACCTCGTTCATCGTTTACTAAAAATATGGAATCGGAAAATTCAATACACCCTGCAGAGTTCACAACTATTGCACAGAAACAAAAATCTCAGCTTGCTGATCAATCAACTATGTCAACTGTAAAAGAATTTCGTAGAGGTAGAAGAAATGCAAAAATCATAAATGATCCTCTTGGTTTACTGTCCATTGATTTATTATCCGAACAAAATCTTGTCCCGGTAATTATATTTTATTCTTTTGTATTTATTAATAAAGTACTAATATAGTACCTGTGTATATGTACGTAATGCAAGAAGACTGGTCTCTGAAATAGCTAACACTACAATATGAATAATGTTTATTCTATTTTATAAACAAAAAATAATACAAAATAATAGTTTATAGCAATTATAATTAGTATTTTGTAGTCATTTTATTTGAACGTATGCAACTACAAGTCTTGCAATCTTTAGTGGTTCTGTTTTCAATTTTGTAGGTAATGAATGAAAATGCACCAGCTAGAGATTCTGTTGTACAAAGTTCTAAATTAGAGGAGAATTTACCAGAATGGTTGGGCGGTACAAAGAAATTACAAGAAAAAAAGGGGGCAGAGGTAAAAGACGAAGTATCTCCAAAAAATAGATTACCTGACAATGTTGAGAGAATACCTACTTCTAAAGAAACCATTGAATCTCAGCATTTAAAAAATTCAATAGTTTCTAAAACAGTCAATGAAAATAAATTAGAAGGTGTACAGGTTCCAGAACATTTATCATTATTATTTAGTACACAATTTAATCAACAAGCTGCAATTATGACTATGCAGCAACAAGAACACGAACTAAGAACTGCAAATGTACTGTCTCAACAAAATGAACAGCTGAATAAGGTATCAGACGCTCAACATTCCATACTCCATAATCAAGAAAACCAATTTAACGTTTTGTTGAAATTGCAACTTGAAAAGCAACTTTTGTTAGAAAAACAAATAAAACTCCAACAAGAACGTATCGATCAATATATTCAAGTGAGCTTCGTTTAAACTAGTAGCTAATCTTTCACAAAATGAAAGAAATATTAAACGGATTAATATATAGTCAATATTTTACTTTTCAAGACCTTGATGGCCCAGCCTACTCCAATATCAAGTACTACGTCCGTTTATACCACCTGCAAATCAGATGAAAGTGAAAAGGAAAAATGCTTATTAAACAAAAAGGAAGAATTAGAAAATGCAATAAAAGTATTGCAGGTAGAGAAATCCAAATTGGAGAGTACATTATCCACTATAAGTGAAATACACAATAATGAAATGATATATCAAGCTGAATTTTACGAGTACATTTACTATGATGTTTTACTTATACAGAAATTTCGAAGTAAATTAATTTTCTTATTATTCACGAAATTTTACTTTTAGGAGGCAAGTTTCGTTCTTAAAAGAAGGAATATTAAAATTCGAAGAAAAGACAAGACAAGACGCAGAAATATTAGAAACAGATTACATGGCAAAATTAGAAAAATTAAGGAATGAGAAAGTACAAATGGAAAATCTATACAAAGAAGAAATACATAACTTAAAGGTTTCTGATTTCATTACATACTTCAGTATACAATTAAGTTACAAGTATTAAACTAAGTGAAAGAGTAAAAAACGAAAAATTGTAATAAACACGTATTTATACATTTTTAATTTTGTACATAGAGTGAACATGCTCAACACATACAAGAAATTAATGAATTACATTCTAAAAATGTAAAATTTTTGCAAAAAGAATATTTGGATGTAATAGAAAACATATGTAAAGCTAAAAAGACCGAGGATCAAGTAATAGAAAGTATCACAACTCAAAAAATTGATATAGAGAACATGTTGCAAAAAGCTAATTCCATTATTGGAAATATGAAGGAATTTAAAGAGAAAGTAGACGATAACAAGAACAATCTAATGGAATGTCATGAAAATTATTTAAAAGTATATGAAGATGATATAAAAGGTAGCCTTAAGAAATTTTTGTATAAATAATATATTTCAGTACATATACTTAACATTTATTTGATCGCTTTTGTATTTCAAAGCATAAAAGATTTTATTTACGTTTTGCAATAAATTTTTACAGCCGAAAAACTTTACTTAAAAAATCGAAACAGTATTTTCGAAGGGCACCAAAACAAATTTATTGAAACAACAGAAAAGTTTGGTAATCAACTTATGCAACTTATAAGCGAATTACAAAAACAAACTACGCAGAATAACCAGATGCAAGAAATGTTTGAAAATAGAGCAACAAATCTCGTAAGAGAAAGAGAATTATTCGAAGAGAAAGTAAGGTGGGAGAGAGATTATTTACAGGTACAAGTAATATGCTCGCTAGAAAGTATTAATGTTTTAAGTACTAGAAATATTAAATTTTTGATGATATTGTAGAAACATCCAAATGCATCATAATTAAGTTAATTATTAATTTCATTATAATTAAATATATTAATCTTAATTCTAGACATTAAAAGAATCTTGGGTGAAAGAACAAGAAAGACAACTGAAATTGCTTGCAGAGGAAAGGGAGGTATTAACAACAGAAAAAGTACAATTACAAATTACGAATAGACTCAAAATTAATAGCGACGATATTGCCAAAGTCGAGGTACAAAAAATTATGGAATTTTACATTAATTGAAATTTGTACTGTCTAAAAAATACAAATAATATTTGTTTTTTAAATAATCATTATAGTTGGAAGCTGCTATTCAAACTGCACAGGAAGCGATAACCTCTGCGAACCAAGAAAAATTAAAGTGGCAAGAAAAACTTAACGAGCTTAATGTTCATGAACAGATCCTACAGGGTAAAGAAAGGCTGCTTGTTTCCCGTGCTAAGGAGCTTGAAAAACTTACACAGGTAACATTCATCATACGCACATTTACTGTAGCATTTTAATCGTATTATTAAACTGTTAAAAATGAATTTTGCATGGTTTTTTAATTCTACAGTCAGCTTTGACTAAAAAGGAGGAAGGAATAAAAGCTTTAAAAGATGCGAAACACTTAGAAAATCAACATAAAGAGAAACTTGATTTGTTACAAATGCAGTTTAAAGCATTAGTGGAAAGAGAAAAAAGGATTGAACAATACAACATCACAAAGTAAATATAAAAACAATGTTTACGTATTTTAAAAATTTTGCTCTTTTCTTTCATTAAAACATATATTCAATAACATTATTCTCCCCCAAATATATTTATTAATATTGAAATATTTACTCTTATTTCAAAGAGGACAAATGATTTCGGTATCTTGTGAAACTGAAAAACCAGAAAGAGATGTGAATGTCTCGTATAATTTTCAAAATAAAATGTTTCCTTTCTCTGTGACACAATCAACATCTCAGATGACTTCAGACTTCATGGTAAGCAAATATTTATTTAAAAACCAAAGAAATTATTACTAAAATATACCCTTTCTTTATACTTTTTCTTGCAGAAAATTGTAGATCCAAATCTGGTCATGCTAAAATTGAATCATGACAATCATTATTATTCTATTACTTAAACTATATAAATTTTTATTAATTAATACTTTACGAAGGTATGAACATTACAAGTAATAAATATTATTTACTCATGTAAAATATTTAAAATTCTACATCATTTACAATGTCAGAAATATATAAAACTTTTATTGTAAAATACTGATTTAATAATGTAACATTACAATGGTAGCTCCTCTATTTAAAATATAGGTCTATATCCTGCAAATGCTCATATCTACATCTACAAATAGATAATTACATAAAAGTTAACTTTATCTTTAATTACACTTATAAATATTTAATAATAAAGTAGTATTGCTGAATATTTGAATAAGAATAAGCAAATACATTTTTTTATTATTAATAACAAATATTTAATAAATTCGGATCTTTATTTAAAAAATACTTCATTTTCTTCAGTTGAATTTTATTTTCTAGATTTTCAACAAATTTCAAATATCACTTATACAATGCAATAAAAATCAAAATTTATCAAAAAATATTTTATTATTATAAAGCGAAACTTACCATAAAAAATTAATATTCTTGCATCATGCTTATATTGCATTGCAAGGTTTTTATTGCACTCATTAAAGATTTCGTTCTAAATATTTCATTTCCTACAGAATTATTACAAGATATCTGAAAGAAAATTAGAAAACATAAAGAAGTTATAAATATTGATTTTCATTTAAATAATGTAAAGTGAACTTACAATTTTATTAATGACATCTATAGAATTTATATTCTTATTAATGGTATTATCATAATCTCTATAAATATTTTGTATTCCATTTATAAAGTCAATTGTTTCTGACAAAAAGCTTATTGTTTGTCTAAAAGAAAACAATTAAGACATGTTTTGTAATATACATAAGTACTCTCAAAAAGTTAGCTTACCGATGATGTTCGTGTGAAATCGGTAATGCTGGAGGATTTTCAGAATTGTTTATACATAAATTATATATTGAGTGCTTATATGTTGTTATACGTTGAAGATCTTTACTAACAGTTTGCTTACACTCATTTCTCTCATCTGGAATAGATATGTAATGACAATTACACATCAATATTATTGAAGATAATACCATTAAGAAAGAAAGTCGAACCCTTTATGGTTTGTAATGTCTTCATTAGATTATTATATTCTTCAATCTGCTTTTTCTCCTTTTCTGCAAACTGTTTTTCACAGACTATCTCTCTCATATGCAATAACTTTATCATGTTCTCAATATTTTCCATTTTGCAAAACTTCTAAATAGACACTTCAAGCCATTCAAAACACAATATGTATACTCATTCTCATTCACTAGCGGTGGTTTGTCCTATGAGCAATTTACAGCAATTTAACCGCTCACTTATCCACCATTTGTATCTCTGCGTATTGCCACAGGCGTTTTTTATATTATTCCCGTCGTGTCTGATTATTTGTTGACATCTACTGAATCAATAATGTGCATTAGTAATTAATTAGTTAACAGTTTAATATTTTATATTTAACTTTAGTAGGTATTAATTAAAACAAAATTAGTATTAAAGTTTTTATACGCAATTGAAAAAGTGGTGGGAATGATTTATGGCGTCACCTACGCGGTAATCGGTTCAAGCTACTTTACCTCGTTTGTGATAGCGCGCAACTTGTGCGGCATAAGGTAACAGCACTATTCATGAAGTTGGCTTTTGTACTTTGATACATTTGTCACGTTCATTCCAAGATTTGTGACCTATATTTAAAAATTATGTAAAACGTGTGTAGAGATCTGCATTCTATAAATTAGATTTTGATATATTTTCAATGTAATAATAACATTGCTTTTTAACGAGACATACATATTTAAACATTTGACGCAAAAGGACTTTTCACAACATTTAAGTGTCGTATTTGATGATCGATGTATATATATATTGTCATACTAAATTTCTGAAATGTCAATTTAACGAAGTAAGTATTGTTATCCACGTGATTTTTCGAATAGTAATAGTTGTAACCAAAGAACACAAGCAGGTAATTTCATTCAAAATTGCGTAGTTTTTATAATACAAACGTTTGAATGAAATCGAGCACATTGTAGCACTCTCTACGTCACATTACATCAAATTAGACAGGATTTTACTAGGGATCTTTTGACGTGGAACAGCTGATTGTATGCGTTACCGTCTGACTATTCTCAACATCAAGATGGCCGCGATCGTGAGAGTGCAGTAAGGGTTGTATGATTTTTGGCATATATCGCCAGTTACGCCGTTTGGAGCTGTTGTCATTGCTATTCAGTATTTTCGGTAAATATTTCTACATATTTTTATATAGAACACGCATTCGTTTTCTGGAACAATTGCATATAAACGGAATAAAATCGAAACTCTGCAGATTGTCAGTGACATCTCGTGAATGTGATGTAGCAGACGCCTCTAATTGCTTTTAATAGGTTTTCTTCGAGATCCTTAGTGTGTACCGCGTTGTTGCGATGGACTTTGTGGTAGATCCTTGTCAAGCCCTTTTTGCTACGGAAGAAGAATTGATTTGTTACCGACGAAAATATCCACTGTTAATATCCATATAACGCTGATTATACTTCGACTACTCTATAACAAGGTTTTGTCATTTATTTATTACGGGATTACTTTATTGTATTATCAATTAACATCCTGTATTCTGTTATAATTTTTTGAATTACTGTTATCTTCTGCATCCTAAGTAAAACATATTTCGTATGCGGAATTTGCATCATTATATTTTTCCAAATGATACATGTGTTCAGCCTGTGTATTGTGCTTCTATATTTTTATAATAAACAATTTTCAGACTAAATGGATAAGTTGGAAAAATGTAAATTTATGAACGAAAATATAATGATTAAGGCACAAATTTCGATAGTAGTCAGTTATCTGAAAATATGAATTAATCAACATCATATAATACAATTAATATTAATTATAAAAATGCTATTATTTTTCAAGAATGTTAATATTATATGATATTGTTACAAAATTATTTTTATTGAACACAACAGTAATATTTCGTGTTTACCTTTAATATATAACTGATGAAGGTTATTTAAATAAATTATAGATTGAATTTTAAAGATGACAGCAGGCACAAGTTTGGTAGTACCCATAGTTCTATGGGGTCGTATAGCTCCAACTCATTGCATTTCTTGTATTTACCTATCTCGAGATCAGAAAACATTGGTAACAGGATGTTATGATGGCCAGATATGCTTGTGGCAAGTCGACCCAGAAACATTAAAGGTAAACGTGTTTTTGTTATCGATATCAAATGATTTTAGTAGAGACACAATAACAAAGAAAAGATTATATGTTCAGATGACACCAAGATGTTTACTTGTTGGTCACACTGCTCCAATCATGTGCCTCAGTCGAGCAAGTGTTATCATGGAACAGAATTATATTGTTAGTAGCAGTGAAAGCGGAGAGATGTGTACATGGGATTTAGTTGATGGGAAATGCAGAGAAGCTGTGAAACTTAGCAGTGTTCATACACAAATGTTGCCTTATGTCTCTGCCGGTGGAGAAGATGTCAGACTTTTCTGTTCTGGGTATATAAAAATTACATAATATGTTTCTATAAAAATGGGTATATATGCCTTTAAATGGTAACAACATTTGGTTTGCAATTTCAGGTACTACCCCGAAGTTTTAGTGATGGACCCTTTTAGTTTGGAAGTTTTATTCACCTTGAGTTCACGTGTTAACCCAGATTGGATCAGTGCATTGCACGTTTTGCGGCCGGCCAAACGGAAAGGTCGGTTCTACGTGCATACAAGTTAGTTACACTACATCACACCTACGCTTTTTACCATAAGCTACTACCTCCTCTCTCTTTCTCTCCAACTTTCTTATCAACTATATTGTGCAAGACTGTATTACCATAAAAGAACAAAAAGACTATTAGACTGCAAATTTTATGTATTTATCGCATACACAATTGTCTAGAACTTAGTTCAGTTAAACTCTTAATAAAATCCACAGACGTTTTCAGTTTCTGTTAAATCTTATAGGAGCCCTATCGTGGTTATAAAATTTTTATTGGACTCCAATCTTTGTAGATTAGTTCACAAAAATCGATACTTGCATAAATATCTACAGATTACAATTTAATTTTGCCATTTAGATTTTAACTAATATATCTACTTGCACAATATGTTTGATATCTCCTCGTATATTAATTTCTTATGTATTTTTTGCTCCAATCTTGTATTAGGTATTAAAATGGTTAATAAAGTATACTTTTTGGGCACTATTATTTCTCAAGTATTTATAGAGTTCTTACAATGTTGATTTCTGGTAAAGCAATTAACAGATACTGAGGTTTATGTATGTAGATTTCATATCTTTTTCTGCGTATTCAATATTCTGCTAATTTTTCTTGAGCAATTAACTTAAAGAAGCTTTGTGCTTTGGGTATAAATAGGGATTTACATTCGTGTAATTTTCTCAATAAAGAACAGTTACTGAATATAATTCAATATGACAGTAGTATTAATAAGGTACCCTATAATGTACTGTCGAATGAAAATAATTTATAAATTATTGAAATTTTAATAAAAATTATAATGTTGCAGCATGTAAATGAATGACATATGAAGAGACACCAGTGCTGTTGCATTGGTAGTTGAGGCTGTATCATACTTTTCATATATCTTCTTCCTCTTGTTCTTTCTCTTTTTGTTTTTATTATTTTAAATATGAAAATCAATTGTACAGACATTATTAACACTACAACTAATCATTCTTTTATGTTAATCCTCTACATTTGCTCTTCCTTTCACAAAATTTCATCAAAGCATACACTGTATTTACTTACACTCACTAATCACTTTCGTAATCATTTGTGGGTGATAAGTTATACCTGTAGTAAGTATGTATTATCTCAAACCTATTGTTTTATAAATTTTTGTGGTATTCGAATACAATGTACTGTTGTGTATATATTTTGAATGATTGTACTGTTTAGTATTTTTTATGATTTCAGTTCACACTTTGTCGTGGTATTGTATTTATTTAATGAATTGAGCTTTAATCGATAGATCGAAAAATTTTCCTCTTACATTTTTATATTTCAGTTTACAATAAAAAAATATATTGTAGTTTCCAATGGCCAAAGATAGACTATAAAATCTTGCATATACTGTTTACTTTTATAGTAAACTGTATTTGCAATAACAACATATTTGTCTGTAGCTTAAAATTTAATTTTTAAAAGTACAATTTTATTATTGAACAAAAAATTTCACATGAAAAGAATTTTCACAAGTATAATTACATAAATGTTAATTAATGAAGTATTTGTTATAACATTGGTATAATCAATATGATTCTGCATCTTAAGTTGATTGTATTTATGTATATAAGGCTTAAGCATGTTACTTTTTTATATGTGGTACCTTTGAAGTTTGGTAAAAAATTTTCTTATTAATCGAGACATATTTAATAGAGTATTAACATTTCATAATATGATGGCATCTCAGACATAAATAAATACATACTAGACTTTTTAGATGCCTTATGCATGCTTTAAGTAAGCATGATTTTAAATAATTCAATTATTTCTTTATTCTAGTATACAAGGTTTTATTTTGCATGAAATTCTTGTGATATGCTACATGGGTTTTTCTTATTTATAGCTATCATTAGTAAATGTCTTGATTATTATTTTCATTAGGTATACTCGTCTAACAATATTAAAACATTGTTTTATAACTGAAAAATTCTACAGTTTTCAATGCATAGAAAACATTTGTAAGGTGTCATGTTGTTGACCCTTACTAAAAATTCTTTTGCTTAAAATGCTGTGACACCTTCTTAGATGTAGTTAACGCGCAACAGGCGCTTCCCTTCATTTAAAGACGACGTCGTGCTGGCCTTAACGACAACTGGTACGGTTAAGGTGTGGACGCTTCTTGGACACGAGAATCGCAACAGCGAACCCCTTTACGAACATGAAAGTAAACAGATACAGTGTCTTAACGCGCTTGCGATGACCTGCTGCCCATACAATCAGAGGACTGTATTAATTGTGTGTTCGAAAGATTGGCAGGTATTTTTACATACTAATACGTTGTTTTAATTGAAAATTCAATTCATTCTTATTGATACGTTCTTTTAATCAGATATACGATGCTGGTGATTTCTCTGTCCTATGTTCAATTTCGGCTCCTCGTGGTGAACGTTGGATGGCTGGAGACTTTCTAGCTGCGGATAGGGTCATATTATGGAGCGATGAGGGTCGCGGTTACCTGTATAAATTACCAGCTAAGTATGTTTTTGAAAATACGTAATATTACTCTTTTTCTTGTTACTCTACTTCTGAGTTTTGAAAATGTTTACATTTTTGTACTCTTACGAGATATTAAAACTCCATTACCCTTTTTTAATTAGTAGAAGAGCTTGTAAATAATTCATAACATCCAATGTTTGTAAGGTGAAAAGTTTCTAATCACATTGTAGGTCTAAGTTATAAATATATATATATATATATATATATGTATATTGACATATCAAATTACTTAAAGGTCATTCATTTCTTGCTTATAGGGTTCTGGTACACCTTGGCAGGTAGATTTTCTGAAAATTCGTTTTATAAATTACTTTCGAATATAAGAATAAACATACTGTCCTTGCGAAAGAAAGATAAGACTATTAGATAAATGTGCTTGTTCTTATAGCATGGTGAAAGATACTAATATGCATTTGTTTCCTTTAACAAAATTTGCAATAATTAACAAATTTGAAAAGACTAAGATAAAACAAGAATTTTTAACGTGAAAATAAAAAAAGTCACAAGTATTGTGATAAAGATGTACTATTCGTGTATTTATCACATCACATGTTAGAAACAAATTTATTAAAATTCGATACTTTATGGCATTTGAGAAAGTGCTTGTATCGTTACTAATGTAAATTACAGTTGTTCAATCTTACTCGATATACTTCATTTCGATATGTAGATGAACTCATCTCAGTCAGCTGCACTTATATTGAAATTAACCAGAGGCTTTAATTTTAAATCTGAATGCTATTCTGTAGAGGCACTTGCTGGCAATGCACACATTTAATATTTGTTCTCCTTATATTTCTTCACTTCATTGTCCATAAACATTCATATTCAATCAGTGCGTGGGAAATGAAAATTAAAGTTTTGCTCTATCTTCTATGGAAAACATAACAGTTCGAAAATAAATATATTTAGATTCTAAACAATGATCTCTGAAGAATTTGATACAATTTCTTTTCGACAAACTTTTGTTTCTTATTTTGAATGAAACATTAAATAATACTCTAAACATTTCTGGTATAATGGGGATGCATAAGTTCACAAAACATTTTTCTACCTTTCCATTAATATAAAATATAGAATTCAGCGTGCCTTTTTAATGAATCGGGAAAGAACACCCAAAAATAGTGAATATATTGACATGTTGCAAATATGCATTTAACACTATAACTACTTTTTTCGGTGATGTGTCTTTTTCATATAATACACATCTACTGCATCTTATTTCATCTACTGCATTCTACGATGGATCCGGTGTTCTTCTAGCAAGCTGAAGGGCAAGGCTCTCAGCAGGTAACCCTGCATAATTTCTAAATCCATTTCTTTTTTTGTTCTCTACTGTGATACCTCTGACACTATGTGTTTCTCTTCGTATTCACTTTGTTAAATGTGTTACTCTTCTACTGATTTCCTTTTTATTGTCAATTGTTTGAACATCTATTGAATGTGTATAAAATGCACATAGATTATTGTATAGATTTTTCTGTAAATTAATATGAAAGGTAAATACAATGAAACGTTTCTTAATAGTGAAATATAAATTCAAGAATTGCTAATTTTTATAATATATATTATTATTGTCTTTATCAGTATTTTACAAATATTATAATTATAAATGAATCGATGTTAATAAAATACTGTAAAAATTTCACTATATTCAGTTTTTATTATAGATCGACACAAATATTGCAATTCTGATTAACGAGAGTTTAAAAAACTAGACAATATATAGTTATCATTATTTATTAAAAACAAAAGGCTATTATAGAAATTAAAAATGTAATAAAGAATGGTATTTCCTTCATTTCATGTTCTAAATTCTTCGATTAATTTCGTTTCGTCGTACAAATATAATTCATTATTCTTTTGCAAAAATTTTGTATTCTAAACGATTTCACTTGTCTAATAGTACTGAAATTTAAACAGAGTAAGGATTCTAATAAATGTATAACACATTTTATTTTTTAAGTAGGTGTATGGGTAGTATGTATGATATAATTATACATTAAATGAAATACATCACAAACAAAGGCACTATACCTCTTTGCATTTCAGATCTTGTGTACTCACTTTTCATTCATCTCCGATTGCTTTGCATGTATAACTATCTCATTTATTTTTCTATAGGTAAAAGATGACTGATAAAAATGGTTTAACTAAAACTTGATAGTGCTATACCAGATTTAGCTAATGGCGCTGAATTTAGTTGTTGCGCACATCATAGTATATCTAAATTTTTGTATAAGATCTTCTATTAGAATCAAAGTTGACGTAACAAAGTTCATATTGTATAACCTGAATTAAATGAAATTATACAATGCTTTACTGCTTACTTATATTGTTCTATTAAATAAGCAACAAATTCAGTAATTAAACTAAACAGTACAAATAAGCTTCTATGAAACATAATAATTACTATTTATGGACTATAAACTAGCATATTAGTATCCATTATGAATTGCTGTCCATAAATGGTGTTATTGTTGAGTCAAAAATTTGACGTATTAATGTTATATGTTTGTTTCATTTATACAGCAGCGTTGCAGACAATAAAAATTTTCATACTGCAAGTGTCGAGTATGACCAACCTTACTTATACTGCACTTTAACGCAACCTGGGGATAAGGTAATTACAAAATTGATATTCAATAAAATTTTTATTTTAAGCAAATTATAAAAATTAAAATTGTAATTACTTTTTTTTTGTATTTCAGCCCTTATCGTGTCCACCGGCAATGCGATTAGTTACAGTTCAAAGACAGAGTAAAACAGTGAAATATTTATTACGTGGTGATAGCGAAGGTGTTGTTATTCTTTGGACAGTACCAGAAGTAACAACTCAACAATTAGCTCAAATCTCTCAAAATGATCGCTTTGCATCACTTTCGTTGGCCCCGTCGGTAAAAACAAGTCTCACAGTTGCTTGGAAAGAGATGAAACCACCGCCAGTTGGAATATTAGATCAATTAGATAGTGGAGACGGGCATGGTATAAAGCTAACAGCTAGCATATATTTACCGCAACAAAGTCGGTTAGTTGTTGGTCGTGAAGATGGCAGTATTATAATTGTTCCTGCATCGCAAACAGTTATGCTTCAATTGCTTCATGGCAATCATCAACAGTATGATGGTACAATAAATTTACACGTACTTTTAAACATTATAATAAATGCTACTACGCTCATAGAGGCACACTCTCATCCATAAATCATCAGACACTTAAAACTTAATTTATTTTATTTCTATGTAAGATAGTGTTTTGAAATATGTGTCACAAAACTTTCAGAATTACTTGAGAAAATTATAAAATAATAATTAGTCAAGTCAGTTCAACACAATTGAATAATTCTAGCATTAATTTACAAAGAAATTAAGAATAGACGTCGAAAATTAATGAAGAGCTCGTGGAAAAGATTGTAGGATGCTTAAGTGTAATTAGTCAAGAAATATTTTTAAAAATTCACTGTTACATCCCAACGATTTAGTCGGATGGATATTTGCGAATGAAGTGAATATACTATAATTAAACGAATACTTAAGATTATTTACAATACTGGATATACTTTACAATTTCACTACAATGTACAGAATTAATAAGAATTTGTTTATTTTATATTCAAAGTGATTTTGCAACAGCAATTCTTTCTTATTCTTGTTCAGTGGCATAAGTGTCTGGTGACATATGGATGGGAGTGCAGTTTAAATAAAAATTTGTACGATCATACTTCTTTCGCTTTATTTCATTATGTGGTTTATAGATTGGCCTCCACACCAAGTACTTGTAGGTCACTCTGGTCGAGTGAATTGTCTTTTATATCCACACGGAGCTGCATCGCGTTATGATCGGGTACACCTTGTCTCTGGTTCTGTTGATTTTGCTGTATGCTTGTGGGACCTGTACGCTGGTACGTTAATTCATAGGTTCTGTGTCCATGCCGGTGAAATTACACAATTGATGGTGCCGCCTGATAATTGCAGTGTACGTAACATGTTTTATCGTCTTGTTTTAAAACAACTGTTACGTTTATGTAGCTTAAATGGTAATAGTGTACAATTCGGTCGGTATGTCCGATTTTCTTCAGACTTTAATATGTGCAAATAATTATAAGTGTCTTTAATTTCAAGTTAAATTTGTAACCAAAACTTAATCCAAACGTCACTATGAATGCAGATTAAGTGAAAGAACATAAGTTGTAAATAGTAAAAAAGCGGTTTAACTGTTTATTTTCAAAGCATTATACTGATCAGAGCTGGTTAGACCTAGTTTAATAAAAAAAAACTAATTGTCAAAAATGCGCCATTTTGTAAAATATTTTGCCTTTTTAGAGAGCTACTTTCAACATATTAAAGTTTGAAGAAAATCGGAGATACCGACTGAATTGTACACTATTACCGCTTACATAACAGTTGTTTCATGGCATACTTTTTGTAAAATTATAGTCATTTAATTTTACATAATTATAACGTCGTTGTCTTTTTAGCCTAGAATACAAAAGTGCGTTTGTAGTGTTGCATCGGATCATAGTGTTACGTTATTATCGCTAGCGGAGAGAAAGTGCGTTGTTCTTGCTTCTCGACACCTGTTTCCAGTTGTTACGATAAAGTGGCGACCACTGGATGATTTTATGATAGTGGGATGTTCAGATGGGGCCGTGTATGTATGGCAAATGGAGACCGGTCACCTAGATCGCGTATTACACGGTATACGCGTACTTTTTTTTTATTAAATGTATATTATTTTCTTTTTAACTGTGGTGTTATAAAATCATAATAAAAATTCTGCCAGGTATTATTGCAGAGGAGGTACTCTACGCCTGTGACGAAAATACAATGGCTGCAGCTGGTGGATCAGCTGCGGGTGGTGAATTAGGCTTAGCCAATCCTGCTGTGCATTTCTTTAGGTAAATGAAATCTTGCAACGTGGATGGTGAGAACCTTGAATGAATTTGGGGGAGAGATTCCTGAAAAGTAATTATTTTTTTTATTACATCGTTCGTATTTTATTTCTTCAGAGGCTTAAGGCATAGGAACCTATCTGCTATACGACACGCGACACAACGAGGGTTGCATCAGTTACAACAGCTTCACGGCGGGCATGGACCAGACCACGGAAGTCAGATAAAAGCAAAAGGCGCACCATTACTGATACAAGGCTTCAGAAGTAATCCCAAAGATCCAGAAAGTCACATTTTATTTTTTGACATAGAAGCTTTAATAGGTATGTTAATTATTTACTTTGTTTATAAGGTATGTAATGACGAATTGATTTTTATATAATGGTATATCTTATTCTTTTTATGTAGTACAATTACTTAGTGATGAGTATGGAGCAATGTCACCTGGTTCATTGGAAGCACAAGGCCTAATTTCAGCGTCAGAATATCAAAAGGTTGCAGCGCTTACACAATCTGCCAGTCCAGATGCTCACAAGAAAATTGCAGGTGAGGATTCGGTTCTCTTTTCCATCAAATGAATGTGAATATTGTTTTTGAAAATTTAGCCAATATGTATATTAATCAAAAAATTTGCGATGACATGCCAATTTGTAGACTTTTTTGGTCGTGTCAAGGATAAGGCAGGCGACGTTGAACGAATATTAAAGGAAAAGGATCGTCACGGTATCGTGCTCAGTTATTGTTTCATATTATATATTGTAGACTGTATATGTTTTTTTCTGTAGAATAGCGGTTTAGTAAAGATTTAATTTAGGGTCATTAGTTCATTGGTTCTCTATTGTGTGTTATTTCTTGCACAACTTGTTTAATGTATATTTTACACACACGTATAAAACTCTTCTCATATGACTGCATGTGCACAGATATAGGTAGGTTTTATGTATATTTGTAAAGTACAATGTATCGCTCAAAACATGTATTGAGTCTTAAAACAGTCACATTTCCGACAGCATTATAGTTTCATCCAAATAGTTGTGTTGTATTTTGGTTCATTCAAATCTTCAATACATACGTCAATCTCTTTGATCAATTAAAAGTTATTGTACTTTTCTCTGTTTGCTGAATATGTTTTAGTGAAACTTCACGTAGAGAAGCATTGCCTTGTACTCTTCGTTCACTTAATGCTTGGTAGTATTGTTACATTAAATTCATTAATTCACGCATATAACTACAATATGCTCTCTGTCTCTTGGAATGTGTATTTCATGTAATACTCATGTAATGTTCAGACTTCGTAGTGCCTTTAATCTCTACTTCGGCTGTAATCGTTAGAAGATTCGTGTTCGGATAATTTTTCGTTTAATACCTCATCTAAAGCCAATTTCTTTCTGTAGGTATATTGGCTAAAATGAAGGAGGGTGCAGAAAACGTACACACTAAAATTCAGGCCAAGGTGGAAAGCGTTGGCCTCAAGCCGTCGACTCTTGACGGCAAAGGTTAGCCATGGCTTAAGGAAAATGGCGAAGCCATTATATTATACTTTCTGTTGTTAAAATTATATCGCATGGGTTGTTTTGTTAGTTTACATTTTTTGACGTCACGCGCCTTAGTTTCTTTATTTTTCCATGAGAAACGCGTTTATTCTTTATTATGTTTACAATACAAATCATTAAGGGTGTTCACTAACAGTTATTTTGATGGATTTACACGTTGGTTTACTGCTTCACTACTTGTTAATTTAATGCAAATGGCTTACTTCCAGTTATACTGTCATTGAGTAAAAAAATAATACTGTATAATATTTTTACAGAATGTGTTACCAAAATAAGATTTAGTTGGTGTAGGAAATCGATCGCATTTTAGGGAATCATGTATTGTATCTAAATTATTGTCTTTTTATTATTTTATATTATAATATTCGAATTATGAATATTTTTTGTATACTTCAAACACATTACAAGATCTTGTTTTATATATTACTATTTTTATTTCTAAATTTCGTATCCACTTTCCATACTTCTTACATAGCGAATATTTGTGATTGAAACATTATTAATATCTGGTCACCAGAATGTCTTTTATATTTTTATTGTAGGACACATATGCGTGGGTAAAAAGAAAATTTTCAAGTCCATATCACACTTAACGTCTTCAATACACACATTTGTAAATTAAACAGGTTCAAATTCTTAATTAATTTTTTAATTAGTGTTAATCTTTCACAGGTGAAAATTGGAATAGTAGTGATGCTGCGAAAAACAATCTAAAACGAAATGGGGCTTTCAGTGAACCAAATGCAACTATGGAAGTTGCTCAGCTTATATTAAGCTTATTGCATGCCTGGGGTTTAGATCCAGACTTGGACCGTGTTTGTGAAGGAAAATTAGGTCTGCTAAGACCCATGGTTCCAGTTTCATTTGGAGTATTATCTAAAGGAGGTAGGAGCAGAAAGTTTCTTAATGTATAAAACATCTGCTTGTACCCTTTAGTGAACATTGTTTACTATAGGTTACATGTCATTATTATTACCAACTTGGCAAATGCAATTGGAACCGGGTGGTGAACCAACAACTCAATTAGAACAACGTTTACCGGTGGAATTAGTAAGACAAGAGAGGCTTACCAGAGCATTCACGGCAAGAGCACATTGGGAGCTATCTACCACATTAACCAGCAATCATTTATTGGCAGTAGTTGCTTTGGCAAATACTTTAATGTCAATGAACAATGCAACATTTGTACCTGAACAAGAACGGAATCGAAAAATGCACAGGTCAGTGCTCATTTTATGAAAAAAATTGGAATAGTGGATTAGATTTCATTGATACATTTTATGCAGGCCTGGTAATAGATCGGCAGTTAGTTGGAACAAAGCAGAAGAAGAAAATGAGGAAATTTATACAGCACAGCAAGCACAGATTAAACAAGGCTGGTCCCTATTAGCGACACTACATTGCGTGCTCCTGCCTGACAAAGTGACTGCACAAGGGGGTGCAAAGACATTCAAGCGGCCTCAAGTCGAAATGATGGCACGGAGGTGGCAACACCAATGTCTTGAGGTTAGGAATACCAGTGGGAATGTATACAATGAACGGTTTTACAAAACGCGATGATATTTTAGATTCGCGAAGCCGCTCAAGCTTTGCTACTCGCCGAGTTAACTAGAATGGGTCCAAAAGGAAGAAAAGCGCTTGTAGACAGCTGGTCGCAGTATTTACCAATGTACAGTACCCAAGAACCCATTGCGCCGCAAATACAGAACCAAAGCCCTCCGAGCTCTGGCAGTCCAGTGCCTCCAGCTGAATCGCATCCAGAAGAAGAAGACGAGGAAGAGGAATTAGCAGAAGGTATTTTTTTATAAATTAAATCGTGCTTGTATGATTTCAATCTGTAAATAAGTATCCGAAATGTACACACTCATATTAGCAGAAACACATACAGCTAGGAAACCTTCGAGTGTGGCAGAACTAAAACGAAAACAAACGACGGCGGTAGTATTACTAGGTGTAATTGGAGCTGAATTCGGTCAGGATGTTGCTACGATGAATCAGAGAAGGGATCACGATCAGAGACGAAAAAGTTCCATCGTAGAAGGATTTGGAATTGGAAACAATGATCTTGCTAGGCATACTAGTATGGCACTTACGCATCTGTTACATGCACCACACTCTCCGAAATTGCCCTTACACACGGCATTACGAAGAGCAGCAATCGATCTCATTGGTAGAGGTTTCACCGTTTGGGAACCTTATCTTGATGTATCAAAAGTAAGAATAATATTAATGCTTTTGATAAATTGGTTTTCAATGAAAAAAAATGAAAAGATAATGCTCAAAGCATGAGATAAACGTGTAATAATTTTACCCTATGGTAATATGCAGGTATTATTGGGACTTCTGGAAATGTGTTGTGATGCGGATAAATTAGTACCGAGCATGACATACGGCCTTCCTCTTACGCCTCAAGCAGATACGTGTCGCACGGCACGCCATGCGCTAACTTTAATAGCTACTGCCAGACCGGCGGCATTCATCACAACAATGGCACGAGAGGTGGCTAGGTACAATACACTGCAACAAAATGCGCAAACGTTAAATGTAAATATGGGCGCGAGCGTACTAGCTAGAGCAAAACCAGAAATACTCAGAATTGTTGAGCAGTTAATCGATAAAATGCAGAGTGAAATGAGTGATCTTTTAGTGGAGGTAGGAATAAAAATAGTACTTACAAACTCATGTCGATTATCGTCCCGAACTCGGATCCGCGCCGGGACAATAATCCTATATTTAGATTATTGACTGAATTAGACCTGAAGCAATATTCCAATTCGTTTTTTGCCGGATGCCCGAGCCTCGGCAATAAAGTATGCGTTTGACACGTTTTACGGCTTCCCTCCTCCCAGTGGTGGAGATAACGCTTGGACAATAATCGTGTAGAACGAGCCAAACGATAATCGAGAGGAGTCTGTACTGAACTCAAAAAATTTGAAATCTTATTATGTATTCAACGTCACAATCAACGTTCGCAGGTCATGGATATTATTTTACATTGTTTGGACCCAGGTCATCTGAAAACGAAACCACTGAATGAAGTATTTCCGGCGGTGTGTAGATTTAATCAAGTAAGTTCAATTTATACTGAAATTATTCATACCTTTTAAGCGTCAACCGATAAAAACCATGTAATATTTTCTTTAGGTGAGTCATTGTCCGGCAACGCGCAGGATAGCAGTGGGTAGTAGAAATGGTCAACTCGCCCTGTACGAATTGCGAGGTAATGTTAAATGCCAGACCGTACCTGCGCATTCAGGGTCTATAACCGCTCTAGCATTTTCACCCGAGGGCAAGTTTCTGGTTAGCTACTCTTGTATCGAGAACAAGTTATGCTTCTGGCAGGTAAGAATTAATGTTATCTTAATGCGTTTAAACAATCATAACACTAGGTTCTATCTTCGTTAAAAACATTCATCGTTTCCAGCAAACCAGTAGTGGTATGTTCGGTCTAGGAAATTCGCAAACACGATGTGTTAAGTCGTACAGTACAGCACCAATCAATGATGTAGCGCGATTAAATCCTATGCGACTAGCTCGACTGATATGGATAAATAATCGAACGGTTACATTAATGCTTGCCGACGGATCCGAAACGCGGTTCAACGTATAAACTGTAAACGAGATCCATCCTATTCCAGTACTGAGCAAATAAAAAAAAGAGAAAGAAAACGCAAACAGTACAGCCAGCGGATTCAGCCTACGAGCAGGAGCGTGGAATAATTGTAGGCGAAATAAATAGCCGAAAGTGCCGTCGTGAATGTTGGTGCGTTTATTGGTACTTCATAGTGCTAGTGTTAATCAATCGGATACCGTTATCACACGGATATAACCTCCATTGACGACTTTCATCGTTCCACGATGCAGGATATGACATAAGAATGGTCGTCAAACATGGTACGGAAATTTGTTCCTTTTCAAGTCTCTTTTCGCTTCTTTCTTCCGTTTCTGTAATTAGAACTTTTCATTTTTGGTTACACACGGACACGTTCGATCTTTTTTTTTTCTTGTTGTGTTACTGTAGCACCAGAGATAGCTTTGAATGCCGTCATGCTCCAATAAGAGTATTATTTTTATCTAGTAATTTAATAGCATTATCTCATTTGATTGTTAACTACGTAATCGCGAGTCTAAAAATATTTGGTTAGTTTCGTGAGTTTAGGTGAAAGTTAAAAAGAAAATATGAAACGCTTTCATACTGACAAATATACACCCGTGTAACTTGTTGAACATTTCTACGTTAAAGGATTCATGTGTCGTACTGTACATTGTGCAACATTACATTACCGCGTGTGTTATTTAAGCCACGTTTACATATTCCTCGATATAATAGTTTAAAGGTTACCGTATGAAAACTACATGTGTATATATACATACCAAAAAGGAAAAATGAAAAAAAAAGAGAACATTTTCAATAGTTGTCAAAAGATTTGTACATACATAATACAGTGGCGAACCATAGGTCAATATAATAATTTTTATGATTAATCTTATGTTTATTACGTTTATGTATAATTCAACGCTTCAAATGAATTCCTTGTTTTACGAATTTTACACGTGTTATTTGTCGTGTAATTTGTACCATTTAGCGAGTTAAATGTTCCCCAATCTTATCGAAAGTCTGTAATGCATGTTACGAACTAATCTTAAGAGCCAATTGATCGCTAACGTTTTGGTATTTATAACTAAAAACAAAGCGAGGGTGAAGATCAGCAATTAATTACTTGGTAACATGAATGTGTTATTTCGAAGGTGACTAATCGAGATTTCGGTACGTTCTGCCGTTACCCTATAACTTTTATAAATATTCCATGTGTAAACGATTATGTAAAAATATTTATTTCGTTCTTTAGAATCGGAAAAGCGACGGATTGAATTTAATCTCTAGAGTTGTCCGAACGTAAGTGTGATTTTGCAGTTATTTTTTCTCTTTAATCAAAGGTGTCTCTCCAGTCGTAAAACACATGGATGATATGATGAAGAATATAATAGATCGTATTAAGTTCATTTAGCTTAATTTATTATCGTTATACTGGACCGTTTTAAGTTTAGAGCAATTTTTTTCTGTGAACACGCCAAACACGTACGTGTTTGTGTGTACGTTTCATTGATTAGGAAATTTATAACTCTGTTGTGTCCAGATGCTTACAGGTGTGCAATTATGTATGCAATTGTGTGTACAATCCTTACGTTGTAGATTTATTATTCGTTATGAATCGCACATAATTATAAGTGAATCTTCCAACAAGTGAGAAATATTTTAATATAATTGAGATATGTGTCTAAAATCGATAGTAAAAGGTCTTACTCTGAGACTATGTAACTTTTGGGCCCGTAATTTGGCTTTGATTTTGCACAGAGTACACAGCAGAGATAGAGAAATTTTATTCAAATATTAGATGACAAGTTAAAACAATATCTAGAACATTATTTGTGTTATTTAGTCAGTGAACTTTTATTTTAATAAGCTTGCAATTATACAAAATGAAATATCTTTTATAAGATTTCTTAAAGGTATTGAAAAGCTTCAAGAAGTATCTTACATATAGGAGAAGTAATGTCATCATTTTATATGGTCAGAAGCTTCCTTTAAGAGTTCAATGAAGTATTTGTACTGTAACTGGTCATTAATTATTTGAATATGATTTTATCCTTCTTTTATACAGAGTATAGGTGACAATTTACAAAATGCATAGAAGTCATTAGGCGAGATTTATAATATATTTAAAACTGTTCTTTCTTCTGTACTTAATATGTACTTGTACATAATACCACGCAACATATAAACGTAATTGATAGCATAGTAGATATTTGTTTATCTATTGTCCACAATGTATTAAAAATATAAAATTCAACATTAAGTAAAGCAATAGGAATAGATGGTGCATGTACTTTTTAAACATTCAATGTATTCTATAAGCTTATTTCCATACTGTATACATTTTCAAGTTCGTATGTTGCTTCACTCTTTTTAGTTTCAAGTGGTGTTATATGTAAGTATATATTAAGTGTATGAAAAATGTACCTTGAATGTTTAATACATAGTTATATACAATGTGTACTGTGTACAGAACTAAACAAAACCTATAACTTAAATGATATAACAATTCTCATGTCAACGCTGATGAAAATAATTTTTGCTATCAATACATCATCATAGTATTTATCAAATCCATTCACTAAAATGTTAACTTACATCTGCCTTTCTTTAGAACAACAGTTAAGTGCTTCATTTGGTTTTCAGTCTTTATTAACACTTTGTAAAAGTGCATCACAAAATATTTACTTAAAGAACAAATTTAATACTTGAAATAATTATGAATGAAAGTCTAAAATAATTTTATTTACACATTACACTTCTCTGTTTACTTTTCATGCTTTCTGAATGGGTTGATAAAACGAATTGACTTATTGACAAACTTAAGTAGCGTTAATGTCACAAATATCTTGAGAGAGAAGTGTCAGTACCGCCAAGTATTTGGTCACAGAGGCGTGTCCACGATCAACGAATCCGACGAACCACGAACTCCGAAAAAGTTAATTTCGTGAGCAGGCATGAGACGACGGACCCACTAAAGTACTTTAGTACCATAAAAACTATCTCATCGCGGTGGATGAAATGATTACACTGTGTTACCTGTATTCTTGTATATAAAACTGAATGATACACCTAATTGTATCTATGTAATTATTTATGTGTACATTGTGTACTTTATCGCGCGTTATGTATGGTTAAACCAGTCCTGTTTAAAGTTGCTTTTAAGAACAGCGTAGCTTTCTACACTCATTGTGAGTTACCATTGTATCCGAATGCCACATAAATGATGTTTCGTCGTTTGTGCGGATCCGAAATAAACAGAAATACAGACACGATACGACAAACAGAGAAATACAAAATCGCGTAAGGGACTCGAAAGTATAGACAGGACACTAAAGGATAAACGATATTCGATCGTAAATGTGAAACAAATTTTGCTATTAATGACGATGCTCAGTGATGGATACTTGACATTCTTCAATGTAAATCAATCTTCGGAGAAAATTGTTTTTACGATCTGCAAACTTTTTTCAATTCTAATGAATATGTGATACATTTATCTTTAAACTAAATGTTCTTCAGAAACTGTTTCTTGAAAACGAAAGGAATTTACAATTTTGTATAGGGCATAGGGTAAATGTCCCAATTACTGTCAATGTTTCTAATACTGTCACTTTATTTATTTCACTTAATAACAACGTAACATATAAAGAATTGTGAACAAAAAATTTAATTATTAAATTGGGATTTTGATTTACATAAAAATAAAAAAATAAAAATACACTTGTGTATACTTGATATTTAAAAATTAATGTTGAGAAATGAGAATACACTTTGAACGTTAAAAACGCGACTAGGTAAGTAGGAAGTGATCCTTACGAAATCATAGTAAAGGAGATGCAATTTTACTATTCAACCTACATCTATTGTACAAAATGAATTGTTACAACAGTACATAAGAATTAGTTTAATTTTTGAGCTAACAATTATAAGAACGCTGGGATTGCTTGGAGACTTTAATTAATTGTTTATATTTAATGTGTAAAATTATTATTTTTTAATGACAAATACTATGTCTCAAACTGAGATGATTTTTAGGTGACATACACGTAAAATTACGGTAGTACAATCTTAAGGTGGCAGTAATTGGAACATCTACCCTATTCCAATCATTTCAAATCATACGAGCTTTAACTCTTATAAAACTTGTAACATTCTTGAACTGTTCTTGACTTTCAACGTCTCAACGTTTCTCGACTATTCGTTCGAAATAATTCGAGTTCTTCCTAGATTCCATCATTAATGGTAATGTTTGATGCAAAGGAAAGTATACCGCACGTGTTGTTAATCGTTATGCAATAATTGAATGTATTTAAATGTAATCAATGTGAAACGCGATGCGTTCAACGATAATATATATACCATGATCACAAACATCTTTATCTTCGTAATTATTATTCTCGTATTATTTTATTACCATATAACATAAAATCGTTCGTATTGCAGGAAACATCGAAATTTAATCTATTGATAATAGACATATATACTATAAAATGAATCTGATTCCAGGAAGGTGCAAGTCAAAATAATTTATAAATCTAAGTGCAAATTTTAATAGTAGGAATTGTTAAAAACATCAATACGCGATATTTAAATAATATTTGATTGAATAGAGGAAATAAATGTATCAATTAATTAAACTTTTACGAAGGAAATATTTTATTAAGTAAATGAAAGTTTGCATCGGAGTACCTTGAATTTCTTTAGCGTTAAGACTACGTTAATTATCATTAAAGTTTATTATATTTAAGAATACCATTCATAATATACTATTTTATTACATAATAGAGTCGGGTCATTACTTCCTATCACATCAAATTATAACAATAAAGAAAATTTAAATAACTGTATGCAGTGATTATATTTCCTTAATACTTTATTATTTAAAATACAATATGTACCAGAAATACAGTTGCATTATTAATGCAATAATAAGATAAACATCAACTATTCCTGTGCATTTAAAGAGCATTTCATTCGTTTAGAATTTGAAATAAGTTGTCATATGTATTGGGCATCGAAACACTGTAACAAAGAAAACCTTTTTTTATAAAGTTTCATTTGTACTACGTGTAGTGTATTACAATTGAAAATATCAGTGTATTTAAGAACAGAAGTTTGTCATCTCTTTTATTCAGGACTCTAGCCAAAATTTCATCATAGTGAATTTAGTTTCTATTTTAGTATATTACTAACAATAAATGTATGTTAATGCTAGGATAATGAATAATCACCTTCGTGTTGTAGTTTAAAACCGAGGAAATTTCCATTCTGTTACTCGAAATCCTGAAAACAAAATAAATCTCAATTCTAACGGAATAGATCAACAAAAGTAATTCATATAAAATATTTGTATATCTCAGTCAAATGTACACGTTGGGAATTTAGAGCTTCGTCATAATACTCAGTCCCGAAAGAATATCATCATTAGTATTTTAAATATTTACCATAAAATAATTAATCTTACTAATAAATAAGCAAATTTAAAAAAATTTTTTTAAATTGTTAAAATCATATTAACTTACATGAAGAAAATTCCGGAGTAGTTATATGCTTTTCTATGTGTAAGAAGTGTATATAATCGAATGAAATGATTTTATATTTTTCGTCAAATCGACCTCATGGGTAACTTCAACATATAATTGTAAGTAGGATATTAACTTCAGAAATTCAAATCAAATATTCATACAAGCAACGCTTCTTTTCTTGACCACCAAAACCTCACTAACGACTCCAAATCTTCTTGCTGAAAAACAATATACATGTTACATTTATATTATGTACAAACACTAAAGCAAAATGCGTTTTTTTTAACAGTATTAAAATCAGTACACGTTGGAATAATCATTGAAATTTCTCAGTAATTGAAATGTTTATCATCACAAAAAGAAACTTTACCAAAGGAGGGTCACCTAAAGACAGTTAAATACATTTTCCCTTCCATTCATTTTTTGCATAACGCCTCCATCTACCCATTCTGGCATTTATATTGTTTAACATGAAAATAATTTCGCAATCTTTTTTAGATGAAGCCACCACCACCGTCTCCACAAGCTAACCACAATTCATTTTGCGATAATTCCACTTTAATAAATTTCAAGCATGTAATCAGTTAACTCTTGTGTGGGCAACCAAAATATTCACGGTTATTGAACAATCGGAATACCCCTATTATGACAATTTAGATAAACATAGATAATTTTACTTCCATACTTTTCCGAAACTCTTAGTTTTCCCTTCCTATAATATACCAAGTGCAGTTTTTGACAAGAACATAAAAAATTGTGAAAGGAAATTTAGAAATGGGTACCTCGGTACCCGGTTGTCTACAAAGGGGTTAAAATGGAAAAAAACAGAATCAAACTTACCTTATTACTTCAAGTTTCTTCTTTCACAAGTGCAGATATACTTCAAATTTATTCTGTCACAAATGCAGGTATACTTCAAATTGTCATATCCCAGTTTTATACAGGATGATGGTGTTCAAACCTGTAAATGCAATGTTATTAAAAAAAGGCAGGCAATTTTTTTAAATGTATTGTTTTGCATAATCAGTTCGTTAAGCCTTATTAAGACTCTATCACAAAATTCAAAATTAGTATGAATCATCAAAAAATCTTGCATTGAGATATTTTTAAATTGTCTAATCTTTAACGGAAGACTTCTATCTTGTGTATCCTTTCGCTAAATAATTACTTAAATATTTACCTTTTCAGTTTTTTCTATGTACCACGCGTACTCCTTCAGCCAGCAACTGCTATGAACATCTGTAAAGACAAAAAATAAAATGAGTACTTCGTTTAATAATATATCACTTTGTTAAGTTATAATTCGGGAATTGGCAAATTAATATGTTTGATGTATAGGTTGAAATTGAATTATAGTTTTTATGTTAAATGAAATCGATAAAGGTAACGTTATTATTGCAAACTTATTCACAAATCTGGAACTTCGAAGTATATTCCTAGAGTATAAAAATATCAATTTTATATCAGTCACGGTAAAAGAATAACTTATATTTCATAAATAATAATTTGCGTCTTAAAGAATTTACGTATTAAAACTGGTATTACAGATTATAACGTGTGTACAAATATAAGAAATTCGTGGTACAGATGATACAGGAGAAAATCATACCACTAAAGCTACATTTTTATTAAATCATCTAGAAGGTATATGCAAAACATAAAATGATACTGAAGATCAAATATATTGCAGACATTAATGTACGAGTTTACTTTTGAATGAAAGCGACACGGTATTATTTAACAAATGAATGAAATATTTGTAGATGTACGAAACTTATTTAAATTATTATACAAATATGAATGGTAACGTTTTATAAGTACGTCTGACCTATTAAATTTCAGATGATGAATACTAAGATAGTACATTAACTTCAATAATATATCGTAGTAATTCGAATAAATTTTCATGTGTCTAACAATATTTCGAAGATTCAAGCATCCCATATATATGTTTACCACCCCGACAAGTAAGTAAACAATTCATAAGCAATTCTAAAGGTTTTTGTTGTTCAGAAGGCAATTAGATGTAGCAGCCTAGATTTCAACTAGCGACCCAGACAACCTTTCGCTAAAGTTGGTACACAAATACATTTCGGTTGTCATAGGTAAAAGAATACAGTCTAGGCTGGTAAAATTTGCACACAAGTAGTAAGTTTTTTTTTTTTTTGCAGAACCGTATATAACAAAACGATTGGGTTTGCATAATTATGCAGAAATATCAAGGTCCAGAGCTTAGTCAACGTACACACTGAAGAACTCGGGTAACGAAATATACAATTATGGATTTGAACTCCTTTGCTTTTTTCCTAACCGTTTTGGAGTTTTGCACCATTATAGACAAATTCAAACATACTGGTAAAGATTACAAGTTCGAATTATCTCAGTTCAAAAGCTGAAAAGATTGAAGTTTCCTTAACATTTTAATTACAAGCAATTAAACGGTACATTTCTGATGTCTAGAGAAGAAAAAATAAAGAGACTAACAACGAAATATTTGTAATATTTCTGTTTAAGAGAGTTTACAAATATTATTAGTTGTAATCGAAACAATCTTATAATCTTTACCATGTGCTTATTTTCACGTCCCACCCGAATATTAAAATAGAATTACGCATAATAACATTTTTACAAAATCTACTCACCTCGTACCAGTAGATTCATTGACTAGTAGTTTCAAGTAAGTAAGCCTATCTTGTCATTGCTGTCACTCCTCCGTTAAAAGATGCTTGATTAAGAAATGTTCAGTATCTACTGTGCATTATTTGCCATTTGCAGGCAAGCGCGTACACTCGAACACGTAGTTGTTTTCTTCGAGGAAAAACATGGACATTTTTGTAAAGGAATGCACGTAGGTGCAAACGTATCCGCAACAAATAGTCCTTGGACATTCTCAGAAGCAATTGTGATGGGCCATAATAGTTGTATAATTCGGTAACACATGCAATATGCGCCTATGCTGCTCTCAATCGTATGTCAGGAGTGTTTCATTTATTTTAAAACAAACAAAAAATGAATGTTCCTGTCTGTTAAACCATCTGAACACACATAGTGTGGATGCATTAAATAATGCAAATAATTAGTATGTATGCGTACACAAGGTGGTGTTGTAATCTATTCACTAAATGAATTTGTTATCAGGTCCTATCTTCATTTCATGGATCTACGCTACAGACATACAGTTGTAGGAACGTTAACTTGGAACTTTCTGGGAACTTTTCGTGAAATTCGTGAAAGAGGAATTAGATTCGAGAGTTGGTGTAGTAAGATTAGATAGGTCAGACAGGTTGAAGAGTAATGCGATTAATTAAGAAGAGCATCAAGATATGAAACGATTACTGCTGTTCCAATCTATATTTTGAAGTGAAATATAATCATTCTTCCAAGAAAAGTTTTATAAAACTGTATTAGTTTTATAGAACTAACAGAAGAGAATTATGAAACACTGTTAAAGATAACAAAATTTCTTCTATACTAAACTTCGCTGGACATTCAATTAAAAAAAATTATGGGAAATAATGTAGGTTTGGAACACGCGTCTATTACATTTGATGATTCCTGAAAAAGATTGTGAAATTTTTGTAGTGACTATAAACAAAGGAACAAAACATCGTTCACAGTGATGCAGTGTTTTTAACGTTCAACCGCGAACAAAATTTTATTTCCCTGATGAAAGATTTGTATCGAACTTTCTCGTAAAAAGATCACTTTCCAATACAATAAAAATATTTGAATTCTCAAGCAAGAACTAACTTCTTGTCAATTGCTAAAAAAACGGGATAACATATTAGGAATTGCTATAAAAATAATTAAAAGAAAATAAATCATTAAAGAAAGAAGAAAAATTATTTGCTGTGATAATACAAAAAGTTTTTAATGTTGAAAGCGGCTTTTCAATAAGTTTCAATAGCGTTACAAAAAGTTTTAAGTAATAAATGCAGTATAAAAAATTAAATTAATAAATATGTTGATATAAGAATACTTTCGTTTAGTTTATACCCACAGTAGGCATTAACGTTAATATTAACGTTTAAACAATTCTTAATCACCTATTGAAAATACGATCATGAATACACGCAACGTGTTCAATTTTCCCCAATAATTCGGCGAAGTGGTACGCCAACGTATTTTTATTATTTTCAATCTATAGTTTTTCATAAAAGTACACAGCCCAAGAATTCTCAAATTAATAAACTATAGAAGGAAAATAATGCAAGGCGTATTACATATTAATTTTCGTACTAATTGGCGGATAATATCAAGGTAAGTTACTTTGCATAATTTGCAGGAGCTACTTCCCCCTGTAAGTATTCGTGCACAAATAACTTGTATCGCAGACATGTAATCTGCTTACGAATGAAGAATAATTTCATTCCGTGTAGTGACTATCGAAGACCTGGTAATAATGTACCTATAAAAGATTTCGATTTGATTCGTTTTCATTGGGTATAACCTATACTGAAAGCAATGTACTATGTGATAAGTTTTCGCATTATCCTTCAAACACGCATGTTCTAAATGCTCCAGTAATTATGAAAATTAATAATTAAATAAACAGTTCCTACGTACAGATATATGTATATATGTAGCCCTTTATTCATAAAATTACTTTCTTGTCAATGAAGTTTCTTCACAGAGTTTGGGTAGCACAGTTGCAGATTGTTTTGCTGGTATACGTCTTACTCTAACATAATTACTTTTATGAAGATTTAAGTAATGAAAAGATCGTATATATCTTATACTCTCTTTCATGGTGAAGTCACACACCAATTAATTAAGCTTAAAAACACGTACATACGAATATTGATACTGCGGTTACTAAAAACTGTCCTTAACACAGGTGTGCCTGTGAAAAACTTTTCCTCCTTATAGAATGATAAATTATTGGACGACTGACTTCGGTTTCAGTCTCTATTAACGCATTTTCTCACTTACACACTAATTATCCCCTCGTACTTGTAAAGTACAAATCAAATTGTACGATTCAGAGTATATACTTATACTTGTATCCTGGGATACTATCGGATCAAATACTTGATAAATTATGAAAAGCGACAGTATGACAATACAATTAATGACAAAAACTAATATATATATATATATATATATATTACGTCGTTTTCAATATTTACACATGTTTTCCTCGAAATAAAATACTCCGCCCGTGTGATTTTTTTCTCATTAAAATACTAATTGACATAATGAATATGCTTTCGCCTCTACATATATTTTAGCATGACAGCGTTCACAGTATGGGTACCGTAAACTTAGAATTCAGTTCTTCTTGTCTATGCGTTTCTATTTCTTAGAGAGGAACAGTCTCTAAAAAATAAAAAATAAAAGGAAGAGGGCATATGAGTTGAATGTAACGGTTTATACACTGAATAAGAAGAGTCATTGAATATTTATATAATAGTGTTAATAGTCAGCATTAACGGATCTTCGGCGTTAATTTTTTTTTTGGTCTCGTATTTCTACAGAAAAATTCTACCAAAAACCTAAAGAATTCGTCAATATATATAAATCTATTTAGTACTATAAATAACCAGAAAGAGGCGTTTTCTTTCTCGCACTAATTGCGCTCGCAAGTTCACTTTTTTCCATTAACATTCTGTTAACATAAAAACTGCATAAAACACAGTAGTCTCTTTGTCGGCAAATGATTTACGATGTTTCCGACGTCAGATCTAATACGAAAGATATAAAAAAAAAAGTCGCTTGACCACAAATCATCCTTCTTTTGCCCACTCATTCTCGCCGGTATTCTTTCCCTCCCCACCCAATGACATAAAAAATGTGAGAGGCGATCCATAGCAAAACCTTATGGAAAAATGACTGAAGAATATAATGCGAATTACCGGAAAATATAAATCCTTTTCGTTTCTTTTTTTTTAAATGTATAATACTGCCATCTTTTTAGTAGCGTCTCCTCTTGTTTGGATAATCGTCCTGACGATTTCGATCATTGCCACCTTGCCAACGCCCACTACCACCACCACCTCCACGACCGCCACCACCCATGTTACCCATATCGACCCTCATATCCATCAAATCCATTATCTGCCCACGATCATCATTGTAACCACCCCCTCGACTACCACGGTCCATAGTGTTATAAGCATCCATGAAGGACTTTGGGTCCTAATTGTCACAAAACGGACGAGTAGTCGTTACCGCGGATAACGTGACACGGTAGTTTTTTTTTTTTTTTTTAATAAGTTATAGGTTATATCAGAGCAGTCGAGAGTATGTCGATAATCATTGAAGCAAATGTGCCACGGTTTTTCCGTTTAAACGGTGAACACACACACACACACGGTGTTTCGTAGATTTTGAATGTACCATAAATACATTTCACACGGTTCAGGGCGACCATCCATGTTTGACAGCAGCACAGGTCATCGTCAATTTTCGTCAAATCACATAGAAAAGAAAGGGGAAAACACAATGTTAGATGTTGTTTTGTATGTACAACAGATTAGAATGGATTGCGTAAATACACGCGCTAAAACAAACGATATACGTATAAATTTATTATACTTCTTCGCGAATGTATGGAGATTTTTTTTCAGACATCGGTTAACCTTACTTAACCAAGCAAATGCCCAACATATAAATTGACGATGGTTATTCACCATCGAACTCGGTAGACCTATAAAACCGCATATAATTTTTCAATGTGTAAAATACTGCGTGTATTTCACTCCTTAAAGAAGTTTCATTGTTTCTGAAACTGTGTAGGTTATAAAGAGACAAAATGGTAAAACGTAGTCTGCAGAATTATCATTTGGAACTACTGGAAAAATATGAATGCGAAATTACAATCATATTAAAATACTTTCATTAAAACATATTTTTACACCTAACGGACGAACAACTGTTTTAGTGTTATTTCTTTCAACATTCAGTTTGCGAATTGATAATATCATGTTGGATATCATTAAAATTGTTACTAGTAATTTTCAAAGTGGACGGAATTTTAGTATACAATGTGTATGTAGTGTATGTAGAAGCAATTTAACGACTTCTTGATTATATGTTTATATCCTAATATACACCTAGTAATATGTTCATAAAATCCTTTGAAAATGTTCGTTTGGATATGCTACAAAATATTTCAGAGTACTCATACTCATAGCTTATTTAGTACATAAACGTGGGAGTTTGTTAAATAGAATTTTAGACAATTCTGAAGTTTAAGTATTGATACAAGTAGCAAAGAGGCGTGATCAAGACCTCTAAGCAAACTCTACGCAATACTTACACCACAAGATTGTATCATCCGTGAATATTTTTAAATCGATGTATTGGAAAACGGTATAGAAACAAACACGACCGTCATAAATGTAAGTAACATTAAAAACATCCCCCAAACTTCTTGTAGAAAATAAAAATTACTTAATCTGGCATTTGTTATAAATTAAATATTGCTCCATTCAGAAACTACAATATTCCAGTACTTCGTAGATATACTGCGATAAATAGAACTTCTACATGTTTAAAATGAAAATATTTTCTGAATAGAGCTGGATCGTGATTGAACAATATTTGATACTGTTGGGCATTTCTTGGTCAATAAATATTAAATTCTTACTATGGAACTATATAGTATAAACATAATGTGTACTGATGCAATAGGACTTATTAAATAGAAACCTTAAGTACCTGTAAAAATATAAAGGCCATAAAAATCTGTGTTAGTTCCATAGTAAAAAGAACACCTACTCCTTAATGCAACTAGAGAAAATAGAATACAGAGCCTCCTGTCTGCAAGCATATGGAGAGACCAATGTAGCAAGGTATCAATATAGTTTTGGTTAGAATTATTGCATTTACAAATGCCCAGAGAACAACGCACAGAGTAGTACATTTTTAAATATTCCCTATCATTTTAGGGGCTGCTCAAATTCAATACCTAAGTTCTTCGTACATCACAGTGCACTTGACAAATCTTAAATGTTACTTAGATCAACACTTAAAATGTACTGCCTCGGAACAAATAGAAGTTCCATAAACCAGAAAAAGTGTTTATAAATTAATGATATATACAATAGTGGGAACAAGAATTGTGAAAAGACCTCCCCAAAAAGGTACTGTATGCAGGCTGTCTCCCCGAACTGGTGGAACGACCAAAATGGGGATCATGCCACTTGATAAAATTAGTCAAAAATATAGAGCCTTTTTTCATACGAAACTTCATTTTTCCGAATAAATCGATATTAAAAGTGCATCGAGTACTCCCGAACTCGACTGTGCCTCATCTTAACAAATCTCACAATAAATTAACCTTCGCTACTTTTGTATTCATGAACATTATCAATATCATGGCTTCCAATTGTATCAGATTTACTAACTCACATTTATCCATATAAACTCTCCAATTTCTGTCATTCTATTGACATGACTACAAGAACCGAACACAGCTGAAACAGAAAACTGTTCTTGCATTCGACCAATTACACACAGAGAATACTTTAGAAAACGTTCCTAGAAGCGTAATATGCAGAACAGAATTATGTTGCCAGAAAATTACCAACAGTATTTACATTGATAATAAACATTGACAATAATTACATTGATAATAACTGATAAATCCAAGAAATCAGAATATCAATGGACACTTTGCAGTGATATTTGTTAGGTCTAGACGTAAGTAAGGCCATACGTAAGTGGAGGCATACTCGATAAATATTAAACAGCAATTTATTCGGAAATGAAACTTCGTATAAGAAAATGCATTTCCAACTTATTTGATCATGTTAGGATCACCTCCTTTCGGTTTGTACCTTTAGTTCGAAGACTCCCTGTACACGTATGTGTGTATAAATCAGTAGTAATAATGCAGTTCTGATACTTCTTGCACAGACTTCAAATAGATGACGACAAATTTATTAAATTAAATCAGCCTATCTATGTAGTCCCCAATATATTAACATTCCTTGCGTAATTATTACGGTGTAAAGTCGGTACTATGTATGCCGTAACATTTTTTATTGGAGTACTAACACATATATATAATACACCGCAGACTAGATGTTTCAACTTGCATTACTATACATCCATCATTTCTGCACAATTTCCTAGATTTCAACAATACCATAGACAATCAACTTGGTAAGACGATCTAGTATTTGTAGTAGAAATATCCCTTATTTAGGACACCATTTTCGAAACAGACGCTTATTCAGATGTATTAAGAATAAAACGTCGAATTATACCTGATACACTCAAACGAGATAACAGCTTAGCGATTGTATTAGATAAGAGAAAATATAGAAGTTGTCATCGGGTAAGTATATGCTTTCATTTCACTGAAAGCAACAGAACAGCCCAACAGTGGATGAAAAGTCAGGATAATATATAAGTATTGTTTGAAGGAGTATGAAAAAGTTGGAAATCTGTTGCAGAAATATTTTGTCAGTGTCTAAAATATCCTCTCTTCTATTTCTGTTAAGGCAAAGTCAAACATCGTGATTCAACTTCGGCGTCTTTCTACACCAGAAAATATCAATAAAAAATAATTAGTTAAATGTTAAGTTTCAATATATGCCCATTGACTCCTCCACATGTTAAAGCCAATTAATTAAAATTCAACTGTTTGTATAATGCATACGCAACGAAACTCGGAATTCGATAAATTGGTTGGCATTGTTGCAGACATTAGAACTCTGCTACATTGGAAAACATGCTTTCGTGGGAAGACTTATGAAGAAGCCCCGTGTTCTTATATTTCTTTTCGCAGAACTTTTTCGTTACCGAGACTGGCTCTTTCGTCATGCAAGAACACAGTTCGATTCATCTAACAGTTTTTCCATATATAGACGTAATAGTTTTCGAGTATCACCAGATAGATATAGATATACATATGCGAATGAAAGACAAAAAAGAATTAAATATTTTGAAAAGGGATAAGTAACTGTTTTGTCATGAAATAATAAAGTCAAATCAAGTGATAATATAAAGGGATACGTTACCACTGGCATGCCGCTTCCACCTGTAATGAAGTACAATGTACAATTAGAAATCGTTGTAATCAGTGAAACACTACAAATAATTTACGATTGCTTTTAAATGATTTATAATTCATATGTTAAAACAAATTCCAAACACAATTGCGATTCATCGATTTTGTAGAATTAAAGGTACCGAATTTCACTGTTAGACGATTGCAGAAGTATGAAAACTTACCGTCAGGTTGACCATATCCATCCCGATCACTGTTACTAACAGAATCGTAATTTTTTCCTCCCATGCCACCTCCACCGCCGCCACCGCCACCGCCGCCGCCGCCGCCGCCACCACCTCCACCTCCACCTCCTCCTCCTCCTCTTATTGCTTGTTCCTTAAATATAAAAGGAACACAACACTAAGCATTATTAAGAAACAATAAATAAATGAAAAATTAAAAATCATAAATGTTATCAGTGTAATGAGTATCTATTATTCCGGATAAAAGCATAAAATTAATCAAATTACGAAATAACTTTTGCATACAAAATTTAAAAGACGCGTTCTTGTAGGAGAACATTAAAAATACGATTATAAAAAATTTGTTGAAATAAAAGATTCTTTCAATATAACATTTCAAAAGTTAATTACCTGCATAAACAAATTATTTTCTTGTTGACGTCTGTGCAATTCTTCCTCTTGTCTTCTGATACGCATAGCCATTTCTTCTTGCTGTCTCCTTCGTAGCTCCTCTTCACGTGTCCTTTGTTCTTCAGCTTGTCTTTCTTTCATTTCCCATTCTCTTTTCTGTCTCTCTCGGTCAGCTTCACGCATACGCAGTTCTGTGAACAGACAAAATTTATGTGTAAACATATAAATAACTTTCAAATGTCACAAAATACTGACGTTCTCTTAGCAATTCCGTTTCATGCTCATAACGTGCGAACTCCATCTGTGCTTCCAATTTTTCTTCTTCCATTGCCATTTCTCTCTTCAGCGCTTCTTCCTTCTGTTTATACAGCTCGTGGAGTTGTTTCCACCTTGTTCCATATTCATGTTCGAAGCTTCCTAACTGTGCAAATCTTGGACCGATATCGCGAGCCTTGAAAAATTCTGGATTCTTCCGTGGCAAATTTTTGTCGGGATAACCATCTACATCATCTTGTTGTTCGAATGGTTCGACAACGACTGGCCGCAAAGAACTATAACAAATATATTCTCCTTTGAATATCTACAGAAACGTTATATGAATATGATTAGGTTTTTAAAAAAAAAACTGTATTCCTTCTTCGGCACACAATACAAACAATTATTGCACCATGCTTCCATTGGGAATTACTTTTCTCTTCCCCAATTATTTTAATTGGCACTTGTTGATTATTTAATACATCTAACAAGCGTGGCATCGGGGAAACCACTTCTTATGTCTATCATAGAAACTTACGCAGTTAAGAAGTAGCAGCCTTCTGTACACTTTCGTAGAGCAAGTTGGGCAGATGGTTTCCTGCAGAATTCGACAATGCCTTCACCAGTAGATTTTCCTCTATCGTCTACTATAACTATTGCACGTTCGATTTCACCAAAAACACTAAACGACCTTTCAAGCAACTCATTTGAAATCCAAGGTGTAAGATTTTTAATTTTAATCGTCGATGAATGTGGAGCAAAACGTACTTTAAGCGCACGACCTTTTCGCATTGTCCCATCCAATTCATGTTTCGCTTTCTCGGCATTTACCCTATAATCCTACAAATTACGAAACGTTGTAAGTTCAGATTCAAATTTTCATCACTCTGTTTGTCCCCAAACGATTTATCATATGAAAAAGATATGCAGCCAAATATTATTATCAGTGTCCATCAAACGGTAATTGTTTTAATCATGTTCTATAGAGACGAAGAAAAAAAATACACCACAATATTTGAATTCAATTTACCATTCTGAGGAAGGCGAAATTCTTCTCCTTATTGACAAAAAGCTCGGATATTTCACCATATTGTTGAAACATCTGCTGAATTTCTTCTTCTGTAACATCATTAGTTAAGTTTCCAATATACAAACGATTACGTCCACTAAACTTTTTTTCTGTAGTTTCCTGTGGTGGTAATTCATGAGTTGGTCCGCTGATAGCCATAATACGTTCCATTAAACGATCCTAATTGGAAAACCGATAAAAAATATTAACCAAAACAAGGATAATTTTACACATTTAAAATTTTTTCTGTATTTAATATATCAAATATAATTAATCTATTAGATATAATAACTAATGCTTACATCTTGTGAACGATTTCCCATGTTTCTGTCGCCACCTCCTCGACCACCTCTACCTCCGCGCATTCCACCTCCTCGTCCCATACCCATTCCTCCGCCCATACCTCCTCCCATTCCTCCTCCCATTCCTCCTCCCATTCCTCCTCCCATGCCACCACCCATTCCTTCAGACATTGTGTTGTCCATTCCACCATCCATGGAATCACTCATCTTCATCTGTAATAATTTATTATATTCTTAATTGCAATTTTGTGGTTTTATAATGTACAAAATTTATAAGAATGTTTCCTAAATATTACAAATTGAAGAAGAAAATATTAAAAATGTTGACATTAATAGATTCACATTATGACCTTTAACAGTTGCACAGCGGACGGTTAGACAGCAAGCCGGGCGATGGTGCTGGGTCACTTGTGACTCATACTGAATTCGCTTATTCAGACATTATAGAATAAACTGTAGGAGATTTTATCTTTACATTAAATCACACATATTCAGGTAGCATATATTTACAATTTGCAAAAATAAAAAAATATTTTTAAAAAATACCCAGTACATATGCAATTATACTACTTGTTTACATATTTATAATACATAGACAAAAATAAAATTATCTAAATAATTTACATATATATAAATCACTGCTTCTATCTACGACATTTGAAAATGATTGATACGCTATGCTCGACGTCCGAACTAAAACTGTTTGCGTTGCAGCTAATCCTTGAGCGCCTGATCGCTTTATTTTGTTTCTGTGCGACACAATGCTCTCTAATCCAAGAAACCAACAATGTATTACAATATATGGGGCTACAGCTACAGCAGATGCGTTTTCTGACGAATAAAGCAAAAATATTCATCTACTAAACGTGAAAAGCTTAGCTTGTCATGGACCTATTCGTCAGAAAATGTATCCACTATAACCGTAGCCTGAGTCAAGTCAGAATTGACCCAGCACCGTCGGCAGACTGTTAAATGTCGAAATTAACTCTCTGAGCTCGTAAAGGGGGGGGGGAGGACTATACACAGCAGAAATACTTTTACCGTTCTCATGGTAAGACACGCGTAATCGTTTATTTACAAGCTTAACGTATAATTTTTTTTGTGTGTATACTCTCAGTGTTGCCTGGTTCAGACATGTCCAATAATTTAGTCGAGTGGCGAATAGTTTAGCAATTTACAGTGTGCTGACACTAAAATTTAGTCGATTGTTTAGTGAAATAATTTAGTCGAGCAGATCTATTTCGTTAGATTTTTCTGGTTGAATAGGGTTCCCCCACCATTCACTAGTTTCCATAGTAACTAATTAAACATATTCGGACGCATTTTTTTAGTCGAGTTCATTAGTATATTATCCAAAATATGACTACGCGTTGGAACAAAGAAGTTACATTTCAATTCGTTTGCGAATATGTAAAACATGAATCATTGTGGAATATAAAAAATAATTTATATGAAAACAGAGCAGCAAAACAAGCTGCATACGAAAATTAGCCGAAATTATTAATATACAAGGTTTTACGGTGAAAGAAATAAAGTTAAAAATAAACAATATTACATCCACCAATTCCCAAGAATTAAAAAAATCAGTATCCATCCATAATCCATTAATCCATTTTCTAACCCATATACAATTTGGTTTGTTAATTTCTACTTCAATTTTCTCTAATAAAATTTGTACAATGTTTTTAATAACATTGTTCAGTTGTCTGTTCATCTCTCGTGATTTCAAAAACCCAACTGTACTATCCGGACACTTTTCTATGCGCTACATCCTTTACTACAGTAACGTCTCCATGAGTGCAACGTACGCGGGTCCACTCCAAAGCATTCGTGGCAAGACGGAAAGGTTTTCAGGCCCTCGTAAATTTGTTTTCTGTCCGAAGCCGAGCCTCTGCATAGCTTCTGTTTCCTTCTGTTTTGATTAATTCCACAGGGGGACTCCCCCAGCGATAGGAATAACGCCGTTGCTCGTGTCGCATTCATCGAGGAATCACTGTAGTAAGTAGTTACTCGCCACTCGACTAAATTACTGAACGTGTCTGAACCAACCTTTTGAGAGAGCCGTACTCGGGAAATGTTTGCCCCCTTACAGGTAGTTTTTGAATGGTTAGCATGGTATTTCCTGCAGTAATTACAGGCTTAACGTGTAATATCAAAAACATGTAACATTAAATGTACAACAAAAAATTCTTTATAAAAGTGACAAAGCTCCAGTGTCATAAAAGAAATGATAAGTTATGTCATTTGTGCAAAATAATTCCGACCAGTAAGATATCCATCTATGCCTCAACGCGCTACGACCGCAAAGAATAGATTTGTAGATACTTTAAGAGCACTGTCCTTTTTTTTAATAAAACAAAATGTGTACATGTATAAACTTGTACAATTTACAAAAAAATAAAAAAAAAGGATTACTAGAATTTTCTATTTCAAAAGGTAATTTGTATGTGTAACTTCTAATTATGATTTACATTTGAAATCCATAATTCTTACCACCAGTAAATTACACATTACAAGATTGCATTATTGAAATTCTTTTCCACATGAGAATGCATTCGAAAACCTGAGTACATTTTCACTCTTCTTTATTTGCTTTTATAGAGGACTAAAATAAATTTTATCAATTGAAAATTTTTATAAAATTTCTGTCGAAGGAGCCATTCCACGCGAAGTCGGGACACTCTTTGGAGTAGCACTTCGGATTTTGTTGAAACTTGGACATGTTATAGTCTTTAGTGGAATATAAACGTATCTCGAAAGATTGTTGAAAATTTTTTAAATTGTTCATTTCAGAGCTGTTCAAAATACAGTTTTAAATAATATAATTGTTGAACTAATAAACTGATAATAACGAGCTTTCTGGGTGCTTACAGTGGGAAAATAAGAGAACCTAATAAAATTATTTCAGTTAAAACAAATATATTTAACTATTTATTTTACAATTGTTTTAAAGAATTTGAATTTAATAATAGCGGGGTACTATTGAAAAAATTGAAAAAAAAATCGGAATATAGTTCCATTTGTTCTCTTTATGGACAAATTTTACAAAATATGGACACTTCATAATTGGCTATATAAAAAGTCATAGAAGTTAATGCTGCTAATACCTCATGGCTTGGCCGGTTGAGGCAGTATGCTTCGATGCAGCATTACTTCAATGAATTTTACAAGTAGCCAATTTTCAAAATGTGTCCATAAAGGGGACAAATAAGACTTTATCCTTATTTTTTTCAAATTTTTCAATAGTCCCCACTATTATAAATTTGAATTTCTATAAAGATATTGCAAAAGGTTAAGTTCTCTTATGTCTCTACTGTAAGCACCCACAACGCTCATTTTGACCAATTTATTAGTTCAACAGTTATAATTTATTGAAGAAAGATTGACACTACATTTCACACAGCTGCGAATCAATTTTTAAAATTTTCAAAAACCCTTCTATATGCGTTTATATACCACTAAAAACTATAACGCATCCAAGTTTTAACAAAATCCACAATGTTACTCTAAAAAGTATCCGATTTAGCATGGAATAATCTGAAGAGAATTTTCGATTTCCACGTGTTCCCATGTTAAATGGTTCCTGTCCGCCATTTTAGTTTTCGTATGCACCATTTTGTAAACTGGAAAAAAATCGATATGTTTCAATGATACTTTCGATAAGCACAAATTATACATATCATAGTAAAATAAAATTGCTTTCATAAAAGCAATCTTTAATATTTATGAGACAAAAACATTAATGAAAAATCTCAATTTTCGAATATGGTGTTCTTCTTTAATATTCTTAAACATTCTACTATCTCAAATAGTTTGTCAATTTTTGAAATTTTTATACACACTTAAATAGTTGGATACACTATCAGATACTACATTAACATGTAATAGTAATCTCAATATATATGAAGAAAATAATAAGAGTTTCTAAAAATTCTGATAAGAAATACTATGCTCTCCTTTTCCAAACATAAAAGTTTAGTGTGTGTATACTACCTGTTTCAAAAATCCGAATGTACGAGAGAGTAATATGAAGAGTATATTATACTACAAGGGTTTTTGTTTTCTTTTTCTTCCACAAATGTAATGGTTTACCCAAAACTTATTGTAAAAATAGAACCTTTTAGATTATGTGTACCTTCCTTTTTATTATGTAATAAAACATTTTTAAAAAGTAAGAATAAAGCTTACTACAAAAGTTGTACTAAAATATACAGATACTTATAACTCTTATTACTACGAGTCAAAATGACCAGACATTCGCAACCCGCGTCGCTGCTAGGGCATTTGGTGTGCGTGGGTTAAGATCATAAAAGACATTAAAAAGACACTCAATTTACATAGGCAGAAAATTGTGAAGGGGACAAACTATTGTTCAAAACGCAAAAGGTTCATGGTTTTAAAGAAAGGAAAAACAGATATGTACTTAGGAATTCTCAAACCTTTACCAATATGTTTAGCTTTTACTCTTTTCTTGAGAGTAAATGTATTATCCTCCTTAAATTTCCTAACAGTACTAAAGAAATTATGTACTACATTTCAGGAAGTACTAATAAATTGTTTGGAGATACGAATAACTAAGGTTCAACCTAAAGGTACAACTTTTACACTTACATTACAACATTAATAATTTATATATTGAAAATGGAAGTTTTTAATAAGGAAAAATGAAGGTACGAGATAAAAAAAATGAATAGTCTGAAACAAGCGAAAGTATTACGCATTACTTCGAAGCTATCATGGCGGCCTAAATAAGAACGCCGAGAAATATTTGTAACATGGAAGGATAAAAAAATAAAAAAATAAAAGAACACTTACAGGACCATCGTTGTTTCTGTTTCCTCCGCCCATTCCACCACCGCGTCCACCAGAAAAACGCGTACCACCTTTTCGACCACGCGGTCCGCGATTACCGCCTCCCGGTGGATTACGTTCTCGTGGATTATCGTTACTATTTTCTGCAGGTACATTTTGCTGCTCTGGTTTTACGTTTGGTGAATCGGCTCCTGCCATCGTACGCTTAGGAATGGCTGTATGCTCGTCCTTACGACTCCGTATGGAGAGTACAAATTCCTCGCACGCAACGAGTTTCACTCGCTCCCAACCGTCTTCCGAAACGAAGCGTCCACTATGGCGTCCGACAACGAAGAGAACGAAGCCGCTAAACGGATCTATTAAAAGACTTGCCCCCACTCCATGACATCATATCCGGTACATCATGGACGCATCCTTCTAAGTCTATGATTGGTTGGTTATTTATACTAAAGTAATGTATTTTTATTATACTAAAGTAATATATATACTGAACAAATTAAAATATGCATTCAATTTATATTAGGTATAGTGTATTTAATTTAAATATTATATCAATGTGTGTATTGTACAATTATATATATACATATATACAAACGTATAACGCAGTTGCTCTTACGAAATCACGTTTAATAAATAATTTACATCTAGTTATAGGCCATGAATTTCCAAAATTATGGCAGTCAAAATACAATACACCCATGACCAAAATATGTGAAATCGGTTACTTAAACAAATTGTTTATATTCCATATTCATTTATACAATATTTTTAATCCTTTATCCAAAGACAGTTTCATATGGTAATAAATATTTTATGCAGAAAACTCATTTAACGGTAAAATTATTATTTACGAAGTAGTCAGAAAATGTGTAAAATGTAAGATTGTATGATACCATAACAATAGAATTTTTTTTAAATGATCTATTATATGAAAACATCTATTATATTCATGAATACTTTATAACTTAAAACTTGAATTCAAGTCGTTCCGCTGTTATGCATAGCTACCAACCTTCAGAACATAACACAGCACTTTTGGTTAAGTCAATGAAACTATCAATTGTTAATCGTATTTGTTATTACATGGATCCACCTCAACATGGCAGATATCTCGTTCTCTAGTCGTGCCTACTCTAAGATCATATTACACGCAACTAAGTATCCTCATTGTGCACTAAATGGTTTATTGTTAGCGAAACAAAAGAACAAAAGTGATAGCAAGTCCGTAGAGTTACGTATCGAGGATGCGATTCCACTGTTTCATATCTGCCTACACGTCTCGCCTATGGCGGAAATTGCTTTGACTATGGTAAATATTTAAATATTTAACTATGATACATTTAATTGAGATTGCCATAAGTTAAGAATAGGATTTTTTATTTTAATGTATTACATTATACAAATTATTTGAACATATTTTAATTATGACATAAATAAATGTAAACATAAGTGAAGAAAATACACCTTTGAAATAATAAATTGTTAATAGGTTATTTGTTAGTTTCATCTATTACAATGGATGTACTGTTTAATTTTGATTATTTTTGGTATAAACATATTTAAATAGGCATTCTGTGATTTTTAATCATTAATTCACAAAGTGCTATAACTTATTTATTAACCATATGTATATTATTTGTTTATTTAATTCATTTGATTATTAGCCACAACCATATATACAATATTATTTTTAGGTTGATCAATTGGCTACGAGTAAAGGTTTAATTATTGCTGGTTATTATCTTGCAAATGAAAATCTAAGTGATTTAAGGTAACTTTTATTTTTTATTTTGAATCTCATTCAAAATTTTCAAATTTCATATTTCACTGATCTCATTAATTTTCTGTCTAAACATAGTACAGATAAGCCTGCTCATAGAATTGCAGACAAAATAGCAGAAAATTATGGAAATGGCCTACTTGTTGTGGTAAATATAATAAAATTAAGATTTTTAAACATCTTTTTCATTACCCATTTTCCTGTTATCAGATAGACAATAGAGAAATAACATTTGGTATGAACTCAAGTCCTTTGAGAGTATCACAATTCATGGATGGCAAATGGAAGCTGAAAGATGTAACAGAGTAAATAAACATTCCATGTTTTTTAAGATCTTTACTATTTATATAAAAATAATATTTCCTTTTTTAATGTTACAGTATCACATATGACAAAGGAATAATACATACAAATGCTCTGTACAACTTATTTAAAGCAAAGCAGTATAGAAATCTTATTGACTTTGACAATCATCTTGACAACATTTCCCTTGATTGGCAAAATCGTAAACTCAATAAGATCATAGACGAGGCTGTGGAAAAATATAAGTGAAAGCATTTAATAATACATAATTAAGTGTATAAAAACTAATTTAATATATGAAAATATAAAAGTATTTATCTGTATGTATAGGTCTTTAATTTATCTATGAAAGACAACATTAAAATTGAATCACTTGAACTTTAATATTTAATTTGTGGTTATTGTTTGTATAACTACTAATTGATCTTTAAGGAACTTCACTATAATAGATACACTTTTTAATTAAGTCACTGAAGAAAATAAATGTTAAAAATAAATTTCTTACGCAATATATTTCATGTTATTTTTCAGATTGTCCTACTTTATTCTTCATTTTAGAGCTGATGACAGACCAAATATTATTTTACTCTTCTGTATCTAAAATTAATCAATTTATATTAATTAAATTTCATAATATATTATAGGAGATATGGATAAATATTTTGTCTAAATACTTAATATAACAAACTAGTGAAACTTGCCTGAACACACAGTTTCAAATCTTTTACGACTATGCGTGAAATATACGTTCGGATGATCAAAACCCGTCTCTATAATACAGTTGTGAGTAACCTCATAATATCTTCTACATGCTTCAAGATAACGACCTTCTTTTGAAAGTTGTACTATCGATAGTACGTCTGAAATAGTTATAATTTCTTAGAACTTTGAACTAAAATAAACGACGAATTCTACTTTAAGAATGAATGAAAATATTGATTTTATTTAGAGTAGTAAAAATTGACAAATTAGATAGCAAATCAATAGTGAAATAAGACAATGTTACTTTCTATAATCAATCTTTTACATTCTCTTTTAAAGAGACATATGTATAAAAATATATTAGCTTAATACCTGGTTGAACTAATCCACATTTTGACAGTGCATTTTTAAGTACATGTAAGTCCATACATTTATATGGACAACCATGATTGTCTCTTAAACCAACTGTAGAGTTTAATATTTTGAAACAGGGAAAAGGTTCATAGTCTGCCCGTTTTCCTTCTTCCCCATAAAGATGCCTTAAACTGTACCTATATTCTTTTTCGAATGTTCTTTCATTAATTTTTTTAGTAAATTCACTTTTCCAAAATTGTAATGCATCATTTACAGGAAGCCCTATTCCTTTAAGAAATAGGCAATATTGAACTCTACCACCATTAGTGAGGTGATGATTTGTTTTCAATGCTTCATGAAGGAGTCTCATACATAATGGATAAGATGTTTCTGATAGCTAAATAAATTTCAAAATTTAACTTTAATTTTAATTTTTAAATTCTTGATTTTTTTGTGCTTATACATATAAAAATCTTATTTAAAATAATATTTGAATTTTAATATCTACCTCGTCCAGTTCACGAATAGATACTATTCTATCATTATCATAATTGAAACATTGAGTACTAATACAGTTTGGAAGTATACTGAAAATTTTTGTCATCCTTTCATCGCCATAAGCATTTGATACAATTTCTCGCGAATACTAAAATAATATTCTTTAAAAAAAAATATAATAAAAAAATTAAATCAAAAATATTTAACTACATAATATTTCTCTAAACTTACTGTAAAACTTTCATTTAATACTTTTTTAAATTCCGAAACAATTAACCAAGACATTTTCATTTCAGGTACATAAGCAATACCATTTTTTAAAAATATTTCTCGTTTTTTAACTGGATTTATTACATTGGTAAAATATGTTTTGTAAAATTTGACACCATCAATACTTTCGATTCCACAGTAGGATATTGCTAAATCATTTTTAAGTTTTTGTTTTTCTTCTTCAGATATCTATAAAGCAAAGAGGTAGTATGTGTATGAAACTAGTAACTATTTATATAGTAACATATATGAACATTGGACTAACAGCAGTGTACTGAAATGCATTAACATTAATAAATCCTTTGATTTCATCTTTATCCAATAGAGACAATCGCCATTTGAATAACTTTACTTCTTGTTTGAAAAACCATTGACGTTTCTCATATTCAAAAGAAAATGCAGATCTTAATACAAAGTGCGATATACAGTCATTTCTTGTTAAATGCTGTTCCTTTTTTCTCTCGGACTTACAACTATGTATACTTATAAGTTGTACAAAATCATAAAGACTATTATCTTCCAATTGTTTAATCAGGATAGTTACACAATGTTTGGAGGACTTTTTATAATTTTGCAGTGATATCTGTTCTACTAGCTTCAGAACTATAAAATAAAATTTTCTCTCTTTAACTTATTGAATTTCATTAACTTTTATGTAAAAATTTTTATGTATATTTAGTTTTTTTTTCTTTTACCTCTTAATCTATTGACACACCATTGCTGTAATTCCTCTAATTTAATGTATCCAGATGGTGGTATGATATACATTTGTAAATTTTGCAGGTATGTAGTACCAGAGATTTGTTGCTCTCCTTTAACTGTTAGTTGTTGTCGAATTGGCATGTGCGTCATACTTACTAAAAATTTAAGAACAAACTATATGTTACATAAATAATGAATAACATCCAATGTTATGTTTAATTTTTAATAAAAATTATAAAATTACACAAACTAGAAAATATTTTGTTGACAAATAACATCTGCTTTTTACATACTTTTAAGATATTATTAAAAGGATATTTTTATTATCCCTATTTTATAATTGTATTTTCATACCTGTTGAATTTTTTTTATATATAATGTAATAAATCTTTATAGGATTAGTGGCGTTTTTTTTTTAAATTTTATTAGTCGAGAAATTCAATTTTATTTTTTAAACAAGTAAAAATGACAATAAATAATTAATTGGTATTGTAGACTACATTTTTGTATAACTACACTGTAATATTTGATTAGAAATAATACTATTTATACCGGCAATAATCTGTTATTCATACACTTGTATTCATTTTACGATTACGTATGAGTGCTCAATGTATACATACATATGTGCACACTGGTGACTGTGCACACCGTGCGCACTAGACACTAGGGCACCAGGGATGTTAGATCATGGTGTTAAATTAACTAGGCACAGCCATAGCATATATAGACGGTGCATTAACTGAGTGGGGGAGTAAGATTTGCGGTAAGGGGATGGATAGTAGTAAATCGGGTAACTTCGTTTCTTTTCGGTGCTATTCGGGTATACAATCACGTTACACACATGTATACTATGAGAGATGAAAAGAATATACCTATTATACGTTAAAAATTCCGTGTGTCATGTAGTTTGTATAGATATATGTATTTAACAAAATTAATAAATAGTATAAAGCATTAAATAATAGTACAGTACACAGCCCACCAGCCATTAACAACGAGCCGAATCGAACCGAATGCATCCGAAGCTAACCGACGTAGCTCTAACGACCGCTGTCTTTTCTCCCCCAATCCTCCGGTCCCCGCGCCAACAGTGGTAGCTTATGTTCCGTCTATATATGTCTATTACCTAACCCAACCTACCATATTAACCTCCCAGTGGTTCCTTGGTGCATGTGCATGCCTTGCAAGAAACTGTCCTCTAATTGCTTCTAATGTAAATTGATATAAATATCGTAAACGTGTATATAACCACATAACATTCGTCGAAGATGTTACAAGTCATTTACAAAATACTTTCCATAGTTTAATAGTTAATTTTTTAATGTTGTTATTGAATAAAGTAAATTTTACTAAAAGTGATAAGGTGTAATTAATAAATATTTAGAATAATATTACGTGCAAGTTATTTTTATTATGATGTGTTTATTAGCGAAAAACAAATTTGAATGTCGGTAGGTTGTTACTTAACAAATTGTTCAGACTTCTATGAAATTACATATTAAGACGATTTATAAACTTCTAACTTAATATGTATTATAAAGTATATATTACTGTGAGTGAAACTTAAGAAACTTATTATTATTATATTTAAATATCATAAAATTGATGTTTAAAATGTTTTTGTAGGGTTAGTTCGGTATTAAACAAGAACAATCGATTGTGTGGGAAGAAACATATGTTTGATAATTGCCCTGAAACATGTTGGAATTCTGACGCGGTAACAAATTTCCTCCTTAAAGTATTTTAATATTCAGATTGTATACTGAAATACTAGGACTATTCATATAACTATTGGAATGCACATTTTAGGGAACCCCACAGTGGATAATAATTGACTTCGAGCAAGAATGTAAAATAAGTTCCTTTGAAATTGAGTTTCAAGGTGGATTCGTTGGCAAAGATTGCTATGTAGCAGCTGGTGACAAACAAACTGAATTTGTTGAATCATTTTTCCCAGAAGATAAAAATATAGTGCAAAGGTTTAACTTAAAAGAACCAAAAGAAGCTAAAACCTTTCAGTTTGTATTTAATGAAAGTACCGATTTGTTTGGTAGAATAATTATATACAAATTATCTTTGTATTCATAGACATATATATTTTATAATGAAATAAATACATTTAAATACTATTTATATATTTGCTTTTACATGAAACTTTTAATAAAAACTATTTTTTACTATAATTGAGGTTAAAAAAAAATCGTAACATATACACTAGTTCTTTGTACAATGTAATTTTTTTTAATTTTATAACTTTGTTTACTAGAATTCTTAATAATTTATATAATTTAGATTTTCGTATTCAAAATATCCATTAAGTAATTCAGATTAATTTCTTAGTACACATTATATGCTCAACTGTGTCATTAAATCTGACTTAATCCAAATTGCACTTATGTGTTGTGCAGCATTAATAAACATTTATACCTGTAACGCACGTTAACCTCAAATACATACATACGCTTACACATGTATATACAAGGTTCAACTCCTTCCAAGATGAGTAACTTACATGATTTTATAAAGTGTATTCATATGTTACAATATGTTGTGTGATAATAGATGCATAATAGAATCACAGTATGATTGAATGAAGAATGCTTAATGTAGATCTACAAAAACTATTTCAAGAAGAGTTATCTATCCTTAAATGTAAAAGAATTACTTCTTCAGATTCTGTATTTAAATATATATGTATATACAAAAAAGACTTATAAAGTATGCTGTATTACTAAATAACTGTGATACATTTTCATTTAACTTATCAAGTTACGGAAATAGCAGGCCCCAATTGTCGCATCAATTTATAACATTCTTGAAGTCTTTTTCTATCACCTACTCTTTCAAGAGTTTTCGCAGCTTCTGCAAGCATACCTGCACGTTCTCCAGGGGAAGCTAATAGCAGTGCAGGTAAATGTCGGCATGCTAAGCACAAAGCTACTGCATGTTCCCTTTCTCCAGTATACTGATCCTGCGATCGATCTTTTCCACAAATAATCGAAGAACGAGAATTTCTATGATGCAAGCTGCGGTCTAATAGTACTTGAGTTTTCACTGGTGTCGCTCCAGCCATTATACGCGCTGTAGCTTCATAAAGGAACACTCGTGACAACGTAGACTAAAAATCGCACAATAAACATAAACCAAAGGGTAAAAAAATGTGTATTTCTTTGTGATATAAATCATTCAAGCTTACTGGAATATGTTGACACAGTTGCCTCAAGCAAGCTAAATCACGCTGGAAACCTCCCAGAGAGACGTTTATGTTTGATCTTTTTGAATCATTGTCTAATTCTTGCCAAAGCGTAGTACGCATTTCAAGTAACCAATCGCAAATCCATAATTGAGTGAGCTAAAAGAATTGAACAAGTATGAAAGAAATTGTTAGATTATCAATCATTAAAAATGAATACAAATTTTAGTGGATCTATGTACACATGGTGCCGTGACATTGCCACAGGAGTTGCACTGTAGAAGTATTGCACAGTTATATTTCATGCAATGCAACTACAATGCACACTTGTAACAAGTAAGCAGTTGCATAGGTTTATGTATACGATCTATTACTACTAGAGGTTTGTAACTCTACGTTAAAGTATACAATACGTTCCGAGCAGTTTAAACTTGTATAATAAATTCATATATAAAAATGAACACATTACAATGTAATAAATACATAAATATTAAAGATATCTTACCAAAACGTTCTGTGACGACTGTTGTTTGCAATTATAATAAACGAGGCATTGTTCGAGTAATATGCCTGCTTGATCAATGAAACGCATAGAAGCTGATTTAGATGTAGCTTTCGCTGCTTGCAAAGTATTCAGTACAATGTATGGTAATGGACTGACGCTACTGTTATGACACAGATGATAATTCTTTTCATATGGAAATTTACTCTCAATGATGTTCCAAGCTTGCGAATCATCTTCTCTTAGTCTCCAACATGCTGCTACATAAAGAACTGCTCCCCACCATAATCCAATTTCATCCTCACAATCTAAAATATAACACGAAGATATTCCGACATTTATTTCTAAGCGATATTGAAGATATTAAATGTATTTCGAAAACAGATTGACTACAAGGAAAAAGGTTTTGTGTATGTTTAATATGACATTAACTTACGTGTTACGGTAACTTTATCAGTGCATAAGAAACCAACATCAACACCAGCAGAGGCCATGATATTTTGTCCATGTTCCAAAATGGAAGACAAATGAGCATCTCCTGTAGTACCAGTTAAAATACGTAAGCAGTGTCCAATTAAATAATCTCTGTATGCCCGGGATGCATACGATAGAGGATCAGCCTTGCTACTTTGAGATGTAAATTCATTGTCCGGCTGTTCTCCATACTGCCATTTCTGGGACGCCAAAAATTTTGCCCCTTCTTCGCTCGTAATCCATTTTAACTTTGATGGAACAGCACACGACGACAGTAACGTACGTGCTTTACCCAAGTAGTACTTGTGAATAAATGGGAAGAGTGATTGTTTGAAACAAAGGGCAGCATTGATATATATCTCAGCTAACAATGATTTTGGCATAGTTTCACCAGCAGCTTCAGCATAATTTACTGCAGACAGGGCAAGATACAGTGTTCCATTCTTCGATCCTTCTGTTAGACGTAAACAAAGCATATGTTGATAAATAATGGCTATTTCCATGGCAGACATTTCCGCTTGCTCTCGTGTCGTTTTTTCGGAGAACCATTTGTGAGTGTACAAAATCCATTTTCCAATCCACAGCTTGTGCAGAAGTTGTCTTATAATTTGCCAAGTTGTGGCGAGCCAAGCTTCTGTACGCGATGCTGGATACGGACGACCAAAGTAATGTAAACACTGATGTAAATCACGACACGCTTGACTACATTCATTTTTCGTTATATTGAATTCCGCTTGTCTTCTCCACCGATGAAGCTCGAGAAACACTTTGCTGTCAGGCGGTAATATTGGGTCACCATAAAGTAATAATCTACAAACTCCACCGATTAAAAGTATAATATTTGTTAACCACAAAAATACATTACTCCAAATTAGATTTTCAGCTTCCGATTGATCTAATAGAAAAACAATAGTATTAGTTAACAATCGTATATATTATTATTATATTCTAAAATATTATAGCTCCACCTTACCATGATAATTAAGAATTGTGCGACCGTCCAGTTTAGTATTCATATAATCGGACTTTAATCTTCCAACATTATTGACAAGGAAACCCAGAGGATTGAACGCCAAAAAGAGAAACATGAATCCACAAAGCGTAAGTCTGGTATGATCCCTTATTCCCGTATTTGTGAGAGTAGGCGTTGAATGAATGTTTTGCAACACATCTGGATCATCTTTTATAGACGATGGAGATGGTGGAGATAATGGTGCTGCTGGCGCAGGAGACAAAGACGGTTCGCTCGAGTCTGACCTGGGTGGGGTTAATTCACCACATACTAACAAGTCGCGCAAATTCTGTCTCTGTGCAGCCATTTTTAAGGCCATATTTTCTGCTTTCAATTTCGCGTTAGAATTCTGAAGAAATCTACAATTTTCATGTTTATGCAATAAATACTTTTCGTATAATATAATGTATGCATAGAGAACTATACATAGCTTAACGTACCTTATATAGTCAATGGTTTTCCTTAAGATAGCAGACTTATTCAACTTAGCATCTATTCCAACAATAATATTTTTTAACTCGATAATTTTATCATTGATCGATGTTCTGTAACGTCGTTCAATGGCATTATGCGCACTACGTTTTACTTCCTTCACACGTGGTACACCCACGTGTGGATTTGTATTCAGACGATTAATCTGTACCTTGTCAGTGTCCAGCACAACAGGGATACCTAGTATCCCAAAATTTAAACGAAATATAAATGATTTAAAGTATAATCTTACAGAACACAATGAATAATTAAACCAGTTTCATTCTCACCAGCAGTTAGAACTGCTCCATTAGCAGTATTTACTAAAGTATGTATTTGATGCGGTACAGATGTTGAAGTCACAGCTTGGGCTCCTCTCGAATAAACAACTGATTCTGATTTTATGAGTTTAGCTGGTAGAAGTAACTGCCTCTGTTGCGTAACTGGAGCTATCGTTACAACAGGTGATTGAACACTGAAGTTTACATTTTGTGGAATAGCATATTGCGAACTAAATACTGTGGGTGCTGGTGTAACAGAGATTCTTTGTGGTCTACTTTGTACAGTGGATATATCTTGTAGCTGCGGTTGCTGTTGTTGTTTCTGTTGCTGTTGCGGCTGTTGTTGAGTTATACAAGGGATTTGTTGTGTATTCTCTGTTACTGTTGGTGTTAACATTAAATTTCCATTTGATAAAGATTTAATGATATTCGGATCTTTAAAATCTTGAAACTCTTTAAATTCTTCACTGCTATTAAAATTTAAGAAATCTAATTCTTCCGTGTCCATGCCCAAGGGCTCTTCCAATTGTGATAGTAATGCATCATCACTGAACAAGTTTTCATTTTTCAATAGTTCACTCTCACAGTTTGTAAGCAGATCTGTAAATAAACACATTTCAATTAAATATCAAATGTTAAAATAAAAAATTTATTACTTTTAATTTAATTATAAAAATTTATATTTCCTGTGTTTGTTTAATTTCCATGGCATAAAATATTTTGTAATATTTCTAATAACATTATCATCATTACGTACTGTAGATAACATTAATTCTTATGTAATAATGAGTATGTTAAATTGTAAATATATGTAATTGCATTACTTTAAAAAAATATATATTTAGGATTCAAATAAATAATAATGTAAAAGTGTATGTACAGTATAGTTTGGATAAACTGGTTTGTAATATACGATAAATAATTACTAAGATGTTTCATTCTTTTCTTTAAATTATATGTATTTATAGAATTATAAAAAAATAAGAAGTAAATGTGATAAAATGTAAAACAAACACGGATGGATAAACATTTTAAAATGTCACGTTTAAAATAAAATGAAACAATTGCATCCGATAAACATTGCATACGACTTACCATCAATACCAGTTACTTCATTCAAATTAAAGCTGTCATTTGACTGAAAAGTAGAAAAGTCATTGTCCTGTGTTGACGACCATCCTTCGGGATCTGCCATTATGACATATTATATATCAGATTTTAATTTTTATTAAATAAACACGATAATTAAAACAACAGAACGCGCTGATATGTCAAACGTAATAACTAACAAATTACGAACAGTCACCCGACCTTTACTACAGCCAATCAGAGAGCTCTTAAAGATCGGATGATATTACGTCAGTATGCGTTACAAAGCTTACAAAATTTATTACAGATTGTAGGCGCGTTTCTATGATAACGTATCAAATTGAAACTGTACATGAAAATAAAACTTGCAGAAAATATTTTAAACCGCAACACCTTTAACTTGAAGTTTTTCAATATATATTAGAAAGTATTGTGTATAATTTTTAAACCTTAATTGAAAAATATCTAAAAATTAAGAAGTTATTTATATCCGAAGAATATTAAAATAATAAAAAATAAAAAAAATGAATAAAAATTAATCGATGCATTACTATTTATAATGTGATTTTCATATTATATTGTGTCTGTTATTTAAAATTAAAGTGCTGTTTTTAAATAATATGCAGTTTTTGAAAATTAACACAAACTTGAAAATTATTTATAGTTACTTTCTTAATACTTACTATGTGATGACGTAAAGTGGATTTGTTATTAGTTGGATTCAGTTGGTTTGGAGTGGTTTGGAGGTTATTCGAATGTCAATTCACAAATAAAGATGTTTTCAGTACTTCGTAATTCAAATCGAACAAAAATATCGTCTATTTGTAATTTTCATTCCGCAGTAAGTTTCTTTTTGTATGTATACATATTGGTAAAAAGTATGGGAATACTAATTAATTTATCATTCAAATTATAAGACTAGAATATTAAGTAACATATTTCTTTTCTCATATGTAAAGATTAAGAAAATTAATATAATTTATATAATTTAGAAAATTTAAACTTCTTCATATTTTCTTTTAATAATAATTTGATAGTGTATATTTTATGTTTGATAATCAAATGTTTGTAATGATACAGTTGTAAGAAATTGTTTTGCTTTTCAAATTGATTTTTGTATTTTCTTGTTTTATTTAATTTGTAAGTGAAAGTCAAACTTTATTCTATGAAGATTATAGTTATACATATAAATTATATTCTGCAGAAAATTATATAATCGCAAACTTGAAAGCAATAAAATGTATAGTACATTTGAAGTGAAAGTAATTTGACTTATTTTGTTATAATTCTTATTTCCATTATAGCGAATGCAATGTGTCAAAGAAAAAAGTTTTTCTCGAAAACTAGAAGATGGTCCGAATCTAGAAGATTTTATTGATGGAAATATCAAAGAATATAATGGCAAATTAAAGTTAGAGAAAGGGGATAATACACGCTTAAGGCTACCACCGTGGCTTAAGAGAGAAATACCAATGGGTACAAATTACAATAGAATAAAGTCACAGTTGAGAGAATTGAGATTAAGTACTGTGTGTGAAGAAGCACGATGTCCTAATATAGGGGAATGTTGGGGAGGTGATAAGCATGGTACAGCAACAGCCACTATTATGGTTTGTATAACATGTACAATATATTTTTTTATATATTACGTTTTAGTCTCTCAGTAAATTCGATACTTTTCCTTATTTTATCTCTTTTGTTGCCTTCTGAACTCTATCTACTTGGAAGAGTTACTATTTTTCCATCCCTTTAATTCCTCTTCTAAATGAACCATTGAATATGTTATCATTATTTTCCATATATTGTTAATTGCCTTTTGACACTTTTTTCATTTTTATTTATAATGCATCCATTCTCCCTCATGCTACCATGTGAACATGGTTTACACAGGGTGAGCCAATAAGAACTACTATTTAAAATAACTCATTAATTAGTGGTTATATCAGAAAACATTTTAATGAATTGTATAGCATTTTAAGGGATGCATTGGATGGATGGAATTTGATTTTTTTCAAAGTCAGTCAGTTCAGCGATCTATAGCATGATGCTCTTGAAAAGAAGATATATTATCCTTCAAAAAACTCAAGGTCCCCTTTCATCTCAAAAAAGCAAAAGATATAAAAAAAATCAAATTCTATCCATCTGATGCGTCCCTCAAAATGTTAATAATTCATGAAAATACTTTTTGATACAACTAATAGGTAACACGTTATTTTAGATAGTAGTTTCTATTGACTCACTCTGTCTAATCATTGTATATTTTATTACCTAATATTTCATTTATTTTTACTTATAATAAAACATATTGACTGCCACTTTGAGTAAATAAAAAAAAGACTATCACTTTAAGTAATTAAAAGTTACTGGATGATTATAAAATACAGTTATTTATCATTAAAAGCGAAATATTGTGTTATTTATAACATCATAGTTGTAAGAAGCGTTTCTCACTTTGCAATTAGATAATTTTATACTTTTATTTTTGACGGAATTCGCTCATTTGTTACAATGTTATTAAGGGACTCATCCGCAATGATTACAATTAGTTTACAAGAACATAATAGTGGACTACAATTTAATATAGTTAATGGGCGATACATGTACTCGTGGTTGTCGTTTTTGTTCTGTAAAAACATCACGAACACCGTTACCATTAGATCCAGAAGAACCAGTACATACAGCAACTGCAATAACACAGTGGGGTTTGGATTATGTTGTACTTACGTCTGTCGATAGAGATGGTTAGTTAATACTACTGATAATTCGGTATCTACATATAAGAATGTGAATTGTGTTCATAAAAATGACTATAAATTAGAATGATGTATTTTATAGATTTAGGTGACGGCGGAGCGAGTCACATTGCAGAAACAGTTAAAGAAATTAAGAAGAGGTACGAAAACTATATAAATAATAGTTTTCATTGTTACTAAAAATTGTTTGGAAAATAAATTTTCTATGTTGTTGCAGAAGCAATATTTTAGTGGAATGTTTGGTACCAGATTTTAGGGGAAATGAGTATTGTATTGCAACAATTGTCGAGTCTAATCTTGATGTTTTTGCTCATAACATCGAAACTGTTGAACGTTTAACACCATTTGTTAGAGATAGGCGAGCGCAGTATAGGTAAGTGGAACTGACAATTCCAGTAGATACATTGTTTTTAAAGTAGATTTTCGGAAACTCATATTATTTATCAATGTATGTAGACAATCGCTGAGTGTGTTGGAAACAGCAAAAAAGCTTAACCCAGAATTAATTACGAAATCATCGATAATGTTGGGGTTAGGCGAAACTGATGATGAAATTGAACAAACTATGAAGGATCTGAGAGATATAGGTGTAGGTGCTTTAACTCTTGGACAGTATATGCAGCCTACAAAGAGACATTTGAAAGTTATTGAATATGTTACACCAGAGAAGTTTAAAAAATGGGAAAATGTGGGTAGTGAAATGGGATTCCTATATACTGCAAGTGGTCCATTAGTAAGATCATCGTACAGAGCTGGGGAATTTTTCTTAACGAATATTTTAAAGAGACAGAGAGATAAAAAGACTGAAAAGCAATGAACATAGATCTGTATTTGTGAATACTGTAACATAAATTGTAAATTTTATTCATACGTAAAAGTGTGTACAAACAGTTCCAGTTCTATTGGAACCGAAATACGTTTTATATATTACGAATTATTTAGCAAAACTTGTTTTAATGTAGTAATAATCCCTGTTGTATTGAATGTGAAAGTGACAGTAGTAAATATACAAATTTTAAACAAAATGCATGTTTTTTCTTACATGTACATAAAATATATTACAGTATTTTAATCAGTTTCCATTGCAACTCCGACTTGTGGGTCTTGTGGGCCTTCATCAGCTGGTGGTGGTTGTGGAAGTCTAGGATCTTGATCTGCATCTGGTTCAACCGGCCTTCCACGTTTGTCATCTTCAATTTGCGACAGATAAGTAGAGGTTGAATCTTCATCAAATACTGTAAAATCTGTGCCTTTGCCTACTACTGCAATAGAGACATTCTGCAATATAATATTTTTTTATTAATTACAAATTGTTGAAAAACAAAAATATTGTATAAATAAGCATTAATAGAAAGTAGATCATTTTACCTTAACTGATAAATCAACTTCATTAGGTAGTGTATCTCTTAAAGCACGAAGACCATGCTTTACAAGTTCATCGAGATCAGATGATAAAAATTCATTCAGATGTTTCTCTAAATATGTTCGAGCACTCTGAGAACGTGATCCAATGGCCATTGCTTTACAGTCAAAGTAATTTGACGAAGGACAAGTCTGGTAAATATGAGGTCCTTGATCCTTTGAAACCATTGATACCATTATTTATCATATTTATTACTTTTTAATTGATAGAACTGGTATATTTGTGTAATAACTCACATCATATCCAGCAATAAGTAGACCCACACCGTATGGTCGTCTGTCATATCTTTGAGTACAAGTTTGCAATTTATTTCCTAGTGTACTCATTAAACGACTTACTGGTAATACATCATCATGAGAATACTTATAATTTAAGCATTCAGTTCGCATGTATCGACTGTATATATGTAAATAGAATGTATAAATTTGATATGGTTAAAATTCAGAATCAACTTCAATTATACACAATTACAATTGCTATATAATTATTTGTTATACGAATTGAAATAAAAATGTAAAGATTAATTATATACCTTAACATTCGGGCGTCAGCAGTTAAACCTGAAATAGAAATACCCATATGTTTGTCTATCGGGATGATTTTCTTCTGATGTGCTGAAAGCTCAGAGGAAGCTCGTTTCAATGCAATAAGGACAGCATGTGTTTTATTCTTAAGTCCAACAGTGGCTGATCCCAATTTCACTGCCTCCATTGCATATTCTACTTGATGTAAACGTCCTTGTGGACTCCATACTGTTACATCGCTATCGTACTGATTACGGAACTAAAAATTAGATACAAAATTCTTGCTATAATTCGTTTTGTTATTATTCCACATTAACCCTTTGACTGTGGCATACTTTAACATATCAGTTAGTAAAATCATAATTAAACTGTATGTTATATCAGCCTAATAATATAGTAAATGAGTTGTACGGAGAAAAATTTATTGCGAGTATACATGTCTTTTGTATATATTTAATAGATGTGTGAAAGCGCATATTTATATCTTTTGTCGCTAATCTGCAACTTTCCAAAAGCATATACAAGATGATACAAAAAAACATTCATAACTTCTAAAGTAGATAGTACTTACTAAATGATGAAAAAAAATCCGAATAAACATGGGTCTCTTGGGAGAAACTTCCTCGCTTCAAGAGCTATCACACCATATAGAAACAATGAATTACTTTATCATTGTTTCTTTTTCTGGTTACAGAAGGTTTTCTAGAATTTTTATTCGTTTTTTTTTACAATTTTCTTCATTATTTCCATATGGTACGCGATAGCTCTCGAAACGAGTCACTCGCTTTAACTGAAACAAAAAATTGTTTATAATTTTGAAGATATCATGTTGTCAAAGGGCTAATAATAAAAACTACCATGATATAATAATATTAGTATACTTTTCTGAATGAAAAGAGTACTATGGCACAATAATATGAAATATATATCGATATTTTGATATGAACTTTAATTAGAAAACTTTAAACTACAACATTAAACACATAACCGTTCTTCAATGGTGTATTTCGTTTTTCAAATACTGTAAATAACTCCAAAAAATACTTGATATAACACCAAATTATAACAAAGTATATAAAACAAATACCATTATTTAATAATGCTCGGTTAACAAACAACGTAAAGTTGAAGAATAACTTTGCACCTAACGATGAATTTTCAGAAAACAACTGTCATGCACCGGAACAAATGATTGAGCACATAACAGTTGGGAAACCTCTTCGACAATAAAGCGTGATCTAGCGAAAAAAGTTTAAACTATCTATTCGTTTAAAATAGAATATGTCTTGTTAAAATATTTGTTAAATTAATATTATCAATTCAATCTACTAAAATGTTATTAATAAACTGAATGTTTATGTAAATATAAATTCTTATTGAAATCGTCAAACGAAAATGTGTATATTGCATTAAGGATTCTATTAAGTTCCAAGAAAAAGAAGGTTTTCATAAAATTCTATTAAACTCTTTACTATACTGAGTTTTACACAATTGTGTATATTATAAATGTTTAAAATTTACAACCTCATTATTCAACAAAATATTGTAAGGTCATTAAATTTACATTATTCTAACATTTTTTATATTTGTTAATGTACTTGAAGGTTAAATTGTGTAAATCTATTTAAGCTTGCTTAAAATTAATATATTATTTCATTAGAATTATGTAAAATATATATAAATTATAAAAATTTTATGAGATATCGATTATTATCGATCCCGTGTACTATATGTACACTCGCAAGCAAACTCGGCTTTATCCTTACGGAGGACCTTATTCTTACGCCACTTTTTCCCCTAGCGGAAGCCGAGTTTGCTCGTGGGTGTACTCGGGTTGCCACTCTTGAATTCTCTTTTTCAACGACGTGAGTAGCTGTGCTTGCTTTTTGTACGTTTGACAATATTTATAAAGAATTTATAAAGTATTCGTACAATATTATCATTGCATTTATTTTTATATGATACAAAAAAGTTGTAATATTTAGTTTATGTATATCTAATTTATTATTCCGTTTAAAGCAAGAGTATTATTTCACCGAATTTCTTGCGCAAACCAATGCACGTGTCAATAAATTTTTGCATTTTGTCTTATTCGTTGGAATTAAGTATTAATATATTAAAATCCGAAACCATACAAAGAACATATAATGCTAGAATAAAAAATTAACCATTTTACCGTAACATTTTTACAGACTGAAGTACCGCTATGACGAATTCGAAAGGTTATCGCCGCGGAACGAGGGATCTGTTCTCTCGAAAATTCCGTAAACATGGAACAATCCCATTGTCCACGTACATGAAGGTATACAAAGTTGGTGACATTGTTGATATTAAGGGTAATGGTGCCGTTCAAAAGGGAATGCCCTATAAAGTCTACCATGGAAAGACTGGACGTGTATTTAATGTAACCCCTCATGCTCTTGGCGTTATCGTGAACAAAAGAGTACACGGTCGTATCATTGCTAAGCGGATTAATGTTCGCATTGAACATTTGACTCACTCTAAATGCAGAGAAGATTTCCTGAAGCGTGTGAAAGAGAATGAAAGGCTCAGAAAAGAGGCAAAAGAGAAGAACGTCAAAGTTCAACTAAAAAGGCAGCCAGCTGAACCCATGACAGCACATATTGTATCAGGACGTGAAGAACCTGTTCTGCTTGCTCCTATTCCATATGAATTTATTGCTTAAAACTTAATAAACATGTTTTAACAAAATTTGTGTTTTTCCTCATAAACATTGTTTATTTTTAAATGGAAATAGTACATTGTTAATTTTGAATTAGTATTAATTGCAAAAGAATGAATATTAATTTAAATAGATACGACAGCATAGCAAATTCTGATAACAATGATTTTATTTTCAGTCATAATTTTTTTTACATACATATAGAATCTGTTAGCGCTTCCAACATTTCTAAGTTACTAGAGAAGTTGATCTAAAAATAAAACAAATGATATTTACGAAGGTAGACTAGTTTCTTGTTAGAATTAAAATAAATAATCTTACATAAATTGTGATTGACTTCTTTTTTTAACAAATATTTGATGATCTTCACCAAGGCAGTTAATGAATGAATAATTATGAAGCTAATAAGTCACTATATTTTATAAACAAAATATAATTGAACCTATTTCATATATATTTTGCTTTTATAAATAATCTAACATACAACATTCCTAATCTTATATTCTGTACTTTGATAAAATATGAAATTACTATATAGGATTTGTTTAATTTACTATATATTTATATTAAATTCTAACTGCAATCTCTCGATTGGTAGAATAGGATGTAACCAGTTTCAGAACTCTTCTGAATATCTGATGTAAGTCCATAAAAGTCTTCTATGGTAGATGCATCAATTTTCTGTAATAAAAATTTGAAATACATAAATATTTTTACAATAATGAGAACATTGCAGTGCTGTAAGTTGCAACGCTTACATCGACCATATCATCATCAAAGAGTAACCAAAACCCATGACTTTTAACTATGGAAATATAGTGTCCCCGATTAGGCCCGCTTCCACAATGTATCACAACTGCGACCAAATCATATAATCGATCTGGGTTTACCGCATCGTCACTCTAAATATTAATTAGAAAATATATAGGGACGTAAATGACTGATTTGTAACGTTAAAAATATGGATATAGTTTCAAAATGCTTACAGTATTAAATAGCCGAAGCTCCAGAGGAAAGACTACCCTGTGAGAAACTTTGATGTGACGATTATATTGTTCCACGTATTTAAATCTCTTCAAATGCAATGCCAATATCATTGGTAATTTTTTTACTCTCATTCGTTTCTGGAATATATTATTTCCTCGAATATTAATACAACAAAAAAATATATATTGGTTAAATGTGTCTTTAGACAAACCTGTGCTTCCTGATAACTGCTACAGTGATCACATTTAAATTTGTTATCACTACAAAGAGTCTCGGTATTAGAGAAACATCTGAGGCAGTGTGTTATCGAAGTATTTTGATCTACATCAACTTGTAGGTCAAAAAAATCCTCATCTTTACTCGATACAGTCTCACAATTAAGGCAGCGTGTTTCTGATGTCAGGATTCCCTGAAATATTTCATGAACCCACGTTGGTTCTGACAGTGAACAAGCATCTCCTGCTCCACACTTTCCACCAGCTGGCTTACTCTGACTTCTCTCTGCTGGAAGTTAGGGTAAAAGGGATTACTCTCAAAAAGATATAGTAGTACATATATCTATGAAAAGCATGGTCCCAACTTTCTACTGTAATACTGATACATATTTTATGAATAGGAATTATAAATTATCATTTAATTCTATCAATGATTAATTGGAACTCAACTAAACATCTTTTCTGCACATATGGTTACACGTGTATACTTACCCAAAATGATTTCATTTATGTGATTTATCAAGAAATTCAGAAATTCGTGTGCATCTTGTTGCATATAGTTATCAAATTCCTCTGTAATAAATCGCTTATATATTATATGTGAATAATTTTGTTTATAAATAGCAACAATAAAAAAAATATTATAAAAGTAAAAAATATAGATTACACTGACCTTTCTCTTTCCTTAATCTGGCAATAAACTTTTTAGGAGCTATAGATCCAACTTTCTTTTTTTGTGTTGCAATACTGTAAAACAAATCTGCTAAACATGTTAATAATGTTTCCTTTGTTCTCTTATTTCTAGCTTTATATTCAAGAACTCTTTCTCTAAATGGTCGACAAAAATATAAAGCTTGTAATACAGAATTACTATAACATGTATTTCCAAACTGCAAAAGAATATATAAATATTAAAGAAATATTAGAAAATTTGAATATTATAAAAACTTTTTAATAATTTAAATGTCAATTCAATATTATTTCATTGATAATCTATTACCAAAATAGTAATTCTTTTCTTTTATACTTACATTAACTAAGCCAAAATAATGCTCATTAGGTGGAAATTGATCAGAGCCAATATCTCTTTCTAACTGTGATATATTTGCACCCTAAAAAATGTAAAAGGAAATATTTATAATCATTGTATATGATGTGAAAAAGTTATTGAAGTTATTTAATAACTATTAGTCTTCAATTTACTGTCCCTATAAGTTTTTAAAATTATATTCATTAAAATATTTTCAAAAAATTATTTTCTAATTGATTCATTAAATTATTTTGTCATTTCAATTTATTTAATGACATAGAATAAATCTTATTGATATCTACCTTTCTTTACAAAATACCAATTTAATGAAAACTTCATGCATTGGCTAAGTTTTATATCAACTCACTAAATAATTATATGCATAATTGATCGTTCAAATTTATAAAAAATGTAGGAACTATTTATATTTGTGACATATATGTATAACTGGTCTGAGATCTTTAACAATCAAACATCGTATTTAATTGTGATGTTATTTGTTAAACAATGCAATAAGCAAAGATTTAAAAAAAACGAAAATATCTCAAGCATGCATGACATTGCTGTTAATATTACACGACGATTACATGAAACAGATAAAAATGTTTATCAGTTATAAAATTTCTTTGGCCTTACCATTTTATGATTTAATATCTGAAACTGACCAGTGACAAGCGTATAAAATAGAGTTTAGTAACAACAAAACCTCCATGGTATCGTGACTTACAGATTTAGTGGTTAAAGTATTATAATCGCATAATTATATGTAAATGGCAACGACACAGACGAGAATAATTATTTAATCGGGTTAATTCGGCACAATTTTCGCCAGGATACGATCACGCGTGTTATTTAACGTGGATTTATTACCATTTACATACTTTAAATGGGATCTGTCTCTCGATTACATTATGATTAGTTTTCGTGAAATGACCAGAAATGACCAGACACTATCGTTGTGTGCACAAACGCATTCAAAATCGTTGATCGTATCCAATCGTATCCAAGATCTGTTGAGCACTCTCGAAAATCTGAAAACAATTGCAAACTTCTGAGACACGTCACGAGAGGCGGTAATACCGTCTTTGCGAGAACCATAGACATATATGTATAATAGACTGCGCGGTCTTATGGTAGGGATGAAGCGAGATCGAAGGACAGAAGTAGTGCTGGAGTAACTCCTCTCTTGTTCGCACATTACAGAGGGAGGAAAAAAAAATTAAACACTTGTAGGGGAGGGCAATGGGCAGGGCTGGTCGCGATTATACTGTGTGATCCTGTTACCAGCCCTATGCCCGAGGGCCACCGGGGGGTTTTTAGCGTGGGGAAATTCTGCATTGGCCGTCTTCACTCCCAGCGGGGGCGATGCACCTTTTCAAGGTTTTCCCCTGGACAAAAAAAAACGGTTACATTGGACGCGTATTCGGACGATAGTCCGTCGTCCGTATACAGTTAGTGATGGGTCTCGGCTAGGTATGGGTTAGCGACTAAATTTAGTCGACTGAAAGTAGTCATTGGGTACTATCAACTTAGTCGATGGTGCCCATCACTAGCTATTGCGCGTATCTGGATCGTGTGGACCTGCCTTTACTGGCCTTTACTGACATGCAAACTCGACGAAACGTCCTCCTATCGCTTGATAAATTTATTTCAAATAGTGAAATAAATGTTAAACCGAATGTTAATTTGGCATAAATTTCAGTAACTCGGAGACCAAGTGGAAAGAGGTTTTTTCCTTACATAACTTTTTCCCCTAGAGGAAGTCGAGTTTGCTCGCGAGGATACAACACATTTATATTTAATGCATTTGGGAACACAGTTTATTCTTTGTAACTGTTTTTAACCCCTTTCCCGCCAATTTTACTGTAATCAGTTAAAATTACAACATAAAAAAACAATATTTTGTTGAAAATATTCAACTCTTTCATGTGTAAATGCACAAATATAAATGTACGAAGAATGATATAAATGAATACACATCATACTTATGATTTTTCAAAATTTTGCGTTATTAACTGTCTTGTGGAAAGATTGTTTACTGGAAAATTATTATTATTATAAATCATAAAGAATTTGTGTTACACTTCAAATGTAATGTAAGTAGCAATTAATGTTTATAGATAATATAATTAATTTCCATGTTGGTACTTATAAAATTATGATTTATCATGGTTCTTAGGATACAAGTTTCTTCAAACATGTTTAAGTTCCATTATTTTCCACCAAGCAGTATTAAAAAGAGAAGTGTTAGTGACAAGACAGTTTTACAATCATTATGAATTATCACAGGTAATATATGACTAAATAATATTTGTACATTATATCTGGTCTAAATATGTATACACAATTATTTCTCTAGTTTTTGAGAATAAGAAGACTTGTTCGAATCAATGATGTTTCACTTTATATGAGAAATTCAGTGTAGAGTTTTACTTTTTTATAAAACCACTGTTTACAAAGATTTCAGTATAAACTTCTTTTTTTTTAAATGGATTCATTTACTTTTACTTTATTTATTATTCATTTTGAGACACATACCCAATCGTTACTTCAAACATGACCTTCTAACGCCAGAACTTATAAACTCAAATACAACTGTGTAAATATTGGTTACTAATATTACAATATAATACTTTTAAATTTAGAGTATGAATATAATGTCAATGCAAGATCGTGTCTGTAAAAAAAACAATAAACATGCCAAAAAGTATTGAGCAAATAATAAATTAAGTTAAATTTGATCAATTGATATAATTTTCACATACCCACTAACTGTATTAGTAACACAACTTATTTAGCAACATTGTACATATCTACATGTTTTTTTCAGTAATAGTAAAACTTTACAAAATAGAAAGTAAGCAAAGTAGCAAGATGGGAACACGTAAAAGTATAGCGAATGTGTTGCTGGAGGGACCGGCACATTCGACTCCGGTATCTTCATCGCCACTGCGACGGAAATCAATTTTTATACAAAAATCGGGTCTCCCTTCACGTTTATCAGAAAATGACGATGAAGCAGAACGTTTGGCTCGTCGCCGTGAAATTAATTCTTTTTCAACGCCAGTTTCTATTACGAACAATAATGACAGAAGACGTTCTTTGGGCCTTAGTTTCTTGGTAAACATGCCAAGTCAACAAATGTCAGAGCGTATATCTCAGTGTATAAAACTTGGTACAGAAAACAAGATCAATCCTAAAAATGCATTCAGTTTAGAGATGATTGACTTCATGACATACATGATCAAGAAGCAAGATGCCAACATGTCTAATTTACAAGTAGCCAGTACATCTTTGGATGTAAGTACCAAAATTTATGGATTTCGCGTTGATGGTGTACATATGGAATTATTGAAAATGATGGGTGGACTAGACAAAAACAATGAAATTCCAGGGGGTAATGATACAGAACCAATGGACAGCCAAGAAAGAAACGAAGTTGGTCAAGTACAAGAACAGCTGAAGAAAAAGAAAAAGAAAAAGAAAAATAAACAGAGAATATTTACCACAGTAGAAGCTATAAGAATAAAAGTTGAAACTGAGAAACCTTCTTTGATAACTATGGAAGCAGATTTGCAAACTACAGACATGTTGTACCAAGCGATGTTGCCAAACCATGCAAACTCAAAGTTTTATCTGCACCCATACAATGATATTCTGGTGGATACAGTGGAACATACAGAGACACAAGATAATGATGTGGGTTGTGGTATTCCAAACATAGAAGACTTTTCAAACATGCAAATCTGTCCACCTATGTTTTATTTTGATTTTCAAAGTTGGAATGCAGATGAAGAACCAGTGGAGATTGAACCAGAAAGAACTAATGAAAACAGATTTCAATTTGATCTTGATGCATCCTTGCCTCACGACAATGAACTTTTGCACACTGGTATGAATTATTTAGATCTTGAAGATAACGATAAGGAAAATGTAGACAGATGTGCTAAAGTACCTAATAACGTAGAAAACATTGTAGATTTTCGTGACGTTTTAACTACCACTGTGCCATCTAAAGTGTCGGAATATTCGTTTATTCAGAAAAGCTTAAATATACATTGGGCAGGCCCATCTCATTGGAAAGTTACTAACTTCAAAAAAATGTTAGGTAACAGTAAAATGGTTGAAATGTGTCGTCAAGGACCAGGTAGGAAAAAAAAGGAAATAGAACTGTGTTTTGATGATAAAACAGTTGAAAGCGTGGAAGGTAAATTTATGCATAGTCGGTGTACCACACTACATGCTAAAACTGCTAAAATGGAATGGAATGAGGAAATATTAACATTACCACCAGATATGCATTATGATATTATGCAAGGTAATAAACTGTATTTTCAATCAATTACAATTAAACAATCTGAAAACACAGATGAAATGGACACAACTCATTTGTCTGACAATATAGAATATTATAATTATGAAAATGAACATGACACGTCAAGGTATCGTCCTGAAACAAATGATCCAACATGTGACAGATCTGAAGGAAATTGTGCAATTGATAATGGTACTAGATCTGAAGAGGAATGTGTGCCACCATCACAAGCTTATACTGGAGACAATTTAGTTGCCTTACCCAGACTGATAAATAAGTCAACTATTCCATACTGCGTACGTGCAAAGAAAATTGACATGAGACAGTTGAAAAAAGTCATTTGGACATGTTTAACTACAGATAGTGAGAAAGATGTAAATTTACACACAGATGTAGAAAAAAATCAACAAGATGCAAGTAGTAAAATGAACAGTAATAAGAAATTCACTGAAATTTATAAAAAGCTCCCAAATTTATTAACGAAAAATACTGCAAACTCGTTAAGTTTTCCGATTTCCTTTGTGTCTCTATTACATTTAGTAAATGAAAAAGCATTGAAACTAACTGCTTCTCCTGACATGACAGACCTTATTGTAGAGCAAGATTGACTGTTCAATTAAGAAAAGTACAAAGCGCTTGTACATTAAATATTTTATATGTAACAATTGTAAAAATAATGTAAAATTTTGCTTACAGCAACAAAATGTATGTATATTCAAAATGGTTATTATATTTTATATTACTGTGGCGTACAATAAATAAATTGTTTAATGGACTCATTAACATTTTATTTTATATAATGTATAATATTTTTGATAATACTTGAGATGTTAAGAAATGATACCAAAAATTATTTGAATGTTTATAAAAACAGAATTAATAAGATAAAATACATATGGTAATACCAGGTTTTATCTTTATCCTCCACAATTAATAATCAACATATATTGCAATTTAATTTTTTAGCAACAGAATGGGACCCATAATCAGATATGTAAATTTTAATGGATCATCTACAACACAATTGGACAAGTATTCAGTATCCATATCAAAACATTCTCCAGTACACCATTGGGCGATAGAATACTTTGGTACCTTTGAATATCACTTTCTGCAAAATGCAGACTGCAAACGGTAGAATATTTTGTTGGTGTCCAATTTTTACGAGGAATAGCAGCCATCTATTTTTTCCGCAATTCCTCATCTTTGGGGAATACAAATACAGATATATAATTACTATCTTTTAAAGTATTATCATAAATTGCCTTACAATTGGGAACACAACAATGCCGTGGCATTATTAATAAACATATGAAAATTATAAACAAAAATATATATAAAACAGAATTTCCAAAAAGGCTATATATATATATATATATATATATATATATATCATTTGAATTACAACTTTTAATGTATGCGATCTTTATAAATATTATATGGAGATGATTATCTGGGTGAATCCATTTACTTGATTCCTTGAAATTATTTATATTTTGTCTCTGTATATAAATAATATATCTTACTTTAACATATTCTAAAATATAACTTATTTTTACCAAATTATCATTTATTTTCATTTATACCAAACTATATCTAGGCAACAAACATTTTAAAGATAATGACAATAAAGTAAAAACTACAATTATAATACATTTTGTATTGTAATATTTCAGATTTTTATTGTTAATGGTATATATCTATATGCTTTTAGAAACTTGAAAAGAAGTTAAAAAATTGAATGGTACTAATATAAGGTACTGGTGGTGCGTATTAATGTTTCGACAATGTGTGCAAAATGTTCGCTGAAATCTGAAACGTTGGACTGTTGGACAACCTGAAAATCGCGTTGAATGAAAAATTGATAAGCAGCAGTGATGCCAGAGGCAGAGAATCGTGGGTCGCTTGACCCCCCCTACTCATTTCCCAAGATAGCTCCCGTCTCGAGCATCAGAGTCGTGGATCGTAGACCTCCCACTCTTTTCTCACTATAGCTCACCATCTCTCGACAGCCAGCGCACACGATAGGGCTGGGATATGCTTGGTGTGTGCCAGCACGGTGGACGCAAAGTGGGGTAGCGGGACGTCATAGTGGGAGACGATGGTACGTCGGAGTAGTAGTAAAGCGACCCACGATTCTGGCATCACTGATACTGATGAGCAGTGAGTACTGGGTCCAACTGGGTGAACTGGGTCTGTGAGCATCTGCAGTGCGCATCGTGTGTTGTGTTGTGAATGGTGTCGTTACGAGCCACTTTCGACCAAAAGTTCGGTAGCTGATTCACGATTTGTGACCGTAAAAATGTTTATGTGTATATAACACTTAAAAGTCAACGTGCACGCGTTGCGATTTCGTGCGAAGTATAAATGATTAGGTCCGCTTTGCGGTAGAAGTAACGTTGTTCCCTTACGACACTATAATCGTGTTGCTCGTAGAGCGGGAACCGTCGAATATCGCACAATGGCAGATTTCGACGCGATCTACGAAGAAGAGGAAGAAAATGAGCAGAATTTGGAGGAACATTACGTGACAATGGTGGCCGATCCTATAGTTATTCGAGGAGCTGGTAACATGACTGTGTAAGTAAAGTTTCAATGTCCACTTTGAGTTTTCACGTCTATCTCAGAATCTTATTCTAAGAACAAAGAAATGGACAATCTAAACTGTATTTACACTAGATTCCAGCTTTTCTTTTTTGGTGCTTTGTCCCTTCAACTAAATAATACATATTCTGAAATACGTTAAATTATATAAAGAAAATTGATTTTTGTAATACAGTTTTTGAAATAATTTCTCGTAGTTGGACAAGATAGGGCGAACTAGAAAAATTTTTCGATGCTCCCAAATGCATTTTTGACACCTTAAAACAGTCTTCTGTACAGAATTTTAAGACTAGGATTAGGAAATTATTGAAGACCACGAGGTGTACCTCAATTCAAATTAGGTTTCCATTGGTTTCATTGTAAATGTCAGTGCTTTCAACACTTTTCTGTCTAGAATCCTGTTAATAGACAGTTAAAAAATATACATTGCCTTTTTAGGAGCTCGTGTTCCTTATGTATTTAATGAATAAACAATGATAATTTCCACATTTCTAATGATAACATTTCTTATTTATTTCTTCAGTCTTTGAATGAACAGCGTTCAGTAACTGTCTGTCTTATAGTTTCTTCTTTTTGATATTTTCGAGCTTTATGTGGGTATATACAGATCATGCCCATTTACATTTTTAATTGTTGTTTGTTAATATGATAAATGTTGATACTCGTAAGTGAAGTAATGCATGTTTATATCCCATCTTGCTTTTTCCTTTTTCTATTTTGCTGAAAGTATTACATATATTATTAAAAATCAAGAAAACATGATACAATATCATTAGGCTGATGTAAAACAAATTGATTATTTTTTGCTGTTAAACTGAAAAAAATTCGTATGTTAAGGAGTTAATTGTTAAGGCCTATTAAACAGAATTATAAGCCTGCCAGTGCCCAGAGAAGGCCAAGTGTGTTATATCTTGTCTATCAAATATACAATTTTGAATATGCAAAAACGAAAGGGAAAAACAGAAAACTATTATGTATTCAGATACTGAAATTATCTATCATTTGTATCACATTCTCGATAGAAACAAATCTTTCACTAAGAATTCTTGCTGATGCTTTTCTATACAAGAAATACAGTGATTCCTCGATGAATGCGACACAAACAACTGCGTCATACCCACTGGGTGGTTTGCCTTCTGGAACCAATCAAAACAGAGTAAACAGAAACTAAGCAGAGGCCCAGCTCTGTGCAAAAACAAAATTTATGAGGAGTTGAAAACTTTTTCACCTTGCCACGAATGTTCAGAAGTGAACCCAAATTCGTCGCACTCATTGAGATATTACCGTAGAAAGATTTTCACTCAACATAATATATTATAAGTAAAATTATTCGTTCAGGTTTGGTCTTAGCAATCGTTTCGAATCGGAGTTTCCAAATGGCCTGGTGTCACGTGTTGCTCCGGAAGAATTTAAAGCAACTGTCATGAGAATAAACAGTGTGTTGAAAAAAACTTTGCCGGTTAATGTTAAGTGGTTATTTTGTGGCTGTGTATGCTGTTGTTGTACATTAGGTTGTTCCCTTTGGCCTGTCATCTGTTTGAGTAAAAGGGTAAGTGCTTAATCTTTGTTAAAACATAAATTACATTTTTTTTAATATGCTTGTAAATTTATTAAGCAATACGTTCCTGTTTTACATTTTGTTTACATTCATGAAATATAATAGTAGAAATAATGTGTTTTTTCATTTGTATATTTTTAGACACAGCACTCGTTAAACAAATTATTAGAATGGGAAAACAGTAGACTCTATCACAAACTTGGGTTACATTGGAGACTGGCAAAACAGAGATGTGACACTTCGTCTATGATGGAATATGTAAGTAAATCTAAAGTAGAAGAATATATACAAATTCTCATTCGTCCATATGATTTATTATATGTTGTTTTAATATTCACCACCTTTGAGTATTGAGTTCTTACTTCGATTAAGTATATTATACATACATTTCGTAAGAATTACAAGTTTGTCCTTTCAGTTATATAAATAACTGAAGCCCTACTGGAATGTATGAGTTAGTGCTAGTAGTTATATCATTGCTTATGCTAAATATGACATGTATGTATATACAGGATGTCCCATTGAAGTGTGACCATGAAATTTCAGGACTTTTCTTGAACCTTGAGTAGTGTGTGACCTCAATGTCAAATCAAATGCTCAAAGATACTAAGGTATCTCTGTTTTACTTTTTATTTGTTATTTGTGTCTCTTTGTGCAATATATGTATAATTGGTAGATTTATCATGATTCAACACAAACGGTAACATGCATGATCTCCGAAAAAATGTAGATAAAAAAGAAATTCTGATTTACAAAAGCTATGCACATTTAAAATATAGTTCAACCTTCTGTCTAACACAATTTTTTGTAAAGTTCAAGAAAAATATCGAAAGTTTATGGTGATGCTTAACATGATACACCCTGTATATAAGTGAGTTTATCTATGTAGAAACAACACACTTATTTGTTTTCATCTTTCATATTGCAGGTACTCTTAATTGAATTTATTCCAAAAGTACCCATATATAAACCTGACTAAAGTCAAGGTCTGGATTCTTATGTAACTGATACACACATAACAAATCAGTTTGTGGCATACAAAAAAAAAGCTGTATCTTTTGGCTTTATTTGAAATGAAAGAGTGTTATGCGCTACTAGAGGTAGCACTTGCTGGAGACATATTTTTGTAAATATTAGTAGGATTGCACAGTACAATAATGAGATATGAATGTAGGGTAACTATTATACATTAGGTTTACTCCTTGAAAATTATCGACTTGACCAGGTATAAAAATATGGACAATTTGTTCATTTTCTAATCAGAAAATGTACTGTTTCTTTTTTTTTTGTATCTTCCATTACTCCATAAAAAACGAGAAACATTAGCGAGTGTTTACTGTCTTGCACAGAAGAAATGATATAAAAGGATCGTATACGTGTTTAGAAATACTACTTGATGTCTAGTTTGCTAGTCATTAACACATAATTGTCCTAAATAGTTTTCGATTCTCTGTTAATAGTTTACGAAAATGTTTTCGATTAGACATTGAGCTCTGAGGCAAGAAATCGATCTGATACAGTACAACGAACGCATTGAAATATTTGCGATGCGAAAACAAGAAATAACAGTTGAGAATTTTTATATAACTACAAGATGCAAAATGTTCACATACACGTTTGTACATACTTACCTATACGATATAGAATCTTATTTTTCTTATAAGTTGATTCATTATTACGGTGATATTAGAAAGTACAAGATATACAGATATGTTTTACTTTTTGACATAAATTGAAGAATATAATTTAAGGTTTTAAAAATATAACTACAAAGAAAACCCGATGACGTTCTAAACTAAACTGTACATCATTTTAAACAATTGTTTCGGAAATAATCTAAGAGAAATTTCGTTGCATTCAAAGAAAGAAACAATTCTGGTTTATTCAATGTCATTTTCAGGAAAATCAGTTTCTTTTTATATAAAAAAAATATTAATCAGTGTATAATGTTAATGCATGAAGTCAAATTTTGAAGGTTTATTATTTAAAATTTCAATGAATTTTCGATTGTGTAACATTTTACATCGCATCATATGGTTCCGCACAGACACTTCTCTATAAAATAATTACATTCAGGCAAAAAATAAGGATTTTTTTTATTTTACCCTTGATCTACATGTATTGAAATGGTAGACAAAAGTAAGAATTATAATTGGTATATGGAAATTAAGATAAAACTCACTGAGGTTACATATGATAAATGAAATTTTAGAGGAACGTACAGAACATGCTAAGGCATGTAAAGTATTGCAATTTTTTAAGTTGCTGTTCAGTGGCTGTGATTGAGAATATAAGACTAGCTTTCAATTCAAGCATGTATATTATATATCTCTTAAAGGTTACATACATCTGTGCTTGTAGTTTTTATTTATAAGCACATGAACAACTTTTGATTTCTCTAAGGTGTGTACTTAACGTCCAAATTAATAATTATAATATTAGTTTTTTTTTTTAAATATTCAAACAATCATTTTATATCCATATCATAATTCATATAAATGCTTATCTTCTGAAGTACAATTAGGGAACATCATATTGGACTTTACAAATACTTTGAAGGGATTATTTTATAAAATAAATATAAAAAAATATGTTCTTATTGTATAAAAAAAATATAAATATAATATAACAAGAAATCACATCAACAAGAGCCATGTAAACTAGTTGTATTCCGTACGCAACATAAGTTTTAGAATCATTATTCAGAAACTAATAGATAGGAAAATATTTTGAGATGTACTGTGCAATGGAACCATGAATGTAAAATATGTGTCCCTTCGTGTGTTTAAAAATTACGATTAAAGTAGTTACACTGTGCAAAATTGATAAATGTTAAGATGAATTTGCTCCTAAGTCGTGTATTAGTTGTTATGTTTAATTATTGTTTTCCACAAGAAAATTAACTTGTTTACTTTTATTAATTTAGACAGAGTGCAAGTGTTTCCTGATATTCATACATGTGGAAATGTAAATATAGTATTGGCAAACAAAAAATGAAAACAAAATCAGTTCCTTGTTAATTATAAAACATGGATTTGTGTACTATATTTAGTAAATCGATTATTTTTTAAAATTATACATAGTAAATTACTTACATTGCATTTCTTTGTAGGTGAATTTCACTGTATTGCACATTTTCATGAGTTTTATTGTAAATATGTTAAAAAAAACTTATATTTACATTTAAATATTTAAAAAAATACTGGTAAGCAGATGAGTAAATAACCATAGTAAATGTAGAGTTCCCGATACTATAGAATCGTTTTAAAGTGTACATTAAATCCGACGAATTTACTAGTATTTGGATAAATAAACATTGTTATTGAAAGAAAAATTTCTTTGGAAATATACAAATTTATTTATATATTGGAATTGTAATAGAGATTGGTGTAAAAAGGAAAGGTACGAAATGTTAAGTCAACTTATATAATATTCATCAATAGATACAAAATTTATGAAATAAATGGGATATATTTTTGATAGACAGAACAAGTAATGGAGAATAATGTCCCTAAAAATGTAATATTAATTTTGTTATACTGTCGTATATTGATTGTATTTCATGAATACTTAACGAAACAATTTGTAAAAAAAGTGATTAAAGAAGAAGTTGAAAGCCCATTAATTATCTTGCCGAAGACAACAAATATGAAATAGAACAAATTTGATATAAAAAATTTGTTGAAAAATAAAACAGTATTCCATTCACTTTGTGAGAATAAAATTAGGCTATTACGGTTTCAATGTGTGCCTTTCACTCGTGGATTTGTGTGAATTGTATATGTACATACTGTATGTTAAAAATATATTGCAAACTATATTTGTATGAAGTGATGATGATTCCTATAGAATATGTATAATTAAAGTAAATTCTTATAGTTACAAGTGTGTCACATAACATTACATACATTAAAATTCCATCTCTCCTATACTAATTCACAATTGTTTCGTCTATTTGCCTATTAATTTTATATTTGTTTGATGCTTATAATTTTTTATTTGAATTGTAAGTAGAAATAAACTCTTTTACATTTGCTACAAAACTAATGCAGTTATGTAATTGCACTAGCTACACTTGATAAAATTATTTACACGATTATATTAAAAAGAAAAGTAAACTGAACTAAGAAAAGCAAAATTCTATAATTTTCTAGTAAATATCTAAATATGTATAAAAATAATTAATCAATTTGTCCGAATGTCATATTTTCTCGTCTTAAAAACTTCTGTTGCGTGGAATAAAAATTTAATCGTTTTTTTTATAAGTATATGTTTTATTTATTTAATAAGGTCAAATTTAATAACAAAAGTATTTTTTTTCCAAATATTACTGTAGAATCAGTAACACAGATTTACTCAAATACAATTATCTTCTGAGTCAATACAAGTTTATGAGAAATACATATTATGTGTACTCTAGAAGCTTTTATCAACGGATGTACGGGATCTGCATTTTCATGTACACATAATTTAGGTCTGTTACTACTCGTGTACAAGGTGTGTAAGCTGTTGTCTGTATTGAAATGATATTTGCCAGGAATAATTCTGTGTTATGATAATTGACAACAGGTGCCTTTGCAGCTCTTAATAAGTAGTAAGACATTATTATTAGTCACCGTAGCAAGAAGGTGCTTGACAGAAGAACGCAGATAGAATTCAAGCAGAAACGTTTGCTCTACAATATATCAAGTACTTTTAAAGTGTACCATTTCATAAATTGTTTATGTATTATTGAATGAAACTTTTAACATCCTCTCCACAAAGTAAACTTCGTGGATATATGCTCACAAATGTTTTCATTAAAGCATATAAATGTATTAATATTAATGTTAAACGTGCTGCAAGTTGTAAAACCTACTCAATCTTTAATAAAAAATGATATCAGGTGAGAAGATATTTGACATTACAAAATTCTGCTTGGAAAGGAATCGACTGTGAATGAATGTGATTAACAAGAAGTTTATGTGTTTGGAACCACTCAATTTTATACACTAAAATATGTTTTTGCGTTTACACATAGTTTATTTCTGTTAGAGGAAATCTGTCATGTCCACTGCCACTAACAGCTTTGGATTTCATTTACGACTTCGCACAATCTAATTTAGAGAATGTATGGCCCTGTGAAGTACGTTTTTACTGGTTGTCACTGCAACCATTCGTCAGGTTTGTTCGTTTCTTGCTTGGGAACATAACGCCGTTCATTATAATTCTTGGTAAGGACAAATATTATTTCTTGTCCACGATTTCACTGACTTCAATTAGTATGAAATTCTTACAACTCAATGTGTCGTACTGAATTAAATATTCTTTGTATATTTAGGTGTGTTGTTAAATACAGTTTCTTTTGGAATGCTAAGTACTCCAATACTTTGTGAATCTAATTTGTCATTGTATTTAAAAGCACTCGCTGTATCTGATAATGGAGCACTGATTTTTAATTACGCTGTGGGTATTGCAAAGTCTCACTTTACATTTGTCAATAATCTTTTCATGGTAAGCAATTGGTAATCTACCGTTCGATTTGTTTCTAATATAATTTAAGATTTAAATGTATTATTTTATTAGAATAGTAGGTTTCTGTGCAGTTTGAATTCTGTCACCATGGAATTCTTCCAATTTACATCAACTTGGCTGGTTGTAGCACTGACATGGACACGAGTCTTTGCTATTATGTTCCCTTTTGGAATACATGGTTATTGCAACAATTGTTCCGAAATGATAACTATAATTACGTTAATATGTACCAGTTTTATAATATCATTAACAAAACTATACTCAGGCGGTAAACACATCTTCTTTTCATTAGATTTACTATTTAATAGATTCATCAATTTAAACTTTAGTAAAACTATAAGAATAATTAAGAATAATGCTTTCTTACATACTAAAAACGGTCTATTTAAATTGTAGGATATGAAACGGACAGTGTTTTTGAATTTATACCATGCCAAAAAAAAATAAAACCGTGGGGTAGTGCAATGTACTTTTACATTGCTTTATCAACATGGTTACCTTTACTTTTTATATTTGTTGGAAATATTTTGCTCATTTTACACATGAAAAAGACTGAAAAAATTCATTGCCGGTTAACTCGTAAGTGTACTGTTTAATTGGAACTTGACAATTAAAGAAACATGAATATTTCCAGTGACGTTATTCCTTAGAAAATTTCAGACAGAGAGCGAACAAAACTCACCACACGTCCAGAATATTGTTTGTGGTGTCAACCGTTTACTTAGTGCTGTTATTACCGCTTGGTATTGTTGAAACTTTGGAACTTTATTGGGATGTTATTCTGATCAAATATCCTGCCACCGAGGCAAAGAAAAAAGCAGAATATATACATTGGTATGAAATCACATTCAGAACAAATATTATATAGTCCAACGAAACAAAATTAAATTATTTATATTTACTCAAGGTTTCATTCGGAAATTCCTAACTGTTTTTCAGGTTGAAAGAGAAAATGCTATTGAAGTGGTGTCGCGGTTTCTGCTTTCACATATACCATTGGAATTTCGCATTGAATTTTTTTCTGTATTATCTCACAGGCGAAAAATTCAGAAATGTTGTGATACAAACAACATGGCACTACAAGAAAATAATATTCTCAGTATTTTCGAACCATATTCACAAATGTACATCTTGTTCAAAGTATCCTAGAGATTTGAAGTCTATGCAGTCTTCAAATGTGTTACTTATAAGAGCTATTACATTAAGCGAAGATTTTATTAATGGCAGTGTTTCTACACAAAACAATAATAACACTATTGCACACATTTAGGTAATAGGAAGAACATATTGCAAAAACTTTCTAAAGACTGTTAGTATTAAACATCATGAAATATTTCTCTGCATACATATTTTTTTTATTGCATACACACGTTACATGCTTCGTGGCAAGTTCTAATAACTATTTCATTTTTCGGTAGATACACTTCGTTGTTATTATTCTTTTTATTTTTACTCTTATAATATACAATCAGTGTCTTTGTTGTATAACACATTAAATAATTCATTTTACATACATGACAAAATTTATTACTAACATAGTCGAATATCACATTACATACTTTAAAATAATTTCAGAAATTAGATTTTCATGCATACGAACGAATAATGATTATTATAACGATAGTAATTTTAACATTCTTCATTATGATAAGCAACTTTACAAGTTCAATATCTGGTCCCAATATAGAGTGTAGAATTTATAGAAATATTATTATTAATGTTGCAGGTCATATTTCCTCCAATCTTTTTGTCAATTTTATAATCATATAGTGATTATTATAATTGAAAATCACTCACCTATGTACACACATACGTCTTCATACACACACGTCTTTAGAATAGGTAACGGATATTTTTGAAGATATGCTCGTGTAAAATATTTAGTTGTCTTTCATTGCATGAAACATGTAATCATCTATTTACGTTGAAATATACGTTCTTTAAATACAAGGAAACTTTCATTTCTATATATCCGCATCTACCTATTCTCATAGGTAGATTACAATGTTGCTTTTGTATTAGTAATTTGCTTATTATGCAATTTTATTATGTTTAGAAATATAATTCGATACATACTAAATATAAACGACTCTAGAACAGATGTAATTTATCAGCATATCTCCCTGTTTACCTTAATATATTCGAATTTCTTTTGATCCCAAAGGTACAGTATGAAACAAGTTATGCAAAGCAGTTATGAAAACCGCTGTCTTTTCCATATATTCAGAAACGTGATATTACATTTAATACATAACAAACATATTATATGTTTAACAATAATTTTGTTTTAAATCCTAGCGAACTTCAAATAATATATATACATACGGAAAAATAAAATTGATTCACGTGCTACATGTGCTACGATGTACAAAATGATAATTTATACGAAATAATTGTTTCTTAAGCAAACACTCCAATCCATTATATTTGCTAATAATTCCTGCATTGAACTACTTACTACGTTGTTTATTTAATTAATTAATATAACAAATTAATATTTTGAAATTCAAGAATCATATACAGCAATATGTATTAACCTTTTTTGGGGGAAGAGTATAGTTATAAAATGGACATTTCTTCTAAGGAACTGAAGTTTCCATTGAAATATTAATTTTGTGCATAATTGTATCAATTATGATATAAATTTATGCTTAAAGTTAAGTAGTTATTATAAAGTTTTGTACATGCATTTTTCCATATATTGTATGATCTTACGTTATCAATTCAAAATACGTATTACATAGGTAGAGACTAATGATTGACAGTTATTTATTATAATAGTAAACAATGTTGTTCTAAATACTGCGTTTCTTGAAAAATAACGTATCAGAGTCTCTACTTTATACTGTATAATCCAAATATTAATTACATATATAAAAAGAAGTAAATGTGAATTACTTCGTTGGAAGTTTTAGAGAAAAGTTATTCTCGTTGTACATAATTTTTTTAGATTTAAAAATTCGATTTAAATGTTAATAAAAAAATATCATTCCCGTGAAATTTACAAGGCAATGCGTAATTGCATACAATTCAGTCTTTTCACGAATATAATTTTTCTGAGATATATCTTTAGCTGTTCAACGTGGCTAAGTAAAGCACACACTTCAAACAATGAACTATAAACATTTGATTTCTTCTTCTCCAAGAAAAAACCGTTGCACAAACATTTATTCGGTATAAAGAATGAAAACTAAATTTACAATAGAGAAAATACCGAAATATTAGTACAAAATAATTAATGTGATAATGGAATATTACATGGGACTCTATTTACATAATTTATTGGAAATTGTCCTTTTCGACTTTCACACTCACCATAAAACCAATCTTGTGATATCCTTGATAAAACTGTAATTTTTGCACCTTCCTATAATGCATCCATAGAAATAACAACAAAAAATTGCAGAAATTATATATAATCGTAATATAAATTTAATATAGAGTTCATAACTTACATCAAACGTTAAATCATCCGAAGTTTCGCCTTTAAAGGAATATATAGCAGTGACAGTATTGTCTGGAACACCAGGTAGTGGAACTTTGATGTTAATAAAATTAATTGGAAATATTCCCTGACGATTTCCTATTCTACCCTCCATCCAGTCGTCGTTAACTTTCTTTATTAAGTATATTATATCTCCTTCTTTGAATGGTAAATCATCTGCGTGTGTTACGTGGAAGTCATAAAGCGCAATACCATAGGGTTCTTTGTTATTAACCTAAAAAAGAGAAATGAAAAAATAACAGACACTCTGATGAAGACACATTGACAAGTTAATTTAATTTCAATCACTTACTAGAAGATCAGAGCTTCCTTCCATTAAATATTCTGATGGTGGTGCAGGTGGTGGTATTGTAGGCATTGGCGGTGAAGGACTATCTTTAGAATCTGTTGGCCATGAATGCGTTAAGTCTAACGTCACTGGCTTAGTAAAAGACACTGTTGCTTTACTCAAAGACTTTAATTCACTTTCGACGTGATTTATATTCTGTCCTATTTTCTTTGGCAGAATTTTTGGTGCAGCTGGTTTAGGTGGTTTTGCACGAATAATAGTTGGCATCGACTGAATGGGTTTCGAGCATGCCTGATTAGAAGGCACTTGATTATGATTATTTGTATTAAAAGCAAAGAAGGATACATCTCCCGCGTACTTTACAGATTGTAATGCATTGTGATTAGCAACTTCCAATGGTCCGAACGGGTCTGGCACAGAATTAACGTGCCAGGGATCATTTTGTGTTACTTTTTTAGTAGACATTCCAAAGAAGTCGAAATCATCTTCAAAGCCGCTCTCTGTCTGAGATGTATTTCCACTGCTGGTGAACACTGATGGATTTGAATTACCATCGCTGCCAAAACTATCTATACTGACACCATCACTACTTGAGCGCGTTGTGAAAGTTGGAGATCCAGGTGGACTCAAGTCTATCAAAGAAACTGATCCATTTATATTTTCTGAATGCAGTAATGTATTCTGTACTTGACTATTTAATTGTGTTGTGCTCGAATGATGATCATTTCTTCTCTTCCCAAATAGACTCGTTAAGAGCTCTGTTGGCCTTGCCTATATAAATATTGTGTGAAAAAAAAGTTATGCTATAATTACAAATCATGGAATTTCAATGTAAACATATATAAGATAATACATAATCAATATAATATAATGGAATGAAATAATTTTACATACTGGTTTCTTTAGTCTGTCCTTGTGAGCCTGTGCATAATTCTGGTTAAACTTCGGTGGTGGTGGTCGAGGAGGCGGTTTTCTTTTCTGAACCGGTTGTTGTGCTAATGTAGATCCAAAAATATCATTTCTGTAAGCATTAAGAATACAAATATATTATCAAATAAAAGTTGTCTGTACATGCTCAAGCAGTTTTCTCAGTTTGTTTAATGTTACTGTGATGTTATAAAGATTGGTTTCTGTCTTAAATTGATTAATTTCGCCAATCAGAATGGAAAAGGTATTACTGGCTTCATACATTTAACAGACACACTTGCCTGATATTATTATACATATAAAAAATAAATATGTACATTGTTGCTAATTAGAAATAAGAATTTATTTTGCCAACATATTTTTGGCAAAGAGTATAGATATGCTTAGAGAGAATATATGATATATGTGTATAATAAATAAATTACAGACTTTATGCATTCATAGTATGTATGTAAGTCTGCAGAATAGAATGAAATAAACACTTCCAACATTTTAAAAGTCATACTTTTATTTATAACATAATAGAGCGCTTAACGAAAGAAAATAAATGACTGTTTAATTCTCGTTGATAAAATACATTATGTAAAGATTTAAATTCGCCTAAATAACTGAAGTTTACTAATGAAATAAAGGAACAAAAAATTTCCTTTGTAAATCCATGTCGAACTTACGAGTTATTCCATACGGCGGTTCTCTGAGCCGTCGAATTAACAGGTGGACGAGGGGCTGAACGTGTTGGAATTCGCATTTCTGAAAGGAAACACAAAATGAGATGGTATTTAAAAACTAAGTTCGTCAAAACAAGCTATCACGGCGTGCAATGCACGGCCAGGCACTGATCTCACGGATTCTCTCCTATACATGCACGTTACGTAGCGCGGATGTATATAGATACGTATTTACATAGGAACAGAAGCAAAAGAGAAACTAGAGTTTAAAAAAATAATCGTACTCGGAATAATCGTGGCTCTACGCTGCGATTATACGCCCACGATTGAATGTCAGATATCTTTTGACGCGACACGGATTCGCAAGGCGCGGCGATAACAACGGAAATTTGACGAATCGCAGTATACTTTTGATTTGACGTACGAACCGAAACAGTGACGTAGATATGAAATTTGACAGTATTCCCGAACACGCTAACGACACGTTTCAACACTTGTACTCTTCGTCGCACTGAAAACGATTAATATCGTTCAAATGATGGTTATGAGCACTGACAGGTTCGAGAACACAACTCACCTGTTCTCACGTTGGCGGCCATTTTTCATTCGATTCGACTGCGAGTGTATTCCCTATTACGGCGGCATAATGTGTTTTAAAATACGTCAATCGAACTAATTAATGACGTGCGATTAGCAAATAATTTTTACCCCGACACAAAATATTATTTTAATATTCAGCAAACATAAGACAAATATCGATTACTTTCAAACATTCTATTTACACGTGGATTTCATTTGTTAAGGGAAAGTTGTAATTAGATCAGTAACGTTACGAATTTTACATGCTGTTGCAAAGACACGGTACGTTTATGATTTCTATGTCAGGTAATGAAATACAGTAGGTTCTCAATGGTAACTCAGTTTGTCCTACATATATATATATATATATATACGTTAGCAATACTTCGCTATCCCCGCCATAATTTTCTGTCTCTTTTGTTTTACCAAAATCGAGAGCGAGACATAAGATCTAATTACATGATATATACTCCGTTCACTTGTGGTGCAACTGCTTCGACTGTGTGCAAGTTAATAACACATCATCATCATGTAATATTGCCTTACAATGCATCGAATTTAAAAACGTATCCCCACTACGTATAATAGGCAGTTCGTCAGCAGATATAGAATTGATATCGAGAACCTACAATATTGTAATAAAAGTAAATAATAAGGTTATAGCTTACTTATACGATTCTTTATAACATGAATTGTACTATATGTATGAATTAGTATATCGGTATATGATCGTAATATTTTACGTATTCTATTACTGTATAAAGAAAGTTTATTATGGAAAACTATCTCTTTTTTGTGTCCCACAAATAAATAATCATTCGAATTAGCGACATAGTGAAAACACCATAAAATTGTAATTAATTGTACATATGTAATACAATTGTGTAACTTGATGTTTGTCGTTTTTGATAGTTATAAACTGTTGAAAATATGGGTATAATACGCGTAAAATATGTCTGATGTGACAGGGTTATTCTACTTGAGAGGCGCGCTCAGGCGCGCTTTTCAACTATTTCACGAGTTGGTTCCATTATATAGTTTCATTTTATTTAATTTATTAATTTTATTGGGTCATCGATCGAACCCGTGTATCAGCTAGAAATCGGCTGTTCGAGTAGTGTAATCCATCGCCACATGTATTTCACGCGTATTTTAACAATTAATAATTCAGAAACAATAAGCCTCAAATACAATTTCATCGTTTTTGATTTTCATTTTACAATAGTTTGGCATGTAGTATCCATCCTGGGAAAGTGTCCCACATTTTTATTAATACCCTGTATGCCGCATATAACGCTAATGTACTTTTTAACATATTGAACATTGTTTAAATAGTTATTAGTTTTTTGATATTTTTTATTGATATTAACTTTATAAATGATATTTGGCATATATTTTCGGATTAATCGACCAATCGTTTATCCAGCCAGGAGGGGTTTAGTCCCATAAGGACCGGTTAAAAGGGAGTTTACTCTACCTTCGCGAGCAAACTTTACACAGATAGTTCTATACTACTACTCTTACCCTAAAGTAAGGGCCTACTACCACTTGGTAACTTTAATTCAAGTACTGAAATAAATGTTAAAATGAATGGTAATATGGCCTAAATTTTAGAAACTTCCGAAACCAACTGGTAGGAGGCCCGTTCCCTACGCTAGTTTTTCCCCTAGCGGAAGCAGAGTTTGCTCGTGGGTGTACCTCGTTTCTGTTCAGAGATGGCGTGAACTGCTACCTGTGAATCATTCGTGATTCGATCACATTCGTTCCCAATCACGGTGATTTTTCACAGTGATTCGTGTTTCTCATGATCGTTTTAGATTGGTGGAGAAACCTAACAGTTCTTTACACGCGATACATAATCTGTATATTTTATATTAACGACATCAAAACAAAAATTCGAGTTATATCGTATAAAGTATAAAGTGAAGAAATAGTTAGAAACAATGAAGAATAATGAATAAATTAATTATTATAAATTATAATCTACATGTTACCTATCAAATAATTCTTTTAGAATTTCTTGTTTTTTCTACTGATTTTTACAAACACGAATAGTAATGTAATGTATCGTAAAATCATATTGAATACGTTTTTTTGTTCAAAGATCAAGGACTTACGATCGCAGTGAGCAAAATTCACTCTAGATAAAAAAATCGCAATCACGGTCGTAAATGAAGTGAAATCACGACCGTGATCGTGATTCGGTGATCACTGTGATAAATCACCGTCAGTGATTTTGCACGCCATCTCTAACTGAAACCGTTTTGTAATTTGATTATTTGTATGCAATCCTTTAAGAAATAGCAATTCTTTCTAAAATTGTCACATGCTTCTATGTAGATGAAACTGTGCGTTCGATGTAGTAAGAAATCCCGTGGGGTGAGAACGTGGGGTCATAGAGACCCCGTGTGGTGAGAGTGTGGGTTCATAGAGACCCCGCGTGGAGGCGCCAGATACCCCGTGTGGTGAGCGCGTGGGGTCATAGAACCCCCGTGGAGACGCCAGGGGCCTGTGTGGTGAGAGCGTGGGGTCATAGAACCCCCGGTGGAGGCGTCAGAGACCCTGTGTGGGGCCATAGAACCCCCGGAGGTGCCGCCAGGGCCCCCGTGTGGAGAGAGCGTGGGGTCATAGAACCCCTGGTGCATGCGCAAGAGCTTTGAAACGTGATTCTTTTCGCTGTTGCTCGTGCGAGCCTCGAGCTCGGTCTAACGTTGCTCGTGCAACTTTTAAAATCTGACTGACACTTGTGCGTGCTTCCGTGAGCAAATTATATAGTAACCTCAACGATGGCAGTTTCTGTAGATACTACTACAGACCAAGTTTAAAAGACGTAGGCAGTAGTTAGTTTCTGTAGTAACCTGTTGAACCAGACAACTATAATTAGTATAGGACATAGGATTGTACAATATTTATGCAGTTATATTTAAGACAATTCAATGAAATGAAGCTTATATTACCCGACGTATGTTTATTGGAATATACATATATACATATAAATTATATATGATATAAAAGTTTGAAATACAATACGATGCGCTACGGTACAATACGTCTATTCGATTCAATTGCTCCCTTGCGACTACAACATCATGCTATCCGCGTTCGGCGCAGTGCGCTAATACGGAGGCCGACGAAATATCACTGTAACACTTAAAAAAGTGTTAAAGTTCCATTTATATCATTGACCTGTGAAAATGTGTCATACTTCCAGCAACATTCATATTCCAATCAAAGAATTTACAGAACAAGGAAAAGGAATCTAAAGTAATTTTCAGTAGTTCCATACATCTTTATCTCGAATAATTTTGTAAAACATTCAAAGTACTAGACATTTTTACACTTTGAATCTCATATCGATTTCTAAAATAATCCTAGTTCGATGTAATATAGAACGTGGTTT